CATGACAGCACCAGCAGCATTAATCATATTTCCTCTTCCACTCTTAACATTTCCTGTAATATGTTGTGTTGATTGTGCTTGATCCTGCTGTCAGTCAAGAGGTTTCTTTAAATGCAGTGTCTGGCCCTCCTTTTATGACACGGTGCTAATGCAGAAGTAACAAGCACACCTGCTGCATCCTCTGGGTTTTTAATCTGTTTTTTTAAAATACATCCAGGTCAAAAGCATTTTAGAGCATCAACAAATATATCCAGAGTTGCATGACCCAGTAGCACAAATTCTTTTTATGGCAAAAAAAAAAAAGTTGATACCCTCCCCGCAAGGTTTTAAGAAAATGTATTTAACAGAATGTTTACATTTGGGCCCTGAGACGAAAGTGGTGTATTCATTTTTCAACCTCATGTTTAAAAAAGAAAATGCTGTGATTGTTTGCAATAAAAATGTACCACGAAACAGTCTGTTTGATATGAAGAGGTAGAGGAGGGTATTTCTCTCTCAATGCATGATAAAAGGACAGAAGGCTTCCAAAGAATTGCTGCCTTCAAGAGCACTAGCAGTGGCGCTTCATAAGCAAGGAAGGTCGATGAGAATGTCACTAAAGCTATTGGAGGAAGGGATGTCATGTTTTGATGGCATTGCAGTAATTTAATTTTATACATATATATATATATATAAAGAAGTATGTATGTGAAACAACCCTGTCCCAAGGAACTGTGGTATCTTCCTCTTGGGACAGGTGGGAACTCTGATATTCAGACTGTTTTATTGTTGGCGTGTGTGCAGTGTAACAGGAAATTGTGTACCGTACCTGTTTTCATGTCTAAAACATCCCAACCCCTGTTTTACTTCCTATTTTTGGTTGCATTTCATTCTGTACGTTCTTATGCACACTTGCTTTGTTGGTGTTGAGAGTTTAGCACCTCAGGTCACCAACGTAACTAAAAAAAAATAAAAAAAATAAAGTCATTACTTTTTTCTTACTTCATTGGAATTTGATTTTGCTTCACGGTTCACGCCAACAGCAAATTGTTGGCGGCCCTATTCTGCACCGTTTCCAGTTCTACACTATCCTTTTTGAGATGTAATAACCAGAGCAGTACACACAGTTGTGTACAATGCTGCCATTTTGCTCCTGCAAGTCTTACACTTGTGCAACAGTACTGCCCCTTCTTCTCTCCCCTTAAAAATCTGTTCTAGGGAGTTGGCAAACCATCTGGAACCGTTTTCATTTAGGGGGGGCAGGGATAGGAGAGGAATTAGAAGTCCTATTGCATGAGCAGAATGTCAATAGCACCACTATAGCACAAACCCAGTATTACAAGTTTGAGAGCACCATAGACTTTTTATAAAGACGCTATACCATATTGGCAATTTTATTTTCTATTGCTTTCCTAATTATCCACCACAACTCTTATGATGTGTTTCCAGTGTTTCATTGGTGGCTTGAGTTCTATAATATGGTGGACATGTCATATATATATATATCCCAAAACAAAAGAGGATGTATCTCAAGATGCTGAAAAATGTGATTTTGTTTACAGAGCAGCCTGACGTGCTATGGCCAATTTTTTACTTAAAAGCTGCCTTCAGAGCATATCAAAACAAATATAATAAATCATGTAAATAGCATATACATGCAACTCCTGCTTAACCATCACAATGTGTCCCCAGGAAGTTGTTCACATAATGAGCCCACAATTTCCATTATTTCTTATGGGAACACTTGTAATGCAGGGTTTGCTATGTCTCTCCCCAACCCCACCCCTCTGTCCATGGTATCTTCTTGAAATCACTACAGCCAATCAGCAAAAGAGAGACAAAGTAAAAACAAAACAAAAAACCAATCTGATTTGTCTGACTTCTCCTGCTCCCTGACTTGTCTGCCCCCCCCCCGCTCTCTGATTTGTCAACTATCACTCCCCTCTTCCATAGTTGCTGCCTGAAAATAGCCACCACTGACCAGCACAGCAGAAACAACCAAGAAAGTAAGAAAGCCAGATATTCGGATAAGTGAATCTGCAGAGCCAGGGCTTTTTTTCAGCCGGAACTCTCCGGAACTCAGTTTCCAGCACCTCAGTTGTGGAACCTACCCTTGGAATCCCCTCCGCTTGAATAGTGAAGTCCTTCCTCTTATAACAAGTCTTTTAAGTTGAGATCTTTCACTGTCTGCATCTGTACTGGAATGGGCTGTAAGATGTTTTTATGGCTTTATCGCTTGTTTTTGCTTCCCTGGTCTCCTCTGGTGAGGAAGGACAGAATAACTATTTAATAAATAAAATTAAAACATTGGCATATGCATATATATATATATGCATGCATTTATATACTGCCAGTTCAGGCAATATGACACGGCACTAAGTATTGAAGGAGACCCAAGTTCAGATTCGTAGATAGTCCTGATGCTTCCTGGGTGACCTTGAGACACAGCCAAGTCTCTCTTGGCCTAACCTACGTGGCAGGGCAGTTGTGAGTACTGTTATCAGATAGGAGTTGGAGTGAAGCATACATACTTCGCAGTTCAGACATGCTAAAAACAGCTGTCAGTTTCACTTTCTATTGCTAGGAAAGAGGAAGTTCAGAAGACAGTGTTGGGAAGATTTTGAAATGTATGAATCTGCAGTTCGAGTCTGCCGCATTCTCGCCCCACCCCTTTCTATTTCAAGCAAATGAACCCTTTGAACTACATGCTGATAAAACTGGCACAGTCCCTTGTCTTAAAGTTGCAATGTCACAGTGTATGAAGAAGCATTCCTAAGAAGGAGCGGTTTTTATATTTTTATGATGATTTATAAAACTAGGGGGTATATTTGAAAGACCTGCTTTTTCTCCTTAGCAGAGATAAGAAACCATTAGGGCAACTGCTTTGAATGCCAGATCTAGAACCTGCCTAAAAGGACTCATCCTCTCCCCCCCCCCATCCTTTTATAATTATATATGCAGTATCAGGATGCTTTCAGATGGGGGCTTAATACTAATCATTTAGATATTATAAATAAGTTGCTAGCAGCAGGGTTGTTGTTTTTTAACTTACTGGATTTCCCCATTCCCACCCTGGGAAGAGTAAATTCAGATTAAATGTGGGGGTGGGGAGTACAGGCTGTCATTTTGATGGCAGGTATGTCATGTAGACGCTGCAAAAAACTTTATATGTCACTTTATTAGTTCTTCAGAAAAGGGGCTTCCTTTGATAAAAGCAGAAAGACAAGCAGAAGCCTATTATCGGTAAGTGGAACTCTTTTCCTGCTTTTGCTTTCTGTCCCTGCCTTTGTTACCTTGGGGTCCATCTTGCGCTTCTTGCACACTTTGACAACTGTGACTTTAGAGAAGAGGTGGCAACTCTCTCTCCCCACCTCTCCAGAGGCACACAGCCATCGATAGCACCGTTGTTTTTTCATGTGCGGCAGTCTTGGGAACGCAGCATAACAATTGCATGCTCCTGCACACCACGAGACATAGTATGAGTCAGTGAGGAAAGCACCTCATTGCATTACTTTTTAAAGACATTTCATTCTTTCAGTTGGGCAGAAACAGAGGATTCCCCCAGTGTCCCAGCTCACCTGTTCAGCAGGGGAATTCCCAAATTCTTCCCCACTGAGCCCACACCTGCCCGTCTTCAGGAAGGGGAAACGGCATTGGCTGAAACAGCTGAGCCCACAGCCAATACACCCATTATACGGAAGCACCAGACTCTCTCTCTGCCTGTGTTCTCTAGAGAACATCTGCAGGGTGCTTCATTTCCTTAGCAATCACATGAACAGAGATCAGGTCTAACTTACTCCCGTGTAAGTCTGCACAGGGTTGCAAACAGAACAAACCAGCAAGTCTAATCTCTTATCTGCCATCAACTCAACAGGTCGCTTTAAGCAAGCTGCTGCTTCTCAGCCTCACAACGTATTTTGCTGTTTTCCATGTACAATACCCAACTGGAGAGGCATTTAAATCCTAGCTCCACATTGGTGATGCCAGTGTTGCCACTGTCACCTGAGAGCAGGAGGCTAGCCGAAGAAGAAGAAGAAGAGTTTGGACTTGATATCCCACCTTTCACTCCCCTTAAGGAGCTTCAAAGCGGCTAACACTCTCCTTTCCCTTCCTCCCCCACAACAAACACTCTGTGAGGTGAGTGGGGCTGAGAGACTTCAGAGAAGTGTGACTAGCCCAAAGTCACCCAGCAGCTTCATGTGGAGCAGAGACGCGAACCCGGTTCCCCAGATTACGAGTCCACCGCTCTGAGGATGCACAGGCAGATTTCACATACAGTGGTACCTCGGGTTACATACACTTCAGGTTACACACTCCGCTAACCTAGAAATAGTGCTTCAGGTTAAGAACTTTGCTTCAGGTTGAGAACAGAAATCATGCTCCGGCGGCGCAGCAGCAGCGGGAGGCCCCATTAGCTAAAGAGGTGCTTCAGGTTAAGTACAGTTTCAGATTAAGAACGGACCTCCGGAACGAATTAAGTACTTAACCCGAGGTACCACTGTACACTCCTTCCTTCCCTACCACTTCCTGCCTCCAAAACACCGGCTGCCTCATCCTTTTGCAGATTAGCACTCCCACCTTGCTTGCCTGCTGCAATGATTCAGGAAGTTTCATTGAAGTTTTTAGAACTGTTTTCAAAGTAAGTTTCCAGAGCAGATAAAGTATAAGGCATGGCAGGCCAACTTTGGGCATTTTTAAAGTAACTTGCTGCTACTTCGAAGTCTGTGGGTGACAGCTGTTGCATTAGAAGAGTTTCATTATTATTATGTCACACCTTGGAGGGAATGCCTCTTTCGATATATTGCTTTGTGTGAACATTCGTTTATTTTCAAAGTATTTATTTATGCCATTTTTATTCTGTCCATCAACCAAGTCCTTCAGGCAGTTTATAAAACTTATAAATCAATAAAATGCAATCCACTGGAAAAAAGGGGGGGAAGTTCACCCCACCCACCCCATCATTAACCATTTACTTCCTGTGCCCCCTCCAAGAAGCAGAAGACGGTATATGTGATTCTCCTCCCCATTTTATCCTCACAACAGCCCTGTAAGGTAGGTTAGGCTGAAAGATGGCATCTGGCCCAAAGTCTTCTAGTTGGCTTCATGGGGATTTTAACCTGGGTCTTCTTAGGCCTAGTCTAACCCAGACTTCCCCATGTCTTGGTGCCCACTGGATGTTGCTGGACTACAGCTCCCATTCTCCTTGACCACTGGCCATGCAGAGCCCAAAACTTTTGGATAGCGTCAAGTTCAGGAAGGCTGCTCTAACCATTACACCACACTGGCCATAACTGCGAGTGTGACGCCTAAAAACGGGTATTCTGGCCCACCTCACCATTACTGCAATAAATTATGCAAACTGATGCAGAATTATCTGATTAATCATATGTTTGGTCATATATTTAAAAAATTATATACCGCTATGTCATTTAAAAATACTGTATAACAAGGCAATTTACAACAATAAAGCATAAAAACCGTAGGGAAGTTAAAAGCAGACATCAGTTAAGCACTGTGGAAGGGCGGATTCTTAATTGACTGCAGAGGCCTGGCGGAGCAGGAAAGTTTTCAGCAGGCATTTAAAACTTGGCCCAGAAGTTCAAAGCTGCCGCGATCAGAAGGCTGCCTTGAAGCGCGCCATAGTCCGAATAACCCGGCGCACTGGACGGGAGGCGGCGGACAAATCGCTTCTTGGAAAGCTTGTTCTCCGAAGCGCCGAGCAGCGCCTTGGCTGGACGTCGCTGAATCAGAAATGTGTAATCCCCGTCGCCGCCCCGCTCCCAGCATTTCTTCCCTAGACCAAGGTACAACTCATGGGAAAAGCCCACTCGCGAAAAGGGCCCGTGTCGCTTTAAAAAGCGGGATTTGGAGGGGAGGAGCGCATCACGAAAAGCGGCGCGAGGAGGAAGTGAAGTCAGTCTCGCGGTGGCGAATCCGCTGCTCGGAGCGGAGCGGACGAAAAAAGGAAAGAGCAAGCGAGCAAGCAAGCAAGCAGGCGGCGGGGCTGCGGGACCTGAGCTGGGCAGAGCCGCTTTGCATGGTGAGTGGCTTCGGAGAAGCGGGGTTTCCCGCCTCTCCCGCGCCCCGCTTTGGAGAGCCCCTCTTTCCCCGGCGCGCGCGCGAGGGTGTGGTCGCAATGGGGGGCTTTGCTGGTGGCCGGTTGGCAGCGCCCCCTCCCTCACCCCCCGCCGAAAGATCTCCGGCCTAGAAAGAGAGTCGAAAATGCTTGGGGGTGTTGAGAAGGCACTGACTGGAATCCTCCTCCTCCCCGCGCTTCCTTCACTAGTTCAGCCATAGGCGAGACCCGCTTGCTTGATGTTCTGGAGGCGCTTCCTCGTGGCTCTTCCCTCTCTCTGTGTGCGCAGCCCAATTCTGTGGCGGTAGCATATACAGTGGTACCTCGGGTTAAGTACTTAATTCGTTCCGGAGGTCCGTTCTTAACCTGAAACTGTTCTTAACCTGAAGCACTGTGGGGATGCAGCACCACTTTAGCTAATGGGGCCTCCTGCTGCTGCCGCCGCCACGCGATTTCTGTTCTTATCCTGAAGCAAAATTCTTAACCTGAAGCACTATTTCTGGGTTAGCGGAGTCTGTAGCCTGAAGCGTATGTAACCCGAGGTACCACTGTAGTTGCTCCAAATGTTGCTATTCGTTTTCAAAAACCGTGGCAAGAATATTAGCCCGCAGCTACGCTTGAAAAGTATTGCCGAAGGGAACGCGCATTCGCTCCTTGTCTGGTCTTCCCTTCCTGAGGGCTTTTGTGTGTGCGCTTTTGAGGGAGACTCCTCGAAGAGCCATGAAAAGACAGAGGACAGCCGATTAATTCGGTTTATTATTCTGTTTTTAGCATTGGGTGGGTGCGGTTGCTCTTTCTGGGTTTCCCGCCTCGTGTTTTGATGCGCGGTTTTCCTATTTTTTCTCCCATTTGGAGGTATTTGCAAGACACGCGCACGTCCCAGGCAGACGTTGCCCAAAAAATTCCCCACTGGGGGTGTCCGGAAATAACCGTGGTTGTGATGGTGGTCAGGGGTAGGGCAGGCCTCGGGGCGCCTTGTCGGCTCCTTGACTGGGCAGGCCGAGCTGGGGGAACAAGAGGCCTCTTTGGCTGCTTGAGAGATGCCCACAGTGGCATGTTCAGCCAGGACCTTGGGCTTTGGGGGCTCCCTTCATGGGGCAAAGTTCCCTGCTGCCAGTACGCCTCTCCCTACAAGCATGGATGGAGCAGGAAAGTCAGCAGCCAGGAGATGCAGAAACAGCAGCTGCCGCAACTTGTTTACTTTCCTTGGTTGGGTCCAGAGGGAGAACCCTGTATGGCTGTGGTGCCCTGGCTGCATTTGCCAGATGCAGACAGGAGGATGTACTGCAGGTCCTGTAGATCTGGGGTCCCCAATCTTTCTAGCCCAAAAGCACTTTTGGAAATCTAAGAAACAGACATGAGCATGAAAAAAATACCCGTTTCGCATAAGCTGCCAAAACAAGCAAAAACATTTGCACTGCCTCAAAATACATACAACCTCCCCCTTTAATATGTATTTATATATAAAATAGGGAGTTGCAGGGGGCCGTGGCAAGTGTTACCAGGGGTGTCTTTTGGGTGCCCATGGGAACCCCAGCTCTAGACATCGTAGAACTATTTTTTTTACAATAATTTTTATTAGTTTCCAAATCCAAAATACACCTCATTATATCTATATCAAATCACAATACCAAATCAAATACCCAATTGTATAATTTTGGTGCCCCCACCCCCCGCGTGCTAGAATTACAGGTTTGTTTTTTTAAAAAAATCTGCTTCCAAAGTCTTACTTAATCCAGTTGTATTCCAATCATAATTACTCTATAATCCATTCAGCAGCTGCAACGTTTATAACTTCTATTTGTATTAACACATTCAATAATTTATTAGTCCACAAATGAAGATCTATATCCTTTTGCTACTGCGTGTAGTAATTATTTGTCCATAATTTTTCTTCTTTCTTTGCCAAATGTTAATCCATTTGTCCAGAAAGTCCCACGTCGCTCCAGTTGTACTCTCTCCTTTCTTTTCTCAATTGTAGTTGCAATATAAATAAATCAGCCTAGGGAAAAAGTTAACTGGCACCCTGCCAAAGCCCTGACAGTTCTCCAATTTCTCTTCCTTTAGGTATTGTTGAACTGTAGCTCACATCATCCCTGATCTTTGGGCATGTTTGCCGGGGCTAATGGAAGTTGGAGTTCAGGAAATCCCTGTTTTGATTTACTTACTAAGCAGTATCTAAATGCTGAAATAAATAAATAAAATATCTGGAGGGCCACAGGTTCTCGATTCCTAGTGCAATGTGACCAAACAACAAGAAGCGAGAAATTAGGTTTTGTTTCTATAACTTTTAAAAAAAATTATTGTGGCAGGCAATGTGTGTGTGTGTAGGAAGAACTTGAATACAGTGGTGCCTCGCAAGACGAAATTAATCAGTTCCGCGAGTCTCTTCGTCTTGCGGTTTTTTTGTCTTGCGAAGCACGGCTATTAGCGGCTTTAAGAAAAAGGAAACAAACTCGCAAGACGTTTCGTCTTGCGAAGCAAGCCCATAGGGAAATTCGTCTTGCGGAACGACTCAAAAAACGGAAAACTCTTTCGTCTAGCGAGTTTTTCGTCTTGCGAGGCATTCGTCTTGCGGGGCACCACTGCATTGGAAGCGCAGTTCATCTCACACATCCTCTCACTTTCTGTTCCCACCTGCCCCATATTCCTAGTGGTGCAAGGCCACCTTGTATCATCAAGAGTGGAATGGGGTGAGACATTACATCATAATCACATTCCTGAATGCAGTGCTATACTTTACCCATAAAGATGACTGGCAACAGTTGACTCACTTTACCTTAGGATAAAGTGGGACACAGCTGGAGGGAGGTGACACTGAGCTTTTTCTCCAAATCAAGCTTCATCTTAATGTTTACGCCAAGCTTGATCTTAATGTTCATGTCCTCAGTCACACCTAAATGTGACAACGTTGGGAACAAGCATTTCTGTAGCTAAAGTACCTCAGAGCCTGCCAAGATTACTGGGAGGCAAGGGAGTTCTAGGCATTTTCCCAGCTTCACTTGCTACCAATGCATGTGTCATATTCAGTCCCTGCTTCTCATAACAACAGCTGCAGAAGCCTCAGTGATGAATAGGTTTGTCAAGGAAATAGGAAGAGTGGTCCTGCAACTGCCTTTCTTTCCCATCCACCATAGAGGCCATAAGTGGTTGCTTGGGGTCTGAAGTGTGTGATATGGCGCTTGTTTCTCTAAAATGCAGGTAAGCAGCGTTAGGAAAGGATTTCTCCCACCTTGCTAATATTTTAAAGGGGTAAGTGCCGAAGAATACACACAAGTATTTTGGACCTGATTCAGGTTGCATGTATTCTACTTTTGTGTTTTGAACAGTGCTGAGTTTGCTCACTTTTCAGAGCGTGATAATATTCTTGTATGCATTCGGATTTGATAGTGGGTTTCACAGAAGTGTAGCTTGCATGCAGAAGTACATCATTTTTGCAGCCAGTCTGCGGTGGAAGTATCCTCACCACATTTTGGTTGGAGGAAACCAGCAGTTTTCAGCAGAAGCCAGATTTTTACCACTTTGATGGTCTGGCCTTTGTATTAGTCACAAAGCCACATTTTCTTCCTCTACCCACCACCCCACCCACAAAATTTTTTTTAAAGCATGAAACAAACATGCACATAAGGCACTTGAAATAAAAAACCAATGTGGACAGCATGCTTGATGCACTAGAGAGGGAGCTGTTGTGTTTGATTTGGAGACTGTATGTTTCATTACAAGAGCAAATGTGAGGAAAATCGAGCTCACCCCTGCAGCAGAACCTCCTCAGGTTTGCTCATGATTGGAGGAAATGGCCTCCTTTTCCAAAGTGAATTTGGGTCTAACTTCAACCTTGGAATATTATTCTTTTTATTAATAGTAATCTTTTTGGCCAGTGACCCATTGAGTAAATTGAGAAGCCTCAATTATATTTTCCTTTTGCCACTGTGGTTGGAGGCAGGTGTGTCTTGCAAGAAGCTTCTTCTGAAGCCAGGATGTGAGAATAGAGGCCATAACCCATAGGATAAGGTTGCCAGACGTCCCCGTTTCCCAGGGACAGTCCCCAGATTTACAAATCAGTCCCCATACAAAATCCGTTGAAGTTGAAAAGTGTCCCTGGATTCATTGGAAAAAATCTGGTAATCTTACCGTAGGAACTTCGTGCTTGTGTGAATTATTTGCACACATGTGTGCTCCTGTTACCCTCTGAATATCTGGAGTCTCCTGTGGGTTTGGATAAGATTGGTCTCTGTTACATTTGGAACAGTGAGACTTTTTTCAGCATCTACTTTCTATATCTCTTATCTGTTTCTCCACCACCACCTATCTTTAGGTGTGCAGCTGACAATTAAACTACCTGAGGCAAAAAAAAAAACGTTTTGCAAGTTGGCAGCACGTGAGCTGTTCAGGCTGTCTGTCCTCTGCGCAAACACCTCTCCGCATTTGGCAGGCTTCACTCAATGGTTCACATGGGTAGGTCTCTTTCCTGTGAGCAATTAACTCTGTGCTAGTGAGCCTGTGAGTAGACACTGTGAATGTAATCATAAATGAAAACAACACTGCAAGCCCCCTAAATCACAGTCTAGAGTCACTGTTAGAAACTCAGATATAAGGACCCAGGTGGGTCCTTAAACCAGGGTTACAGTCGCCAAAATGGAATGTTTAGTTGACATTTAGGGGGCAGATAACTCAAAAGCATATTTTTCAATGCAACTCTTGAGTTCATTCTGATTGTGCAGATAAAATATAACTGACGGAATTCTACAGGATGTGTTGTGGGTGTGTGAAAACAGGCAAGATCCAAGGATCATCAGACATTTGCCTCCAGATGGTGGAGACGTCAGACGCCATTCTGGCTCCTAGCTTCACTTGGTCACAAGTGACCAATAGCCAGGTGAAAAATGAGCCTGGCACATGGGAAATTTCAAACTCTGCTAGAGGTACAAGATAATTCCCACAACAACAGGAATAAAAAGGGCTCTTGTCAAACCTACATCCCAGATACTTAGCAGCTGGAAACTTGAACAGACAATGAGAACTGCTAAAAATAAAATAAAAGAATCATACCCAACTAAAGGAATTAAGGGGTATTATCACCAAAGACCTCATTATTACTATTGGAGTTTGAGGTGAGCAAGCAATCAGTGTAAGTAATTGCCTACAAAGCAAAAAATTTAAAAGGGAGCACATCCAATATTAATAGATGGCCAGGTAGTATTCTGCTTTTCAACTTGACCAAAAAAGTCCACCTAGAGAACTACTGTCATTCACTCCTGCTTCCGGAAGTACAGTGTTTTGTGTTTCCTGGAACTTGGGAGCTGAGAATTTGATGTTGACAGCTACTTCCTTAATAAATATGACCTTTGCAACATGAGTCATTTTTTTAGGTTGTTGACTTGAACATATGTTTTTTCATGGCTGTGACGATGATATTATGATGACTGTTGTCCTTATATAATTGACACCCTTCATATCTTTACTTGGCGATTCAAGCGCGTACCAGAAAGTTTAGGGTGAGATTCACCTAATGTGTCCCATCAGCAGAAGCCCCCCACCCACCCTGAGGATTTCTGCTTGCACAATGGGACTTCTCCTCTCCTTGCCCACCTCCCGAAATTATTCCATTTGACAAGCTGAACTGCTTGTGCTGATGGAACATTTCTCTTAAAATTCTTTCCTTTCTCTTGAATTCTTTCCTGAGGTTTCAGCAGTTAAAGTAGTCGCCCTAGTGCAACAGGTCTACTTTTAAAAAAGGAAGTGACTTTTTGTGGTTAGGAAAGTGATGGAGAAGTGTAGTCAAAAGTATGGGGTGAATGAATCAGTAATGCAAAGGCATTTATCTTCCCTTGCATTTTGAAAATTCAGTTTCTTTGGCATCTTTCCTTTAGTGGAGCCTTATATAAATTTGATTTCTGAGTGTTTATTGTGCCTTCTCTCCCCCCACAAAAAAGTTGGGGTTTTTTGTATCCCCTTGCCAATCTATGAATTAAATACTTTGGTATATTTTGCAACCTTTGCAACTAAAGCTATTTCACTTTCCCAGTTCTGACAAATGTCTGCACTGTTTTGTATTGGAAGTTTGGTGGCAATCCCTAGGTGGCACCAGTAAACATTGCAATCATTTTATAGTTCGGTTACATAGGTTCTGTTATCTCCATTTAACCAATTAAGCTTTTTTCTCATACTCGACCAACATTTTCTCTGCACACATTGCATTCAGTATAGGATTGCTCCTAATTTTTGTACAACATAATACGTTTTGTGATTGCCCCCGCATGCAAAAATTAAAACAAACAGATTGCCCAAAGCTTTGAACTTTAAGGCTTCATTTAAAGTTCACTGCAGGCTCTGTGAAGCATAGAATCTACAATATTGCCACAGATTAATATATGTAGCCTGGGATTTGGACTGGGAACTCATAGTAGGAGTAGGAGTAGGAGTAATAATTCATTTATAATTGCTTCCCATGGAGCATCCCAAAGGGATTTACAGTATATTAAAAGCATGTATAAAACAGTCACACAGATTGCGTGGCAGCCATACCTTAGCCAACAGTACTGCAGCTTGCTTTGCTTAAGGCAGGTGTGGAGAGGCTGTAGCCCTCCAGGTGATGTTGGTCTCCACCTCCCATCAAGCCCGGCCACCATGGCTGATAGTTGTGCATCAGGGCAGCCACTGGTCGCTTGCAGTAGGTGATAAGTGACACACCTCTCTCCTTGGCTTTTGACACCTGAGATGTATGCTTTTTGGACCCACCTTCTGTGGTTGTAAGTGGCTTTAAACTGTATTTAACATGGTGCTTTAGTTGTTGCAACCCACGCTGGGACTTGGAGTGGTGGGCAGGCAGGTCATAAACTGGTTATAATAAGAATAATACATTTCCAGTTGTTAGTGGATAATTGGAACCTGAGCCGCAGACCGATACTTATTTCCTGTGGTTTTTATTGCCAAGTTAAAACAATTTGGTCTGCCTTAGTGATTTCCTATTCCTTTGAGGTTTCCCCTTTGGAGTTTATTGTTCAGCGTCCCCACTTCCTTCGTACTCTGCTTTCATTCTCCTTGTCTGAGCTAGGCTTAATTGTGCTTAAACTGCTTAGGCAAAGAGCAGCAAGATTTGCAGCGGAGTGTGCAGGCAGACATTGTGGGATGGTAAAAGAAAAAAGAAAGTGCAATAATCCAGTGTGGAAGTTACCACCTACCTGGGTAGTAAATATACATAGGAATGCCCTGCATATATATTTAAATTAAATTCAAACAAACTTGGAGTGTTTCTTGAAAATTATTTTAATTTGAGTACATGGAAGTAGTTAAGCTCATGACAGCTTGACTGCAGGCATTGATTTTCATTGTTGCAATTTAAGTGGGGAGAAAAGGAAAGCGCTGAGGCCTACTAACACTAATTTTAGCTTGTGAAAAAGCTGTTTATTTCAGGCATAGGCAAACTTGGCTCTCCAGATGTTTTGAGACTACAACTCCCTAGCTAACAGGACCTGTGGCCAGGGATGATGGGAATTGTAATCCCAAAACATCTGTAGGGCCAAGTTTGCCTGCGGCTGGTTTATTTGTTACGTTGGCATACATCCCATAGCAGTAATCAACCTGAAAAAATAATTTTATGGATAATAATAATTCAAGGTATTTTCCATTAAAGAAATAAATCATTGAAAACATTTCCATCCCATGTAACATCAGTGACTTTGTTGTCTGGCTGCATTGAGCATCTGGAAATTATGCATGAAAGGGAGCATGCAGATATGTTAATTAAGCCAGCCCAAGGTGTTGTAGTTTGGAGATGAAAAGCTTTGGGGTTCCTGATAGCAGGGGTGGGGCAGAGTAAATCATTCCCAGCATTTCCTTCTGACTTGTGAAAGTTTCCTTACCATTGGTCCATCTATCCCGGTATTGGTTCCTATGCCTGCCCCACAAGCCTTGGGCTCTGCTACCTGAAAGCCCTTAACATTTTACAACTGAGTCCTGGGCCACTTCCTTTTTTGAGAATGATTTTCCTCATCATTTTCACCACTGCACCCAAGCAGTGTCCCAGGGACTGCACAGCCTTTCCTGGTTCAGATGTTATGGAGAAATATGGTTGAGTGTGATCAGTACACTGATGGCACCTTGCCCCGAAACTCCTAATGACCACTCCCAATGGCTTCGTGTAGATATTAAATAGCACTGGAGATAAGAGAGTCCCCTGTGGCGTAGCTGCCAGGAGGCCAAAAGGCACTCTTCCGATGCTACTCTCTGGACTTGGTCCTGAAGTACGATTGCAGCCCCCAATTTCCATTCCCTGGAGCCGGTCCAGGAGGTTGCTGACGAGAGATCAAGAAGCTGGAGCAAGGTTGCACTCCTCCTGTCTGCAGAGGTCCTCTAAGAATGCTTGCATCTGCCCCACCACAGACCTCTTCACTACCTTCCCCCAAAAGAGGGAGTATTTGCAACTGGTCAGTAGTTGTTCCAGTCCAGAGCTGGTTTCTTCAGGAGCTGTTGCATCACTGCCTGTTTCAATGCAGCAGGGACCATCCCCTCACAGTGGAGTGTCAAATAAACACATTTCTATAAAACCCATTTGTCATCAACAAAAACACCAGCAGCAGTATGTGCAAATAAAATATCTTGAGAAGTTCTGCCCTTTCCCCCAGTCTGTGGAAAGATATAAAATTCTGGTGTGAAATATCTGTCAAGGAGGCCTCTATGATCTTCAGATGGTAATTGCTGGGTATATACTGGCAAGCTTGAGCTGCAGAGAGGGAATTAACCAAGAGATGAAAAGAAATCACACGCAATTCTTCTTTTGCAGGTAGAAGCCCTGTGATTTCCGAAGATTACGAGTAACCTGGCTTCAGCATCAACGATGGACCAGGTTGGATCAGAAATTATTTTCAAATAATTGTATCGTCTGAAGAAATGTTGAGTTGTTTGTCCAAGAAAAGTTATTTTTGAGTCACCTTTTCTAGAAGCCCCTACCCCCTTTCCCCCTAAAAGTGTTCAGCAGAACAAAGGAGTAAGCTGTGGCTCTCACTCACCCCTGAGCTATGTAGAGACATAGGGAATCCCTGCTTAGGAATGGAGGTCCCCGTCTCTTCCAAGTTCTCAAAGTTTACAAATTGCTGCAGTGCACAAGCACAGATCCCATATGTTTAGATAAGTGTTTTCTTGTGGAAAGCACTGCCCTTGTAAGGTAGCTCAGAATCACTTGAGAATTCAGTCCCGATAGCTGGCTTTGATTGTGCATGCACAACTAAGAGGGACCATTTCCAGAAGAGTAGCTGTGTTAGTCTGTTGCGACAAAAAACAGCAAAGAGGCTTGTGGCACCTTAAAAGACTGGCCGGTTTATTATAGCATAAACTTCCACAGACATCGCCTGATGAAATGGACTGTAGTCCACGAAAACTAATGCTGGCACAAGGCTCAGTCAGGCTGGTCCTTAATCTCATTTTTCAGACATCAAGTGTGAATTAAAAGATGCCAAGATCGCCTTATTAGCAATGGTGTGATGGTGATTCGAAGACAAGGGCAGAGTTGAAAAAGAAGTGCACTACAACAGAGTTATAAAATAACTGCCCCTGGGACACTAGAAACCATACTTGGCTCTCACTCTGGAGAGTTTGACAGTGCCTGGTATTTTTAGTATCTTAAGAGCTGCTAACTTCCCCTTTTTTGTATTTAAATATAAACTGATATTCTCCAGTTTCACAGGGTAAGATTATAGATATGCATAACCCCTGGATCAAGATGATAAAGGATTTCATGCACTAGAACTGCTATTATAAATATTTTTAAATAAGCATTAAATGAAGTTGGCTGCATGCTTATTTATCATAAATAATACCTGTTCTGTTTCTCTCTCTCTCCCCCCCCCCCCCCCATTATAGGGTGATTATAATAGCCCCTTTCAGGAGGCACAGCTAACCAAGATTCTCCTCTACTCCTTCCTGGAGAAGTCTTCGGACTGTGCTTTTGCTTCAGAGCTTTGTGCTTTGAAAAACCAGTTGGTTTCAGAGCAGGACGATGATGAGGAGCTTCAGACAGATGGCAACAGATTTGGGCAACCTGAGGACAGTAGGTATTTTATCTTGAGCAAACAAGTTTGTTTGTTTGTTTGTTTGTTTGTTTGTTTGTTTGTTTGTTTGATACCCAGGTTTGATACCCTGGCTTTTCTCTCAGTGGAGCATGAATTTAAACAGACAGAACTACAAATATGCAATAAATATAAATATTTTAAGAACAGTTAAATAAATAAAACTATTAAAAATAGCTCTGCAAACAGTTAAGGCCATTTAAAAGCACACATGCAAAAACATACGTTATTATCCTGGCTTTTCTGCAAGCAGCTCAGAGCAATGTACTCCTTGCACACATAAGTAGCCCTGTGATGTAGATTAGGCTGAGAGGCAGTGGCTGCCCTAAGGTTTCCTAGCAAGCTTTGTGGCAGGGATTTGAACCCCGGCCATAAATTCACCATGTAACCACCATGCTACAGTGGACACTTGTAGCAAATCCTCTGTGCTGTCCTCCTCAGCTGTCTGTTTGGAACCTAACTTAAGCCTTGGGCAGATCCATGCCATGTGTCACATCCAGTGCATTTTTAAAGCACATGACTTCCCCCAAAGAATCTAGGGAACTGTAGTTTGTAAAGGGCCCTGTGAGTGGGAAACTACGGTTCTCATGATTCTTTAGGGGAAGTCCTGCTTTAAATGTGTGTTGGGTAGTGCTTTATCTATGTGGTGTGGATATGCCCCTTATTTATTTGAACAATTTATATACCACTTAGCTACAGTAGTCTTTCAGTGATTTTTTTTTTCAAAGGTGCAATACCAAAAATAACAACCGGTTTTCACTAAAAAACGAAACATCAGTTCAAATGCCTGCTTGAATAAAAAAGCCTTCAGTAGGCCCTGGAAGTTCAGAGAGGAAGAGTGAGCAGAGAATTCCATTCTGTTTAATCTTTTTTCAGTCATATATCCAAATTCAGATGATGAGGAAATTTTCCGGATTATTGGAGCTCAGCTGGCTGAAATCGGAGATCAGCTGGCTGCCGAGATTGACCCATCGCTCGTACAGAATCTTGTGCGGCTGTTTATAGCGAAGAACATGTCCAAAGAGGTGATTGAGAGGAATGAAATTTAAGGCTTCAGAGTTTCATCTACCATGATAAGTGAAATCCTGGATCCAAATAACTGCTGTGCGGTTTTTCTGGGAACCCTTGCAAAGTCCATGCTTCTCTTGCAGAGGTGACTTGGTGAATGGGATGTATAATAATTGCTTCAGCTTTACTGTTGGGACTGAGGAACGTAAAATTGGAGTTGGGAGAGAGAGTTCAGGCATGTTTTGCTGTGGATTCTCTTACAGTCTCGTGAGCTAAAAGGCAGTAACTTCAGGAACGCAGGGATATGTCTTCTTCTTGGACAGAGGACAACAAGGCATTCAGCTTCATTTCCGTAGCTGAAATTTCTGTCCACCAGCAGCAGGCTAGACCTGTATTCTTGCAGCCAACTTAGCTGCAAAATTGGCGTTGGGGCACAACAGTGTTCCACGAAGCAGGCGAGTCCAAGGCTTGCTCCCACTGCTTCCCTTGGGGTGATAAAAGTCCCTCCCCCAGAAGGTAGAATTATAGAGTTGGAAGGGACCATGAGGGTCATCTAGCCCAACCCCCTGCAAAGCAGGAATTTTTTTATCCAACATGGAGCTTGAACCTACATCCCTGAGATTAAGAGTCTCATGCTCTGCCAACTGAGCTATGTCACCAGACTTCCATTATATTTATGTCAAGGGTGTTCTCATAAAAGCACCCTCCCCATATGTGTGATGAAGCAGGCACAACCTTGCAAACAGAACATCATTTTTCATTGGAGGAGAATCTTGATTGTAATCTGTAATAGTACTTCTGTTGTGGTGGGAGCATGTTTTAAAGAAAATTTAAAACATGGAAGAGGTACAGCCGTTGTTTTTTCATCTATTGGTGAGAATTATTTTAAAAGGAATTACTTATCTGTTAAGCAAAGGAGTGCCTACTAACAACAGATGTTGGAGGTGTGGAGCGAGCAAAGCAAAATTGCCCCAAGTGTTGTGGTTCATTTGGCCGGGGGCGGGGTTGGTTGCTTTCATTTATGTAGAAGGTGTATTTCCATTTTTATCTACCCCACAATAAATTGCATTAGGTTACTCACCAGAAATATGGTTATAAATGGAGAAGGCAGCCATTATTTTAAAGTGGGTGGCCAATGCATGATTATAAAAAAGTAGAATGCAACTTAATGCCACTCAAGCTTCAGTGGTGAAGGCCTATAAACAGTTGACACCTGCAAATTATAATCTAAAAGTATTTTGTCGTCTTTGAGGAGTTACTTTGCTATTGACATATTATTGGATTGCTGAATTTTGAAATCCGTACATAAATGAACCCATGTATAATTTAGAATTTTTTTAAAAATTTATCGTTGGTGGATGTTAATGATTGTTACACTGATCTTTGATGTTTGGAACTATTGTAATATAAACAGCAAAGGAGCAAAACAAAGATCCGCCAAATGCCTTGCGGTGTGTGGGGACAAGGGGGAAGAGAAAATAGGTTTTATTTGTGAGGGATTAGAGTAGAGAGGAACAGAAGGGCAGCATTTCAAAGAGATACATTTTCCCCCTCTCTTTTTTTTAGGCAATAACCAATCACCTGTCTCAAGTAGTGAAGGAAGTTGTGCGAAGGATGCCTTTGGAAATGGAGCAAGAGAGAGCCATGCTAGTGGTAGCTATGGTTTTAGCCAAAAAAGTAGCAAACACTGTGCCATCTCTTCTACAACAAGTGTTCAGCACAACCGTGAACTACATCAACCAGAACCTCCGTGATTATGTGAACAACTTGGAACCTGAGGTGATATAAAATAAAATCCAGGTGTTGCTATTTAATTATCTCCATGCCCAGTGAATAATTCAGCCCTACTTTGGAAGCTAGGGGGGAAAGGAGTGGTTATTCAGGCCGTGTGAAATGTTGTAGGAAAGGAGTTTGTTGGGTCCCTGATTTTACATCATGTGTGAATAGGATGCACAACTGGGGCCCATGTACAAGTGGTGCTTGTTGTGGCCAGAGACAAAACAATGGGGCATGGCTTATATACAGTCTCCCCATCTTGCATCCTCACATGCAAGAGGCAGTCACTGAAGCTCAAGTGACACATTCCAGCCAGACAGAAGGACTTGAGGGTGCCCACGGGGGAAATGGACTGGGGGAAATCCCGAGGGCCTGAAGTTCCTTATGCTTCCTCTGTTAGGATGAGGAAATTGAGCATTTTTGACTCTGTTTGGTGTGTTAGCCTAACTCCAAGATCACCAAATTTTGGGGGCTTGCAAACCAGAGAAAACATTGTTAGCAACACATAGAGAGACCCCTGAAGCTTGTTTCATCAACTGCAAGATTTCAGTTGCAGCAGGGAGGAGTTAGGGAAGGCTGCTGCAGGCACATGTGTGTCCAGAGATGCCATGTTGGCAATATGTATTCTGACATGTGAACCTGCCTTCAGTTGGACCCTAAAGGATGGGCTGGGGAAACCCAGCCAGGTGGGCGGGGTATAAAGAATAAATTATTATTATTATTATTATTATTATTATTATTATTATTATTCATACATGCAGGGCGTGTATGAAAGAAAAAGCCTTTTGGCGTTCACTTGTTTGGGAAATACCTAAATATGTGGACCATTGAATATAACTGTAGTGGACTGAACATAACTCCCTCTTTTCTTTCTCTTCTAGAGGTGAATGAAGGGAACACAACATGTCTACCTTTAAGAAATCTTTTTTTTTTTTTTAACCAGGAAACAGTTAAAAGGAACTGTTTTAAGCTTTGCTTGCAATTTTTACCAATACTAATTAGTTCCATGGTGCTGCTTACCTTGCTTTAAAGTATGAATTATGAATGACATTTTTTTTCTACTTGAAATACTTGGTCCTGCTCTACATCTCAGGAGGCAAGTGGCTATTTTTCTTGGGGTCATGGTGGGAGCAGTCAGTCATTCCTTGCAAATGACAAGCTTGGAGCAAAGGGTAGATGTTCTGTTCTGCCAGTTGCCAACTGGATTGGAGTGTTTGGGATCACTTATAAAACTACAAAGCCTTAATGAGCAATAGCAGGTGCTCCAACCCATCTAAGGACATCACTCTTGGGCATCAGTGAAAGGAATTGCACTAATGTGAAAAACCTTAGCTTGGGGGAACAGTGCTGGCAATGTATGCTGCTATTGCCCCATGGTACCTAGCCTTGGAGCATCTTCATCTTTCCAGTTGTCTTGGAAACTGGCTCTAAAGAGCCAGTTGTTGTCCAGTTTTTAGCAGATCATTGTTAATTCAAGTAGTTTATATATATGTATTTGTGTTGCTGTTGTAAAATTTCAAAAATGAAAATTGTTTCCTGTTTTCTTTTTACATTAGGCAGCAAATTTTACAGCAAAGGTGGTTAACCTGTTGCCCTGGTAGCATGTGTTTCTGGACTCATCCGTGCCACCCAAACAGCCCAAATGAGTGGGAATGCTGTGGCCACAGGTCACCCACTCTTGCTTTAAATGCAGCTGCCTTGTGGTGTCCAATAAAAATCCCTTAAGGTTGCTTGATTGGTGGGTTCTGCTCTGTCATGCAAGTGTTTTATTTGCACTTGGGAATTTCCAGCTCATAATAGAGTAGGTAGCCCTGGGCTCGGTATCGGTTTATAAATCTCTTGACATAGTTGCAAGCAGAGGGTGTGTTTGTGTTTATGTGTGTGGATTGCTGGCCTTCTCCTTACACCACCAGCTAAATTTGAAAAGGTGTCCCCCCCCCATTGGACCACACCCTATAATCCTGAATAAAATTTTGATTCAGCATTAAGGGTTGAGAAAGTGTACACAGGGTGTATGTGGGAGTACTGCCTTAGTAGTTCTCAATTTTAGCCAAATTTACTTGACTTGGAAAAAAGTAAAATGTAGTTCAACTATGGACTAATTTGGAATTTTGGAAATGTGTATTCCACATGAGGAGTTCCAAGAAGTCCGACAGTAAAACATGGCTCTTTTTATTAAGAAAAGGAAAGGAAAGGTTAGCCTATGGTGATAAAATTGCTTCTTTATTTCTTTCACTTCAGCTCTTTATGGCAGCACAGAAAGAATATTTTGAGAGCTGGGATTTTATGCTGACCCTTTCATTGTCAAAACTTGAGTGCTAGGGAATATGGTTTTGATAAAATACTGAGATGAAAGGTTAAGATCTAAAAAATTGATCCTGTATTCCTAATCCCTTTTCTTTCTAGCTGCAGTTCTTCTGTTTCAGAATTTAAAGGGAAGCCATTACCAGCAGCCAGAGTGTTAATATTGGTGTTAGAGGAAAAGTGGGTGGAATAACAGATGCAACTCCTGTGGCTCAAACACAGCTACCGTACTACAGAAAAATCAAAAAGTTTTATACCACCACCCCTCCATCCAGACAAGCAAAAAGCATCATGTGACACTTTCCAGACTGGCAAAAGCAGTAGTGGGCATGTATGGGGCAGGGGTTAGAGCCCGAAAAGAGCCGTGTGTGTCAGATGGGGAGCTGTGCATGGCCATATTCAATCCTCAGGCCCACCAGCTTTCCCACACCTGTACTAAACAGAAGGAAATACCACACATCTTTTCTTCAAAACTGACTTTATTAAAGTGCAACTGAGGGCTAGGGGCATGGGTCTTACAACAAAGCGCCATCAGCAGAGAAAAAATAAACATACCCCTTCAATTTATAAACAGTAGATGAGGGAGCTGGTAACTCCTTTTTAACACTGGAAATAGCAAGTTTTTTTAATTCATCAAATGGCACAAAAGGCTTCAGACAGTAATTTTGAAAATGCTGTACTTGCATAAGGAATTAGAAAAATACAGTTCCTTGAACACTTAACTGATTTGCATGTCACATCAGTCTTTCAGAATGCAAATTTGCTTATTATTGAAAATCAACCAATTGTTTTAGGAATTCACTAGAAACAAACACAATATTTTTCTAATACCTCTAGTCATAACTCAAATCCTCTATGCTTTTGTATGAACAGGATTGAAATAGGCTTTTAACCCATATGCTGATGAGTTGCTTTTACAGTTTTGGAGCTCTATAGAGAGGATAAATTGTGGTTTGTTATATAGCCTTTCGTTTATCTCATCTCTTTTGCTCTCACAATCAAAATCCATAATCTTTTAGAGTGCAACCAAGCTTCAATCTCTTCCAACATAACTTAAAGCATTCTCAGAGGTAAAATAGGTTCTACTTAATGAGCAATGTCTGAAAGTCTGCACTGGTTTGTAACAGTTTATACTGCTAGGACAGTTCCTAGACAAAATGTGCTTTAAGTCCTCATAATCAGTAGTTAGAGGGCATCACTTAAGGAATAACAATGTAATCAAACTCAGCTTTCTAGCTGTGGAAATAGAGAGTTCTGGGGGTTGATATATGAAGTATTACAAGTCAAACCCACACAAACCTGCCTTCCTTTAACCACAAATTAAGAGAATTACTGCAGCAGCTGCAGGAATAGCCTCCCCCCTGTTGCAACTAGCTTCTGGGAAACAGTTTTTCCAGTAGCTACTGCAGTTTTAGTATGCAGCATATCAAACATGTCTCCCTGAAGCTTCCCTGCTGCTGCTGCCAAACAAGACTGCTACAGCACCAGAAATCAGTGCAGGAGTGGGTGAGAGTTAGGGAATCAATTTAAGATTTACTGAGATAAAAGTCCAGCTACTTCCTGCTTTTGTTTTGTTCTTAAATAAGTAGCTGGGCTTATTTCAGCCAACTCTAATACAAGCCACAGGGAGCAACACACCTATCACCCCTAAGAGAGGTGGTCAAATTAGACTTAAGCTGCTGCTTCTTGCCTTGTTGCTTGCCTGGACAGGAAAGAGGTTTTCAATGGCAGTCACCTGCCCATTGGATTTTTTTTGGGGGGGGGGGAGGCTGAGAGAGGATGGCAGCCACACTGTTGTCTGAATGTGCATTTGTGGCTTGGTTTGTATGGTACAGTCTAATAATTTTAGGTGTTCCAATGCAGAATTGTAGACCACCCTTCTCATAAATAGTACAGTATATAAATGGGTACCTCTAGGTGACACAATTTCACATGGAATACATTTCTAAAAGTCCACCTATATGCCTGTTACTGCTAACACAATAACACATATGTTCATGATTTCTCCTAAATAGTTTATTGTTTGCAGCTCCAAAAACCATATAGACTCCAGCCTGTTGCCTGTGCTATATGAACATTAACCCTGAGAAGTACTGTTGCCAGAGTATAGAATGTTAGTTGTTAATTTATAAACAGACTAGCCCTTCTCTAGTGATGCTTCAAGAAAAGCTGTGAAATAACACTGCTTCAAAGCATCCATCTCACTGCTAAAAACAGACATTCATCTGAACCAACTAAATAAATGTATGACTATATATCACAGAATAAGAGAAATTATAGTATGAGACACCTTTACCAAGTCCTATTTCATCTTGAAGCCCTAATATATTCAGGAAAAGACTACCCCCCCCCCCACACACTTATTTCAGAAATCTACAGAAAATAGAACAGATTATTACTGGTCAGTGGTTGAAAGTGGCAGTTCACAGTTCTACACCCTTTAATCTTTCATCTAACGTTCTTTTTAGCATTTTGAAACTAGCGAAATTAACAGGTGAAGAATACCAATCTACAGTTGCCCATTGTCTCTCTTGCCCACCCCCGGGCCAAACACATGACCTTAGTATTGGAAAAAGAAAAACAGTACCGGTTTATCCTAATTAATCTGTAGTGCCTGCTAGAAAAATGAGAATTTGTATTGGCAATAGCCCTAGCAGATAAGGGAGGGGCTTATTTCAAAGCATGCATAACTCATATTTAAGAGGGTATGTAGTGGAGAAAGAAGAGTTTTGCAAATATCCACACAGAGGAAACAACATCCATTTCAAACCATCAAATTTATTGAGAGCTATAGACCATTCCCATCTATTATCGGTTGAATTGGTCTAATACTAGTGCATCTCTAAATACTGAGAACCCAAAATGGTACTATTGAGCTATATTAACTCTTGCAACAATGCTAATATCTAATGACATAGCAGCTATGATTTATTTTACCTTCCTCCAGCATGGGAGGTTTTTCCCCAAAGGCTTTTGGAGCTATAGCTCAAGAATACTCACTATTGGATAATAGGGCTACAAAATAGAAAGCAGGCAAATATAAAAAAGGGAAACTGTTAAAGCCCACTGGAATACACTGAGGCACTTTATTCTGGAAAATGGGTAACAAAGACAGCACTAGAAAAAAGCATTGGAAATTACCTAACCAGCAACTCCCAACCGCCATGGCAAAGTTCCCATCCTGCTGAATCAAAAAGCAAAAATTCCCATATGGTTAGAGGACACTTCACATACAACATTTGTAGGTGTGCATGTAATGTGGGAAGATAACCCCTTGTGTGCACAAACTATGTATTCTACATCCATACTCACCAGGGAGGCGAGACTGGCAGTGGCTTCCTCTCAAATAGCCAACCGATAGTAAACCCAGGCTTTCTACCACAACGTGTGTAAGGATACTTCCTCCCAACTTCACAATCATTAGAGCCAAACCCTCATCAACTTGGCTACTGTGCTAAAACGACGGCTGACTGCAATTACTTTTGCCATCAGACATCCTGGATGCTCCAAACAATCAAGTGACCATTATAGTAAGATGGAAGACAGTTTTATGGTAAACAGGAATGCAGACTGTCATAGTGGCAACTATCACTCATTAAATGTTAATCAAAACTACACTGGATAAGGGCCTGCCCAGTGAAGTTTCAGGAGTAAATAGCAATTACAACAACATGAAATAAGTAATAATAAATTTGAGATTTTGAAAGGTGAATGGATTAAAAATGAAACTAGGCTAAAGCTCAAAGACTCTTAAGAGTGTCTTTCACCTCCTTACTTTCCCTTTAAATTGCATCTAATTAAGAGCCTAGGGCTTGCCGATTAGAAGGTTGGCGGTTCGAATCCCCACAACGGGATGAGCGCCCGTTGTTCGGTCCTAGTTCCTGCCTGCCTAGCAAGTAAAGTCAAAGTCAAAGTGCAAGTAAATAGGTACCACTCCGGCGGGAAGGTAAACGGTGTTTCCGTGCGCTGCTCTGGTTTGCCAGAAGTGGCTTAGTCATGCTGGCCACATGACCCAGAAGCTGTCTGCGGACAATGCCGGCTCCCTTGGCCTACAGAGCGAGATGAGCGCCGCAACCCCACAGTCGTCCACGACTGGACCTAACGGTCAGAGGTACCTTTACTTTTACTTGCATCACATACACTGAGACCTGTAGCAATTTGCTACATAGTCTGTCTATGAATTCTAGGAATGGCTATAGGATGCTTCCTGTGGCAAAAGAGCATATTCTATTTACTATCACACCCCTAAAATGAATTGAAATTGTTGTTTTTTTGTTTGTTAAGAAGCAATTGAGCCTTAAGAATTTTTGCAACAAAGAACTTCAACACAGGTCATAATGAATAGGCCACATGTTGCCAAGACATTGCCTCCAAAATGTAACGTGTTAACACACGCACTGGAGAAGAAGAAAATCACCACTGCCACATGATGAGTATACATGTGTTAATTTGAGGAGATGATTCTTTTATTTACAATACATGAATGGAGAAGTTCAGCCTACAAATGTGGTTGAAGGGAATCTTAGGAATTTCCTCATCATCTGTTCTGCAGAGGGTAACTGGAAAAGGCAGCTATGGCAAGGAACTAGAGAAAACCACTACTCAACACTTTCACATTCCTAAATAGCACTATAGTAAAGAGGTACCTGATTGCCAGACAGGTAATCATATCCAATTAGTACACCAGGAGAGGGGGGAGGGGTTCATTCGGCATCCTTTGGTTAACAGAATAACGAGGGGGAAAGTTTGAATATGTCTACTATGGTGGAGCTTGGATATTTTAAAAAGTTTGAAAAAGGTCATTTTTTTTTTTACTTTTGATTTATACACATCTCAGCAGCCCAAACAAGCTGCAGCAATCGCTTGAAGGACATGAGAGCTTCCACTCCATAGAGCCAGCAAACACCAACAGAGTAATATTTAAATTTTGTTTCCATCACACACACAGCACCAAACACTGATAAGACATATCTTATTTCATTCCTCTTGGGTAGAAATCATACCTGGCTGGATTAAAAATAAACTTTCCACAGGTAGCTATTATCTGGCAAGTTTACATGACTTACTGGCTTTCAGGTCACCATTCACTCTACAGCCAAAACCAGGCAAACAACTGGGAGGGACAGCACAATGCTGCTTCGGTTGAACTACGTGACTTCATTTCTTTGAAGACCTTGTGCTTGGCTTTTTATCAGTGGTCAAGGTCAATTTAAGGCTAAGCGTCTTTCACTCTTGAATTTGTGCAAACACAACAGGGAAAAGATGTCCAAAGCAGGTGCTTATATTTTGACTTTGCAAGTGGTGCCAGTTCAGCTTACAACTGCTGAACATTTCTCCTTTTTATTCATCAGAATGATAAAAGGGTCTCTTTGATAACTAAACAGATATAAAAAACAGGATGCATTAAAAGGGCAAAGGGAGAGGGAAAACACAAAAGTAGCAGAGATCAGATACACATGAGGGATCAAAGAATATGTCTTCCCACCAAACTCTTATAATTTCATCCCTGCATGGGAGACTATTGCTTTACCCACCCAACATTAAAGAGCTTTAAGAATTTCATTAAATATATATGAGGGGGTAGAAAAGGTATAAAGCAAAGAGGTACAGTGGTACCTCGGGTTACAGACGCTTCAGGTTACAGACTCTGATAACCCAGAAATAGTACCTCAGGTTAAGAACTTTGCTTCAGGATGAGAACAGAAATCGCGCAGCAGCGGCACGGCGGCAGCGGGAGGCCCCATTAGCTAAAGTGGTACATCAGGTTAAGAACAGTTTCAGGTTAAGAATGGACCTCCAGAAAGAAAGAAGTTCTTAACCCGAGGTACCACTGTATTGAAGAAGCACTAACCCACTGGGGTTTAAAAGAGATCTGGGAGGTCAAGAGGAGCTGTGCAATACCTGAGGAAGCCGAGACAAAAGAGCTACCAACCTCATGCTACACTGAGCCTCTCATTCAAGAGGTTAAAGGGGAACCAAGAAGCTGCAAGAGCAGCTTATGGAAGGGAAATCTCCAGGGATAACAACAAACTTTCCTTTTCCCCTGGAATGTTCTGTGCCGGTTTCCAGTGTATAAGCATCCCCATTTCTCAGTTATACATACATATTAAATGTGCTGGGGTTTTCAAAATGACACCCCTATATGTTAAACAGGAAGATCCGATACCAGTCCACTAAAAACATGATTGTCCCCAGGCTTAGCTTTATAGTGTACCCTTGCCCCATCACCCTTTTTGCTACATGAATTTCCCATTAACAGCAGGCACCACAACCCTCAGCCAATGCAACTAAGTGTAGATTCAGGCGCTACCTCCTTGAGGAGGCATTCACTACTTCTTCCTCAATGCTAGTGCTACACCTACTGCCACAGCTAGGATGGCCACTGCAGCTGCCCCACCATATAGTAGAATTGATTTGCCTTCTGGTAAGAGGATGGGTTTCTCCTCTCCAGCAGGAGTCTTCTCTTCCTTTTCTTCAGAATAGCTTCCCTTTCTGGCCTTTATTTCTTCTTCTGGAGGCAGTATTCTTTCAGGTTTGGGGGTAGCTTTTTCTTCTGACTGAGTTAATTGCTGGACAGGTTTACTCAAGGCTGGAGCTTCAGGTTCTGGCAGCAGCACCTCTTTCCCCTCTTTCTGGTGTTCCTTATGTGAAGGTGCAGAGGGGCCTGGCTTTTTAAGAGACACAATTTCAGCTTCTGGCTCCAGCAATGCAGTTGGAGGTTCTGGGGAAGCAGACTTTGCAGGGTCAGCCTGCAGGACCACTTCTGACACCACTGTTTCCTCAACCCCCTCTGGTATCTCCTCCTTTTCAACATGAACAATATCAGAGTTTGAAGAGTTATTTTCACTCCTTTCTTCCCCACCTCCATTGCTGTCCAAACTCTTCACTTCTTCAGGATCCATAGCCACTTGCTGCCAAGACTCAGGCCCCAACGAGACAGGTAAGCTCTCAGTATGCCAACTCTGACTAGCTGACAAAGAAACTGGCAAGCTCTCCGACTGCCAAGATGTTGTCACTGTAGGTGACTCAGGAGGGCTCACCTGGCCTGAGTTGTCACTAGTTAGGATGTAGATGTCATTGCTATCTTCGGCAATTATTCCGTGGTACTCCTCTTCTTCAGAATCCAAACTAAAAACAGTACCCTAGAAGAAAAATGCACATAATCAACGAAGTTATCAGCACTTAATTTTACATGATACAACCACATTACAGAAGAATGGTAGCCTTAATTCAGAACAACCCAGAGAACGTATAATTGCTACATATAGTTGAACAGCCAATGGATACAACAGGTTTCCATCAGAGTGCAGTTGCATGCAATTATTGCGGGGGGCGGGGAGGCAACAAAACTTTAATACTTAAAGAGGTTTGCATATTGTCAAAACTAAGTATTGAACAGTAATTGTCTTCTGTCTGGTTTGAGACAAAAGTATTGTACTTGGATATGGGAAAGAGACCTGGATTCAGTTTTCTACTCTTATGAAATTCTATGTGTGTGCATGCACACAAAAGTCAGGATCACTCACCCTAACCTATTTCACAGGACTGTTATGAGCATAACACATGAATCTGATGTACATTATTTCACAATACACATGCAGTCAATCGGAAGCTGTGCCTTGGCTCACGAACGTTTTGGAAGTTGAACGGACTTCCAGGACGGATTCCGTTTGACTTCCGAAGTACAACTGTAGTTCTGTGCAATCTCTCACATACTCTATGGTGAGTGTTGATTCTATTAGGAAAGTGCCTCAACTGAAGTTGTACTACATAGGAGTTACTTTTTTATTTCTAGAAATCTATTCCTCAGGAGTCACCCATACACATATCACAATTTCTTCATAACTTATAAAAATTCAAAGCCTATTTGAATTAATTGAACTTTTTTTAAAAAAATAATCTGGTATCTGTATAGAGAGATAATGTTATAATACAAAGAATATTGAAGCATTGCTAACCAGAACCACTCAGGCATCCTTCAAGCAAAGCTCTCAGAGCTTCTGTTGATGGCTGCCTTTCACAACTATCCATCTGTGCTAATGGAATGTGGCACATGCAGAAAGCTGCATCAGGGGCTGGACTGCCGCCACACAGAAAGTAATTACTCAGTAAATCCCCATCCACCCTCTTTCCGTGCTGATCAAGCTGTCTCATGAGCTCAGGAGCTTTATAGTGAAGAGTACATGTTATTCTGCTATGAATTGTTCCCACTCCTCTGCCCTCTTCATAGCTCCAGGCTAGCTTGCACTATTCACCCTTGCTTCAGCACCAGAGTCATGTAAAACAAAAATCAGAACACAGAGCACTATAATGCAGACAGGCCCTCCTATCAGATGTTTGTGATATTCTAATCAAGAATGACCCTGCATCAGAAAACCAAAGGGATATTGAGAAGAGATCTGCACAGGTAGCAGCAAAGAAGTTTTGCCAACAAAGATATTTTAGTAGGTTTTTTTAAAAAAAATAAAAACAAGTAGAGTATGTTTTAAAATAAATCAATACTAAGAAAGAATAAAAAATGTGTTAGGCACCAGAGGCCTAACTTCTGAAATATTAGTTCTAGAGAGTTGAGTTCAATTAATATTACTCCCAGTGTCATTCCGCTTATATTGTTTCATACAACTTAACCTTTTTGGCCCCGTATTTTACTTAATTGAGGACACAAAACTTGCCCAGAGAAGATCATTCTACAATTACTAAGTTTCTGCAAAAAAAATGTGGCTAATTTTTTGAAGACAGACATTCTGATGCAATTACCTAGGCAGTTTCATTAAATAATCTAGTATCTGAACTGAAAGATTATGCCCCAAGATGAATAACATTAAGCTGTGTATACTACAAATGAGAACATTGTAAGTTGCCTTATAACAAGTCAGATCATTGGGTCCATCTTTCTTAGTACTGTTGACACTGACTCGCTTTTACACGCAGAACATGTGCTCTACCACTGAGCTACAGCCCTTCCCCAACAATGAGTGTGGAATTCTCAGTTACATCTAGCCAGCAATACTACTCAAATAGATTTCTTAGCTTCATAAAGGAAAGTTGTTGTTACCTCCATTTCAGCACAAACTGCACCACAGGCTACAGAATCCTTTTATCTGTACCACATGATCCACAGAACAGGCTATTTTATGCCACTTGAGGTGTTATACTTAATCTTCGTACATCAACAGTGCTGTTCTTATCTGAAGGTCACACAAAGGTCTTCAGAGTGCAGTTTAACAGCTTTCAAATGTGCCAGGAATTAGCAGTTAAAAAAAGAAATAATAGAAAAGAGAGAGCCATGGAATATTAAGTAGCAATGAAGGAAAAGACATCTTGGACAATCTCAAATTTGAGAGTGCAGGCTCCTGAAGAGGTTGGCTTTCCAGGCTTGGGGGTGGTGGGGAGAAGAATAGGTTAACAGGCTGCTCCCCTAGGTGTCAGCTGAAGGAGTAGGAACAACCTCAATAAGAGGGAGAAATAGACACTATGGAAGGGGTTGAGACACAGAAGAGTGTAAGTGTGTGGGATAGCAGGCACCGAGGAAGGTGGGTGAAGCTGTCTCTAGTATGCAGTGAAGCAAGAGAGTGCTGAAGGTTATGGAATCTTCTCTAAGCCCAACTTTATTTTGTCCTAATAGGATTATTATGCTTTTCATTCACTGTCCTGAGACTTTGGACATAGGAACAGGTTACAAATATAAACAAATTTAAACTGCAAATGCAGGATCCCAATGATTTGTTTTAGTATTTCAAAACAGTCAAGAGTAAAAATGCTAAGTATCAGGTAGATCTAAAATTAATCAGTCACGCTACCCATGCTGCCAAAAATAAACACTTGCTCATTTCACTTAGAAAAAGACACATACAAAAAGACACAGGAACTCTCCTTCCAGGAGCAGTTAGTCTGTACAAGCAACACTAACCTATTAAATAGGACCTCCCCTTGTCAAATACAGTGTTATGTACTACATATTATAGTCCACAATATTCCATTTTCAAGAAGAGAGGAGAAACTAAGTCAAGAGGTAAGCCATCTAAAACAGGAATTGTTATCTGATACTGAAATCTGCAGTAGACTCCTTTATAAAAGTCAATAATGTCTCACAAGCCTACATATCTCCAGCTAGCATTTATTGATATATCCCTTCCAGCAATTATTATTTTTAAATTACACCATCCATTATGTTATCCTGGATTCCATTATCTCACTTCTGTAAGCAAGTGAAGTCTGAATAAAGGTACATTCTTTTACTCTCTTACAAAACGCACTCTCCAACAAAGCATGCTGCTATTTTAATACATTGCCTAAAGATTTCTCCCTTGTCATCCAGAGTCAAATCTTGGAATAAAGAACCAGACAATTTTGTTTTTTCACTGAAAGTATGCCACTATTAACAGTCTGAAGAGCAAGATGCTTAGAGGTTTTACTACACTGAAGCAGAATATAAATTTTGTTAAGCAAACAAACCTTGGTGCAAGATTCTGGTTGTCTTTCTAATAAGAATGAAATTATCAAGTTCAAAACGGAAATGAAGTTTGTTCTTATACCACTACCATCAGAGTATAAAACACAGCTACTTACCACCAACTTCAGTTTTAGAAACTGAACGACTACTTTACACTTCTAAAGACAACAATGCCAAGACTGAAAATAAAACCCAGAGTCAAGCACTAGGGGAAGTAGCCTGCTTTCCGTATCATTCTATAAACTCAATCACAATCGCAATGGCAAGGAAAGCAATACTTTAGACTTTAATTGTGCATTGCAGCTTCTAGTTCGCTTTTTACAAGTCAAATGGATGTGCAAGTTTCCAAAGGCACTTAATTATACTTCATGCAGAGATTATTAAAGCAGAGCAAGCCACAAGCATGTAAACTGGTGACAAAGCAGAATAATAACTTTTAAGCAAAAATAGTTAGTCATCTCTATTCTTCTCAGATCTCCCACAAGTCCTTTTCAATGTGGATGAAACACTGGAAATTAGGACAAGGTTGACACTTTTAAAGCATAAATATACTACTTCAGTAGTAAAGTCTTACCCAAACTGACTGTTCTTACTCTGCACTTTTCCAAGAGAAGTTTCTGATGCAGCAGACACAGCAAACAGAGGGAGAGTGAACAGAGAAAGGGGAGGGAGTATGCGCACTGCACATCAATTTGTTTGTGCCCTAATACAGCTTCAGGGCAAGCTGTAGAGCTAAGCTGCTGCCAAATTAGAATGAACGTTTTTTGTTTTGACCCAGTGGAAAACATGGAACCTTTCTGTGACTCTTCTGGTTTCCATCAACAATGTCTAGAGAGCAAGCTATGTCTACAAAAATGCTCAGAGCTAGATCTCTGCCTTTTATGATTAAAGAAGTACACTGCTACCTTGAAAATGAATTCAAAGCAAACCAATCTACTGCCTTACAAGAAGAGAAGTAAAGCAAAAGTATATATTCTGCATTGTTCTTATAATCCTTTTCAAGTTCAGTAACCAACAACATTGCATGACTCTGTTTCTTTTAGGTCAGAAGCTATTGCTTACATATGCAAAACTTTATAAGAACTTAGAAACTGCAACTGCATTTTGATTCTTCCTGATATTGAAATTACTACAAAAGCAGACTTAATGCAGATTTCACTGAAGAACGTTACTCGTTACTCACTGCTCACACTCAAAATGTGTGCAACACAACTTCTCATTAGAAAAGGAAAAGCAACATAGAAAAAATGTCTGGAAACCATCAGAACAATGAAAAGGAGGACATTACCTTTTAAAATGTGCTACATTTAACTTTTATAGACTTGCAGCATAATCCTATGCAGGTCTATTTAGAAACAAGCCCAGCTGAGTTCTATGGGACTTATTCCCAGAACCAATCTTCTTCTTAAAGGTTGCCATTTCTGCAAAAATCCTCCAAATATCAGGAAATCTACTCTTGACTGACGTTCCATTACACAATGATGGCACTGGGTGATGAATCCAATATTAAGGTTCTATATATTCAGTTTGTAGTATCTTATTGCTCCAAGTGTGTTCCATGTTGCATGACTATTTTTTACTTCAGTCTAATTATTTTCCTAGTCTACAAAATAGCTCATTCAGTCTGGGTTATTTCCACTTACTAAAGCTCCTGAGGTTGTACCGTTTTTGCCACTGCTTCCTCTGTAGAAAGACCTGATGTTTTCACAAAGCTCTAAATCTATAGAAAGACTATTTGTGACTTTCGTGCAAGGAATTGGGAGACCCTCATGACATACTCTTTAATGACTAATGGAACACAGAGAGTAAATACACTCTTAACTAATCCATTCATTGCCTCTGCTGGAGTAGATGAATATTTAAGTGATTTTAGTCTTTAAACAGCTTTTAAGCTATCTCCTAACCCCCAATACACATTGTTGTTTCTTCTTCCTTGGACAGGTTCACCATGACTGGAAATTTAGGAGGTCTAGCTGAACCTTACACATTGGGATTAAGCAGCTCAGGGGCAGTACCACAGCTAATTCTCCAATTCTGCTGTACTACCATTAGTGAAGACCAGCAAGAACATTTGCTGTGCATTCTGAGCTTCCAAACAGAGCAATTAATTTGAAGTTTCCCTATTCAAGTATTTAAACACGACCAAAAAGCATTGCTTAATGGTAGTACCATGTTTCAGGAAAACTTGAAATACTGCAGTCTCAGTTTCTTAAAACACAAATTTGTTAAACCAAATCAAAATAAGACTAGGTACCAGCCACAAAACTGAACCTTGTGCATAATGACATGAAGATCAAGATCAAAATACCCAAGATCTTACTCTTAACCACAGAGTAGTTAATCATGGCAACTTTTATTCAGTTTAAAAATTATCACCATTTCAATTCTTTCTTCACCTTTCCTGCACCATTTCAAAAATAGCTCTGCCCTGTTGGTTATGCAGCTTCTGTCAGTCCAATTTTATGCCTGGCTAGAGGTGAATAGATAAGTGCATGGTTCATGGAACTGCCAAGTCAACTACAAACAGTCACACAGTGAACATTCCCTCCCTCTTAGACACAGCTAGGCTGCTGTGTGTTTTCAGAAGCAACTATGCATTGTGACACACATGTTTATAAAAGGCTTTACAGAAGTCGTTGAGGTATGGAACACAGTCTTCTGAGGGTACCAAAACATCAAAAGAAACAGGAGGGCACAATGCAAGAAGTTATCTACTGGCCAAAAACAAAAATCTAAGACATTTCATTAAATCAAGGCCCAAAGCATAACCAGATGTAGGAGTCATTGTTTATTCTGCAGGAAGTGGAAGTCATAAAGGCATAATCTAAACACCAGCTCTTGTACCAGGCAAATATGCAATTTGTACAGTCAAGAAACATATTTATTCTTATGAGAAAATAAGGGCACAAAGGAGATGAGGGCGAGGGGAAAGCCCCTGGTAAAACCACTGTTTGCACCCTCCTAGTACACTTTACAAAATCAAAATATGAAAAATATATAATTTTAAAGGTTATTAGTATGTTTTTGCTATTTAGATTTTCTAACCACTGAACAGCTTTACTTTCAGAATAAAAACAACTTGGGAGTCATTTCACTAATCCCAGATTAATTCTGTTTAAATCTGGCAGTGTTCTATCTCCCAGAGAGGAATAATCTGTATGCTCACTGTGCTTCAGTTCAACTATCAAGTTGTAAGAAACAGATGGGAGGGAGGGGGCCTGGATATTCTTAGAGGGTTTCGTTGTACCTTCAAAACACAATTTTCAAATAGCACTTTAAATAGAACCCATTTTTTCTTAACCCATTTCACACAGGAATCTAGAGAAATACAACTTAAAGCACTCTGAGAAATTCAATAAAATTAAAACAAGCTCAATCTAAATGCATAACCTGAATTTGTTCATGACTGTGAGGTAGCTCAAGTCTGCTGCCCCACGAAAACAGAACTAAACTCATATAAAGACCAATGCATTTTAATTAAGATCAATTTAAAAATAATGCTGTTACCTTTGTTCTTGTTCATTATCCTAAATAATATCTATATGTTCTGCTATGGACAAAAAAATCAACACTGCTTTCCTTTGAACAGTTAGTAAATCTTAAATACAACTGTTGTACAGAGAGATGCACATATCTGTTCATCAACTCTGGAGGAAGATACAGTTGGACATTTAACTTCCTTACCCATCCACCTTGCTGGATGATATAGTCTGCAACATAGTCTTCCAGGTAGGTCACTCCAAAATTCAGCAGTGCCCCAAGTGGTTCTTTGCCCTGTCTTGTCAGTTCCATCAGGAATCGCTGAAGGATCACCAGAGGCACTAAAACCTTGGGAGTAAAGAGTGAAGAAAGGGTAGGCGAGGAAGAGACATGATCAGGAATTGCAGTAGTTTGGAAGAAAATCCTGCCACTGCGCCAAAGAGTGCTAAATACATTTATTGCGTAAGTACTTTAATTTTGCATGCATGGACATGAGATACAAGCATGGTGGGAGGGCAGCTTTGAAGGAGGCAACATTAAGCCCATATAAATATAAATATTAATAATATTTTTCAAGTACTCAGTTAAGAAAGAGAATACATAGAACACAGAACCCTGGCCAAAAAGCAGATTAGTCAGTGGGTCAATCTAGTCTCAAGAATCAGGCAATGAGTTCTCAACTCATTCCCTACCTCTCACTACTTCTTGGGCAGGTAAATGAGTTGCTGCTACTGTTGCAGGGTCTCCACTGTTTAAAATGAACAGGCAGTCAGGATGGTAACAGCAATTTGAAAGGGAGGAGAATAATGGACCTAGGTATCCCTTCTTCAAGTGACCCAACGTAAAGTGGACTGGAAAGTTTTGCTGCTGTGCAACATTATAATCTTCAAACACTCCATACAACACCAAGAAAAACAATTTCAGTATCAGCTTCAAGGACTTTCAAATGCAAAGAATGCTTGGAATACTCAGGATGAAACAGTGAAATCTGCTATGATTAAATGGGCACAAGATGTTGGACATAATATTATGTTTGCTGACTGGGAACAGTTGTGGACCACAGGTATGAAATTTACGGCATGTAATGCCTTAAGAGAAAATATTATGAAAATGATATACAGGTGGTACATAACCCCAGTCAAGCTTGCAAAAATCTATCATGTGCCTGATAATAAATGTTGGAAATGTAAAGAAACTGAAGGTACATTTTTTCACCTTTGGTGGACGTGCCCAAAGATTAAGGCTTTCTGGGAGATGATATATAATGAACTAAAAAAGGTATTTAAATATACCTTCTTGAAGAAACCAGAGGCCTTTCTCCTGGGCATAGTCAGCCAATCGGTGTTAAAAAAGGACAGAACTTTCTTTATGTATGCTACAACAGCAGCAAGAATACTCATTGCGAAGCATTGGAAGACACAAGATCTACCCACACTGGAGGAATGGCGGATGAAAATGATGGACTACATGGAATTGGCGGAAATGACTGGCAGAATCCGAGACCAGGGAGAAGAGTTGGTGGAAGAAGATTGGAAGAAATTTAAAGACTACTTACAGAAATATTGTAAAATTAATGAATGTTAGAATGATGTTGGATTGAAGTTAAGTGGTTTCTAGCTATATAGGTACAAAAGAATATGGAAAAATTGGTTTTTAATATGTAAAATCTAACGTTACAATATATCAGGACTAAGGATTAGGATTAAAAAGGAGGGAAAGGAATTGTTGGATTAACAAATTTAATTGGAATACAAAAGAGGGAGGTATGAGGAGGTCCTGGAAACAAGTAAACGTAAAAGAAGTGAGGAAAAGATGGAATTGTTTTTAACTGTTTTTTCTTTTTTATCTACTTTGTATTTTTCCTTTTCATTGTTAATTTTTTTTTTTTACTAATGTGATTTTTTTTTTCCTTTGAAATTTTAATAAATATTTTTTTTAAAAAAAAAATGCAAAGAATGCATTACTGGCAACAGGGTAACATTCTGTACCTTCTTTAACAATGACTTTTCAATTAAATCACCACTATCTGATCAAATTTCTGGAATTACCAAGCGATACCACTCTCTATTTTTGACTTTATCCCAAAGAAGAGTCAATACTGATTTATCTTCTCTTGCAAGATATTCCAATAGACTTGAAAGAAATTAGCTAGCACCTAAAAGGGTATTTTTATGTGAATATCTGTGATGAGATAAAGTCAATGCTGTCTTGGAGTCTTGAAGCTTCAACCCAGAGAGATCCACTTTACTCCAAATAAGCTCCCTAACACGAGTGGTTACTATGGCTCTCTCCCATAGGGCCACCAAGATACTAAGCCCTTTCATTATGGGCTTTTAGCAAGCATAGCACCAAGTGACAGTATCTTTTCCATTCAATCATAAAATAGAATTGGAACAATTAGTACCTGAAATAAATATCTGATGGGCTGAAAAGAATCTATTTGAAAACATTCATTAAAAACTAATTGATGTACTATATGTCTAACCCTTTAAGAACCTGGCAGCTTCTATGAGATTGAAATGTCTATGAGTGCTTCACAAGGAAAAAGATGGGCTTATTTCTGTTAACAGAAAACTGGATACAACTGGCTCCTTCTGTGCTATGCATTTAGAGTGAAATAGTCATGCTTTGTTCTCTCTGAATGCATTTGGAATCCATGTCTTCAGGAAAGTTGTCATCCTGTATACATTTACATGGGTGTAACCCCCATAGAATACCCCAGGGCTGACTTCTATGGAAATACACACCATGTTGGACTGTAACCGTGACCTGAAGGATTATAGGGAGAGGAAGGAAACCACAGCAACAACACCAAATGCTTGGCAAAGGGAGATCCATCTGGATATGGGACATGGATAAAGTTGTAAAAGTCTGTGCTGGGGTGGGAAGAAAAATGCTACTGAAAATGCAATTTGAGCACTAATAGAGATACACCCATCAGCCCCACTACTATACCAATGGAGAACCCTATCCCCTACAAAGGAAAGAATGAAAACCATCTGCATCTCTGCCTCCTCCTGCTCAGTCTAAGGTTTGTCTCTCACCCATACACCAAATTTCCTTTTCCTTAATGCAAAATGTCACGTTCAATTTCTGTTGTGGATGCTGTATAAAAGAATTATACAGTACTTACAAAAAATAAAAATCATTCAGATAAAGTGTCTTCCTCACCTTCATCCTGTTCAGCAACAGTAATTTCCCTTTCCCTTTGTCATTTGGACAAATTATATTTATACAAAAGAAGTTCAGAGCCATAAGAGCAGTTTGAGTTTCCTAGGCCAGGTTCCAAAGAACCATAAACTAGTTCCATGAGTCCGAAAGTGCTTTCAGGCCCGATTTGTTTCCTTAAACAATAGCTCCCTATATCAAGTGACCTTATTTTGAAACTCAGGAGAGTTTGTAAGCTACTCTGATGTGTTACGGTTATCAGATGCTGAAAGAGAAAAATTCTGTGAGCCAAAGTATTTCTTTGGATTCCAGCTCTGGTATCAAAAAGTTGTAACTCAGTAGGAAAAGATTTTATCAGAATGAAGTGTTTTTTGTTGTTTTGAAAAAAGAGGAACATTTGCCACCTTCCAACTATAGCTGTTTTACTTCCTGTCAACCTAGAAGACACTCAATAAAAAAATCCAATCAACATTTGGTTTGCAAGAAAGCAAATGACATTTTTAGCTCCTTGAAGGTAAGTTCAAAACTTTTTAAGATTTCTCATGGTGACCTTTGTATTCTCCTTTAGTTTATCAGTTTAGAAACTGTATAGGATGGAAGGGTTCTTAATTCTTTTCATTTCCCTTCAAAATCCTCTGTTAAAGGGCAGGTTTTCAAGAAAAATAGCCACTGGGTAAAAGTGGTAATTCCAATAAAGATTGTTTTCAATGCAACCTGTTTTGCAAGCTTTATCTGCATCAGCAATCATATTGTTAGAGTATGTAGTCAAAAAGATGTTACAGAAAAGTCTATAAATTGCAGACACTGCATTTTCTAAAAAGACTGGTAGAGGTATGGTGTGATCACATTTGGAATACTGTATACAGTTCTGGTCACCTCAAAAAGGATATTGTAGTATTAGTCTGTTTGACTGCTGAATCATATTAAATATCATAGTAGTAATGTACCAACTACACTTACTCCTATACTTAAGTGCTAATAAAACCTGGAACATGCAGTACGGTACAGATGAGGCAGATAAAACAGAGTACTGATTCCTTAAATTGGCACAGGTCTATAATGGATATCTAGTCAATTCAAAGTGAGGGTGATTTGGCAAGTACCTTGCTCCATCCACTGGCATGAGCTGATGCTTCCTGTGTCCTCTCCTTGTATTCCTTGTAAGTTACTGGTCTGTACAAATAAAACCAAAACACAAGATTTTAAAAAGCAAAGCAAAGGCAAAACAAGAAAGCATAACTTCCTTTTCAACAGTTTCTGCACAGTCTTGAAATGGTAATAGTAACACAGAGAGATATGTCAATTCTAGTAATATTAGATTACAGAGTTGGTGAAATGATTTGTGCAATTTTTGTTGAATCAGCTCATGCAGACAACTGACAAAAAACTTAATACTAGAATACTACAACTGAACTCCTTGAGGAGTTGCCACCTTAGTACTACTTTTATTGTGGTCAGTGACTTCCATGGGATGGCTGCAATCAGGAAACCTGTTGAGGCACAGCCAAAACCAGAGCCAGTAGTGTCTGAGCAGGTGCTTCCACTGCAACTGCAAGGCCCAATTTCTCTGGGGATGGCTCAGCAAGATATTTGCAGCTGAAGGGGAGAACTGGGAGTCCACTTAGAATGCACTCCCAATTGTTATTTTCAAGTCTGAATTATTCTGTGTCATAAAATGTCAGGTGATTAACAGGTGGGCAAGATCTGGGTCTGGTCTGCTGACTGGATACTAAGATATAGTAGCAATTCTTGCTTGCCTACCTACTGAACATGTGACTCAATGCAAAATCTGAGAGAGAGGAGAAACTCCCATTACTGTGTGTATATGTCACAATTCTATGTACACTTACCTGGAAGTAGCCCCACTAAACACATCTAAATAAGAACAGGATCAAGCTGCTTAAACTATGTAAGAGTGATATTACCTTTTAAATCACAGTTAAGCTTAAGGATGTTTTAAAAGTAAAACATGCAGTATGCTGGTACATGGAGCAAAAATTGTGGTCAGTTTGTTCTTCCACTGCTTCTGGGAGCTAAGCCATGGTTTGGCATAGTGTTACCTCAAAACCCAGACTCAAGATTTGTCTCTCTCCATACAAACCACAGGCTGAAACCAAATGCTTGTGATTTGTTTGGGAAAAACAAACCATGAACCAGGGTTTGGGTACAACACTAAGCCAAAACATGGTTTAGGCCCCTGCAGTGCAGCAGAAGTGGGGAAGAAGGGAACTGGCCACTATTTTCACCCAGTGCATCACAGCCTAAAGTGACAGGTTAACCAGCTCATCCCAGGTGATTGGAAAGTTTCCATATGTATATGTATATGTATATATATCTTTACCTCTAACATGCAGGTGGAGGACAGAAGTGAAATTTTTAGTCCTACATAGGACTAAATTGTTCCAGAACTGGCCGCATGAGATGCTACTGGATATATTTCCTTCTGATTGACCTTTGTATGTTGTTTTTCAACAAACAGAACACTCCATGCTTAGCAGGTTTTTCCCCCTAATCCGCATTTTCCTACTTCTTTCATGAGGATGTCCTGAGCAAGGGTTAAATGCATTTATTGAGTCTAGCTTAAGGACAGCTGGTCTGCTACATCTGTCTACTGTACTCTGTATACGAGGGCTGGAAACCTTCATATCACCATGTCCAAAATATAAATGACTTACAGTTTCAATAGAAGACTATATTGCAGATTTTTGAAAGCATCTACATGTTCACAGAACAACCACGTGTATGACAATTAAATAACTTTCCCACATCATTTGGTATAGATTTTGATCAATCTGCTAGATAATTAAATTTACCAAATACAGAAGCTTCCACTTGTGCTGCAATTTCTTAACTCAAAGATCTTAAAAGAATCAAAACATCAGCGATGAGCTGCGTGTGTAGAACAGCCATCACAAATCTAGCTCCAGAGACAGGTTTTTCACTCTCCAGCAGAAACCAAGAACAAACCTTGGTTACAACCCCCAGTTTGTTTGGAGAGAAACAAACCACAAGCCCAGGTTCAGACATAACAAGGTGCCAGACTCTGGCTCATATCACAGCAGTATGTGCATTATAGTTATCTGGGAGTGAATCCTAGCTAAAAAGCAAAGTATAAACATAATAAAATAGTGGCCTGGGAGTTAGGCATTTTGATCCTTTTCACAATTGTTTTCTAATCTTTGAGACTTCCTTCTATCTCAATACTGCACATATAAGGCAATGTATAATTAAGAATCTATAACCCATCCATTCAAAATAGCATCTAAAAGCCAACCTAACACAAATTACATTTAAGGCACAACTCCCAAATTCAGCACGTTTCAACAAATTGCTCTAAGGAAATGAAACACTTTCAGCTGACAACAAAAACGTTATATTAAAGGCATCAGCTTGATCTTGGGAGGGAGCCAATAAAAAGTATTAAATTGGGACTGTTGCCAAAAAAAAATATCCCAATGCTGAAAACAAACGCTTTCATACAACTTCAATCAAAGTCTCCATCCTTCTCCAAGCTATTGGGAACCAGTAAGTCATCTGTGGAGGTAGGTATGCATATAGCAAAAGCTATGCAATATAATAATTTAATAATAATTTATTATTTATACCCCACCCATCTGCCAGGGTTTCCCCAGCCACTCCTTGCATGCTGAGTAAAGATGGCTGGGAGACAGAAGTTCATGGCAGATCTCCCTTCTCTAAGAGGAAGAGTCAGACGTGTTGTTAAAGGAATTTAGATGAGAAAAGATATATTTATTATTAAGAATAATTCAATGGGGGATACAACAGAATGGGCTAAGAGAGAAAAACTATTAGCATAAATAAGTGAAGGTAGTAAAAAGAACCAGGGAGGAGGGATGAAAACAGCTGGCAGGTTTCAGAGCGGGGGGGGGGGATAAGATCTAACAAGGAGAAATGACAAGATGGATAAAAATACTATAGAGACACATGCAAGGGTGGGAGAGGAAAATATAAAGGAAAAAGCCTTCTCCACTTAGAACCTCTGGATCAGCAAATTCTTCCTAACTTGGGGGTCTGTCACAATACCTCAAGATCAAACATCTGTACTTAAGCTTGAGGAAAGCTGAGCTGTGGAAATCCTTGCCACAAGAAAAATACAGTGGGAAAGAATTTTGTAATTTCCAAATATGTATTAGGTATCTGTAGAAGGTGATGCCAGTAATTGCCTGCTGATTATGCCAAACTCTGCCTCCATCTATCACCATGTTATGACTGGCTCTGCCTCTGCACCATCTTTTTTGACTGGTGAGGCTCAGTAATTTTCACCCATGTCAAGTGGGCCCCGTGGGGAGAAAGTTGAGAACCCCTGATTTAGGCAAAGCAATCTTCAAGTGTTCCTGTGATTTTCTGTATCTTAACTTAAAATGAACAAAGCCTGATACTGGTAGAGATGTGTAATGAAGTCAAATTTATACCAAATGTTTGTGACAGTTTTAGAAGAGGAATTCAAGGAACTGCTTGTATACAGTATCTCAGTACCTTTCAATATTGACTTATGTAAGAAGGGCTTATAAATACTGCCAAAAAGCTCTGTGTCCCTTTTTTGCTCTGCAACTGCTTTACTGAATGGTATGGACTGTCTACACAAGGAGAACTGTCGTAAATAAAGATGTGATAGTTTGTATTATTAACATGAGTGGTTCAACTTTCAAATCAGGCATAGCAGAATATAGAAAGTTTTCTATTGTGTTTTATTTTCAAACTATAAAAAAGTTGCTTTTCAGACCTGAACTTCTATACATTGCCACTACATGCAGCAGAGTGAGGTAAAAAGTGCTGGCTGTAATCAATATGGCAAAATCCTATGCAGCTTTACAATAGACAGGAACTGCCAAATTTATTAAGCTATTGTGGAATCAATTATCTTATCCCTCCGATACTTGTATTACTAACATAATCAAATGTCAGTACTTTTGTTTTATAATATACCAGCTCTACATATTCATTTGGAATAATTCAATGAAATGACCTACTCCCTATCTCATGTCAACATTGAGGGTCTACCCTGCTATATGGAAAAAAAAGCAGACTGACTTACATGAAACACGTGTCTGTGCTACCTCAACGCAATTTCTCTATTACTTCCTACTTGTCCCTCTTATTAAAGGCCAGAAGCGCTCCCACTATGAGAATGGGGAAGTAGTTCCAATAGCAGAAGTGCACCCAATATATGTTTGGCAACATCTGGGGTACCTAAAATATAGAGATATCAGTATTAGCCCCATGGCATTGTAGTACAGCATCCAGATTTTAAACACTTAGGAGGAAGGACTCTACCCTGACTACTGTCTAATAAGGAAAACATTCGGGCATTTACAGCTATCAGAATAAGCAGTGGCTTTGAAGGAAGTTGTTTTCATTGTAGTGTACTGATGTTCGTAAGTTTAAATGATGGGAAATTGTTAGCTCACTTCATATCAAGTGCATAATTAAGGAAGGAAAGTGAATCAGGTTTAGAAATAGTTGTGCCAAAATATAGTCAGATAATCAATATTACTGTATTTGTGAGAATTTTAAGAGCAAGTACCTTCCCTGCTGAGCAAAGCAAATGAGAACTCACTTGCTAAGTAGGGTCTCTAATGCCTTTTGAAGAGGTTCTTTCAATTCTTGGAATACTTTCTCTCCCAGATGAGCTAAGCAATCTTCTATTGAAGTCTCTGGGTTGGCAGGACTGAATACTGGAGATGTGTGGCAATCAAAGCCTGTGCTGGTAAAAGCTGAAATTAAAAAAAAGAGAGAGATTTCATACTGTTAGTGAAATTGAAATAGTAAGTCATACTTGCAGCAGATCCACTGAAATCAATTGACTAACTTAATCAGTCATGATTAACTTAAGTCAACTGATTTCACTGGGTCTGCTCCAAATATGACTTAGCTGGTTAAGAACATAAGAGCTTGTTGCACCAGGCCAATTGCCCATCTAGTCCAGCATCCTGTTCTCAGAGTGGCCAACTAAATGCCTGTGTGAAACCTACAAGCAGAATTCAAAAACAAAAGGACTCTTTCCCTTCTGTTTTTCAGCAATTGGTAACTAGTACAATCTTACATTGTACCAGAGTGCCAATTAATAAGGTATATAATCCAAGATGTGTGCAGAGGAGGGCAATCAAGATGTTCAAGGGTCTGGAAACCAAGCTTTATGAAAACGTTTAAGGGAGTTGGGTATATTTAGCCTGCAAGAAAGGAGACTGAGATAGCCATCTTCAAATATCTAAAGAGCTATCACATGGCTGATGGAGCAAGCTTATTTTCTTCTGCTCTGGAGGATAGGACCCATGCTAATGGATCAAGCTACAAGGAGATTCCGACTAAGTGCCATTAAGACAGGGGAACAGACTCCCTCAGGAGGTGATGGCCTCTACTTCTTTGAAGGTTTTTAAGCAGAGGTTGGATGGCCATCTCATGGCTGCTTTAGCTGACATTCCTGCATTGTAAGCAGTTGGACTAAATTACCCTTGGGGGTCCCCTCCAACTCTACAGTTCTGTGATCCTATGATTAATATGTAGATGAGCCAAATATATCCCACTGCAATCACCAGGGCTTAAAAGTACACATTTATGATGTGCATAGCTCCTTTCAATATAATAATTATCAGGCTGGTGTAAAACAAAAGATAAAATCATCAATGCACTTAACTTGGCTGAACAATATTTAAATCAAGGATGAAGAGCCTGCATCTCTCCAAATGCTTTTGGACCCCCAAATCTCTTTAGTCCCACCTGGTATGGCCAGTAGTAAGGGATGATGAGATTGTAGTCCAACAACTGAAATAGGATCCCCATCCTTGCCTTTAGTGTATGATTAAAATTACAAATGCTGAGGTTAGAGAGAGGAATGCCCTAATACCCTTCCTGGTGGGACAGAAAATATAAAATAAACATTTCTAAGGTAGAATTTGCACTTAAGCATACAGAACCAATAAAAATAACTATTCTGTAATTTTGCACGAACATAATTATGTCTCATCTAAGGCAGCTATTGCAAAAAGAAAATAAAACTTCAATAGCAATCTTACTTAAGTTGGAACTGTGTATTTATTATATTGGGTTATAATACATCTTTCTGAAGAACCTGCACTAATCTTTGACTGCATTTTCCCTTTGAAAATACAGCTGTTTTCACTTACAGTTTGAAATGTGTATTACATTGGCTTATAATACATAATTCTCAAAAACATGAATTAATATTCCCTCTGAAAATATGGCTGTAGGAAAATTATAATTCTTGGAACATAACAACATAAGCAACCAAGAAAATAAGTCCACCAACTTGCACAGACCTTCCAAAATTTCTTCATCAAGACGTTTCAATTCTTCCTCAATTTCTGCTTTAACTTTCTCCAGGACTTCCTTATCTAAAGCTTGTGAGACCGCAGATGGATCAGTCACTGAAACAAGCAAAAAAGTTCAGCTAAAAAGGTAGATTCTTAGGATATGCATATAATGGCAGAAGAGTGACAAATATTCATCAATTACAAACACTTGCAGTTCTATCAAAGCAAAAGAACTTCAGTTCACTATAAAAATAAGTAGGAATTAGCGTTTATGGCACAAGAGCATCCAGGTCAATTTCTCACACAACAAATCATTTCTAGTGAGGAAAAAATTCCCTAAGAAAAATAAACAAGGTTGCAATCCCATGTGCATTTAGCTAAGGCCCCCTCAGCATGGCAAATGAAAAGGGATGACAGTTGTGTTCAATGGGACTTACTTCTAAGTAGACATATATATTAGTGCTATAAATTTGTATTTATGAAAGTAAGTGGAAGAAATTTAATAAAGAAAATGACTTTTCCCAACAAATATATGACATGCCGAATTGATGAAGTTCTAATCTCCCCAGCAGTATAAATTGCTGAGAGTGTTTCAACAGAAAGGCAGAAACATCCAAACATTAGTGATCCAGCATTACAAAACGTTAACACAGTCTCCTTGAAATGTAAGAATCTACTTTGTTCTAAACAGCAAAATCTGTTGAAAGAAAGTTGTCTTCTAATTTTGGAGATGTTTTCCTATACTTTGTGGCCTTGGTTGCATTTATCTATGGTTTAAACATGAATTTGTGTCTCCTGCCATGCAGGTCCCCACATGACTCCCCCACCCACCATATGATGCCTGCATGGCTCAAACAAGCCATAGTATGGTTTGATATAGGATTCAAACCTAGACCATGTTCTGTTTCAAACAAACTACAAGAAGTAAGCCAGAAATAAACCAAAGTTACCACATGGTTTGCTTGAAGAAATTATTAAAGCAAGGTTTAAGGTAAACTGTGGCTTATTTTAATGTCCACACCATGCAAAAATGTTTGCAGACCATTTGTTTAATTAATTCAGAACTCCACTTCAAGTTAATACATGAAAAAATGTTTTTCTTTCATTTTTATGGATGCTGGAGTTTTTGCTACTAGACTCACAAAACAAATAGTTTAATCAGACAAATAAAACTGTATGCACTCACTCCCTCTTCACTAGAGAAACCCAGATACTTAAGTGTCTTTATTTGAATACCATATTCTTCTAACAGATTTTAATATTGATATTATGGAATTTAGATGGCCTCTAATGAGCTTCTCTTCCCGTTTCCAGAAATGATTTTGTGGAATGTGACAGGAGAATTAGTATAGCACACACGCTACCACAGGGACAGATTCACTTGCTCAATTTATATGCCAAGAGTCAACCAAACTGACAAATCATGTGATGCTTAAGAGGCAAGCTTCCGGGACAACACATCCCTTCTCCCTACTCCTATAAGTATATCATGCCAATATATTTGTCCTTCAAGAAGAAATACATTTCCCCCTGCAAACGGAAGTTTTCTAACAGCCACATCTCATTTTACCCACTTGAAATTTTTTATTCCATTAACTCTTTTTGCCCCAGTTTTAGAAATGTTACTCCCCTCTTCCTACAAAAATGGAGATAGAAAATTGAGAAATAAAAATTGCTGACTGCTCTCCAGGGCACTTAATTAGTTGCTGCTAGGGAGAGGAACTTGGTTCCAACTCAAAAAATAACAGCAGTGGCAAGAGCAGTAAGTAGAATCAATTCTATTCCCCTTTAAGTTATACCACACTTATCTGATCACATCAACTTGCAATTCCTGCTGTACTTGCACAAACAACGTATGAAAAAGCATAAACACCCCCGGGAACAACCACCAAAATGTCCTGTGTCCAAATGATGATATAGGATGGGATGAGACAAGAAATGATTCCTAGGTGTTGTTAGTGATGTGCCTCTGGAGTTTTGACCTGGAGGTAAGTAGGCTTCTATCAGAAGTACCACAATTATAAAATCACATTAAAGAAAGTGTTTCGTCTGGAAAGCAGAGAAACTTACGGTACTTTGACAGTTTAACTAGTTGTATAATACCTCCCATCAGGAAAGACTGAATTACAGTTACATAAAGAAAACTCAAATCTAGACTTCTCAGTTAAGACTTGCCCTGCCCAAATGAGAAGGAATCCATTGAGAAGAGCACCTGTTTCCCACAGAACTTGAGTGATGGTGATCACACATGGCAAGCTGTCATACTTCATAAGAAACCATGCTGAAAAAATGACAAGGAATTTCAATCCTTTAAAGCACACAGGACTACTATTTAGATACCTAATGTTGTATCCTCAGTGCTTTCACATTCAACCATTCAGTATTGCCAATGAATAAAAAACAGCCACTATTCAGAGTGTCTACAGGAGACAATACAGCAAATATTAACTGATTTGACTTGACAGACAACAACAGGAAACCTGTCTAATTCCTGACACTATTTAACTAAGTTATTCATAAATAGAAAAGTAGTTTTATCCTTCTCTTTATTTCCACAGCTCTTTGTAAATAATCAGAAGAAAACAATTTAAATGTCTGCCCCTTCCAGAGAAACAAAGCACAATATATTTTTCTCAAGTGATGATTTCTGGCTGATCCAAAAGCAACACTGCCAGACTGTACAGGAAGCAAAATTCAGCTGTACTTTGTGGGCAGGGAAGGGAAGACATTGATGGTTTCTCAGAACAGTTCTCCTAAGCTCCACGGACTGCAAATTACTGTATTCTTGTTATTAGTGGTTCTGACAAGTACATTACGGAAAGGTATCTCAGTGGTAATCTGTAAAACAATGTGCCCCATTTCAACGGTATACAGTACTGTGAATAAAGCACAAAAGAGAATCATTTTCCTCCTATAGGATGGTAAAGGGACCCTGACCATTAGGTCCAGTCGTGACCGACTCTGGGGTTGCGACGCTCATCTCGCTTTATTGGCCAAGGGAGCCGGCGTACAGCTTCCGGGTTATGTGGCCAGCATGACTAAGCCGCTTCTGGCGAACCAGAGCAGTGGACAGAAACGCCGTTTACCTTCCCGCCGGAGCGGTACCTATTTATCTACTTGCACTTTGACGTGCTTTCAAACTGCTAGGTTGGCAGGAGCAGGGACTGAGCAACGGGAGCTCACCCTGTCACGGGGATTCAAACTGCCGACCTTCTGATCGGCAAGTCCTAGGCTCTGTGGTTTAACCCACAGCGCCACCCGCGTCCTTATAGGATAGTAGTGCATACTAATTTAAATAAAATATTTTCTTTACTAGATATAATATTGAATTGGAATAATACTGAATTTCCAGTGGTAATACAAAACCCCTTAATAGAACTGGGGAGTTCAAAACAAAGGCCACTACAATCAAGAACCCAAAACTGAATCCAGATTGAGACAAGAGGTTGATTGGAGATCTAAGGAACACTGGCTTTTGCCAGACTACACCAGTCCAAATCACACACTGCATCTGAAGAATCAGGTTCACAATTCGATAGTATTCCTAAATTAATATTGCCTTGCTCCCCTATGACTTTGTCAAAAAATCAAAGTGGATGCCAAAATGAGTGAGTGTTTCGAGAGGCAACTGAAACAGTGGGGGAGGGGGGAGACTGGCTGTAAGGTGGATGTAATCAGTGCTGTATACAAACATTAGCACAGTGGAACCTCGGTTGTCAAACATAATCCATTCCGGAAGACTGTTCGATTTCCAAAACATTTGACAACTGAGGCTGTCGGAGAATTCAATTGAGAATTCAATTGAAAAAACAGAGAAACGAGCCTTGGCAGCCATTCGACTTCCGAGGTGCGTTCGAAAACAGAAGCATTCACTTCCAGGTTTTTGGTGTTTGGCTTCTGAAATGTTCAGCAGCTGAGATGTTTGAAAACCGAGGTTTGACTGTATTTGTAAAAGGTTAGAGAGTAAAAATATCTTTTATCAAATTGAAGATGCAGAAAATCAACACTTGAACATTGAATTGGCAATGTTATAGTTACCTCAGAGAAACCTACTTATGTTTCAATTGCAGCCACTTCTTTGCGGCGCTGACTAGGGCAAACCTACTGTTCAAGCTAAGTTGTTTTCCCCCACCGAATCAAAAATGCCCTGAGAATTTTATTACAGGGTAGAATGCAAATACCAACAAGACATAAGCGATAACTGTGAGGCGGCAGGTAAGAAACAAGCTCTCTGTGCTGCTTCTGCCACTGTTTGTTGACAGTTAATGGTAGAAGTTCTTCCAGCCTCAAAAAATACACATAGATCTCCTACACACAGAACTTGGGGACACAACTCAGAGAAAAGGAGAAAAGAGAGAGGGTAGGCAATGACTTTATTCTGCTGGCCCACTTGTTTATAAATTGGCAGGCAAGCATATATTACCATAAACCTCATAAGTTCTAAACCTTAATTAAAATATTGCACAGAATGATATAAAAAGTGAACCAACTGACAATTAAAGAGCAAATAGATGCAAGTTATTTGGGGAAAATACTGAAATGATCCTAACATTTATATAGGAATCAGATTCCATTGAAAATGTTATAATATAAAGAGTTTTCACACAGAAGTAATAGATCAATTATATAGTAGTGTACAGTGGTACCTCGGGTTACATACGCTTCAGGTTACATACGCTTCAGGTTACAGACTCCGCTAACCCAGAAATAGTACCTTGGGTTAAGAACTTTGCTTCAGGATGAGAACAGAAATCATGCTCCGGTGGCGCGGCAGCAGCGGGAGGCCCCATTAGCTAAAGTGGTGCTTCAGGTTAAGAACAGTTTCAGCTTAAGAAAGGACCTCTGGAACAAATTAAGTACGTAACCAGAGGTACGACTGTATATAAAAAGCTAATAATTGGGACAAAGCTGGAAAAAGCTCTGGAAATTATTTTCCAGAGCAAAGTTGTAGCTAAAAATATGCTGAAGTTTAGTATTACTTGAATAATTTGTTTTCTATTGTTAAAAGCCAATTCTTGCTTTTACTGCAACCTACTTGATAAGTTAGGTGTGACCTGTGAACTTAACTACACTTATTTTGAGGATCAAAGACCAGTCTGAATGCGCATGAATTGTATCATACTAATCAGATTATTCAGAAAAGTTAAATACACAGAAATAAAAACAATATCATTTAATAAGTTTAAAACTTATGTAAAAACTGTGTTATTTCATTATTCTCCAGAGCATGTTGTGTTTTTGGTGTGTTATTTTATCATTTGACAAAAAAAAACCCCAAACCCCTTATGTGCATTCACATTTTTAAATATTAAAACTATATAATACCAAATTGTATACAATTGTATATAAGAGTATTGCATACAAGAGTAGAATGAAAGCATTACCTTGAGTTGGCAGAGAGAGCTGCTCCTGAGGCTTTTCTTGTGACAAGAGACCCAAATAGCTGAGGACAACATATTTTGTTTCATAGTGAAAACCTACAGGCACAGTAGTAGAAGATGCCATTTGGTTGGCTTCCAATGCCCCACAGGATTATGAGCTATGTAATTTTCTCTGTTTAAGATCTGAAAAATGAAGAATCAAAATGAAAAAAACGTAATTGGAATCATATTCAGATTATGTACACACATGCAAGACAGACAAAATACAAAATGCAATTGTGCCAGAACTTATCAGCACCGGCCAGACAGAGCATCATTTGAGAGGGTACATAGGTGGCAGGTTAAATCCATATCTCTTCCTCCCACTGAAAGTAGCCCATTGGCAAGTTGCTTTTCAAACATTCCTATGGTATGTCAAACAACAGTTGCACAAACTACAGAAACACACAGCAGGTGGAGGTCTTTAAGCAGAGGCTTGACAACCATATGTCAGGAGTGCTCTGATGGTGTTTCCTGCTTGGCAGGGGGTTGGACTCGATGGCCCTTGTGGTCTCTTCCAACTCTATGATTCTATGATTCTATGAAATAAATATTCTACTTCTTCCCCAGAGAGAAAGAAGAGGAAGATCCAGAACACTGCTACATAACTAGTGTATTCAAAATTACTAAGGTTCTGAAAGAATCATATCAGTAGTTATTTTGAAAGTTTATGCACATTTCTGCAGGTTTATTTGATCATAGTAGAACTGAATTAATTCTGGTTGAATTTCCACAATTAATTCAGTGACACTACTTTGGACTCATTGAGGGAAATTTAAATAGTAGCTCCCTGACCGTTTTTTAAAGAGATGTTTCAGAATTCAATGACAAATTAAAATGTGACTTCCCTCTTTTGTCATGTCAAATGCCCTTCAGAGACACTACTTGAAAACAATTGTTCCTCGCCCCCTCGCCCAGCTTGTTCGGAGTTTTGGGCTGGGTTGCCATCAGTATGCCGATGACACCCAACTCTATCTGTTGATGGATGGCCATCCTGACTCGGCCCCAGACACACTGACCAGATGTTTGGAAGCTGTGGCTAGATGGTTACGTGGGAGCCGGTTGAAGCTAAATCCTTCGAAGACAGAGGTCCTGTGGCTGGGGCGGGGCGATATGGGGTGGGGGGGCCACTCCCATTTCTTGGGGGGGCGCAATTAGTGCCAGCACCGTCCGTTAAGAGTTTGGGTGTAATCTTCGACACCTCCCTTTCCATGGAGGCGCAGATTGCAGCTATAACAAAGGCGGCATTTTTCCATCTCCGCCAAGCTAAGCAGTTGGCTCCTTACCTCTCTCGCCCTGACCTAGCCACTGTGATCCACGCGACGGTCACCTCCAGACTGGATTATTGTAACTCGCTCTACGTGGGGCTGCCCTTGAGACTGACCCAGAAACTCCAGCGGGTGCAGAATGCTGCAGCGAGACTCCTTATGGGGTCTTCGCTGCGAGATCACATTCACCCGGTGCTATACCAGCTGCACTGGCTCCCGGTGGAGTACAGGATCAGGTTTAAGGTGCTGGTTTTAACCTTTAAAGCCCTATACGGCCTAGGACCCTCGTACCTACGGGACCGCCTCTCCTGGTATGCCCCACAGAGAAACTTACGGTCTTCAAATAAAAACATCTTGAAGGTCCCAGGCCACAGAGAAGTTAGGCTGGCCTCAACTAGAGCCAGGGCTTTTCGGCTGTGGCTCCGATCTGGTGGAACACTCTGTCACAAGAGACCAGGGCCCTGCGGGACTTGACATCTTTCTGCAGGGCCTGCAAGACAGAGCTGTTCCACCAGGCCTTTGGCCAGGGCACAGCCTGACTCCCTCCCTCGGCAATCTTCGCGGAGCTCTGGCCCAATGGTTGCCAGTGGCTTGAATTAATTAATTTTATAATGAATGATTTTAGAGTGTTGTTTATGCTGTACTTTTATACAGTTTTATTGTTGTTAGCCGCCCTGAGCCCGGCTTCAGCTGGGGAGGGCAGGATATAAATAAAAATTTTTATTATTATTATTATTGTTCAGATACAGTCATCACTGCCATATCTTGTAGTGTAAAATCTAACAGATATAATTCATTCAGCCTCTCTATAAGTAAAAGGTAAAGCTGTTTATTGGGCAGCATCAGTTTCTAACTTTTAGAATTAATTCATTTTTGTAAGTAGAACACTACCACTTTTAGACAACTCAGGAAGCCTCACCTCTTTTCATATTATTTAGTATACCTGGAATCCTTTGCAGGCTATTTCCCATGTCTGAAGCCCTTGCTGAGTAACTTTTTTAATAGCTATGAATCATGTTAAAAAAAGCAAGGAAAAGATTTGAAAAAAACAACATTATTGTAGTTATGAAACAAATGTAACACCTTTTGTGGCAAAATGCTGTCAACTCCTGCTGTATGCACCACTATACAGTGCTACCTCGGGTTACATACGCTTCAGGTTACATACGCTTCAGGTTACAGACTCCGCTAACCCAGAAATAGTACCTCAGGTTAAGAACTTTGCTTCAGGATGAGAACAGAAATCGTGCAGTGGCAACGCGAAGCCCCATTGGCTAAAGTAGTGCTTCAGGTTAAGAAAAGTTTCAGGATAAGAACAGACCTCCAGAACGAATTAAGTTCTTAACCCAAGGTACCACTGTAATACTACTTCTGGGATGGAAGAACAGAATTACAGTAGATGTGGCAATGGGACTTGCCAATAGGCTACTTTCAGCGGGAGGAGGAAATAAAAATGTAGTCTGCCACCTATGTGCCCTCTCAAATGTTGCTCTGGCCAGGGCTGATAAGAAAACGGAAATGTAGTAAAACACAGTCAGTGTATATTCTGCAAAGTGCAAGAGAAAATCATAATGTTCAAAACAAGTTAATATACCATTGAACTGGAAGAAGCAAGCACCTAAAATGTGTTTCTGGTACCTAAGAATTTGCAAGAGCCACAATAGGATAGTATCTGAAATAGAATCAACTAAAATGTAATGAAGTAGTGACACTTTTGACATTTTAAATCCAAATAAAGATATTTTTCAACTGTGGCCTTTGGATTTCTGCTAAAAGATCAACAGGTATCTATGCTTTTAAGAAGAATTTGCATTATATGTTCAGCCCTGACCTTAGAGAAAGCAATTAAGATTGCTACCTCCCCATTTCAACCATGGAATCCATTCCAAGACATTGAAGTTAGCTAAGTAAAATTTACAATATATAAGTGAATTTATGGGCAGCATCTCCTTGCACACCAAATCAAACACTAAAATCTTTCATTATCCATTTGACTTTGAGCTGCTTGGAAAAATCGAGTCAGTCGGATGGGTATCTCCAGATGCTTCGAGTGATCCTAATCCACAAATGGATTACATATCAATTATACAGAAAAGCAATGGTTAACAATGAATAAACAGTTATAATCCTCTTATAAAAGGGCTTTGCTATGTTTGCACTTACCACAAAAATATTTCAACCCCAAAGGAGTAACCATGTTAGTCTTAGTTGCAAAAGCAACTAAGAGTCGTGTGGCATCTTAAAGACTAGCAAATTTATGAAGGCATAAGCTTTCATAGGCTACAGTTCACTCCATCGGATATATGGAATGTTTTTCCAAGTTGGCAGGTATAATAAACATGGGTGTACTTGCTAACTTGGGGTAGCATTCCATGCATCTGATGAAGTGGACTGTAGTTCCCAAAAGTTTATACCATAAACAAGTTTGTTGGTCTTTAAAGAGCCACAAGACTTTATTGTTTCATAAGAATTAAATCTGCCATAAAGCTCACTGAATAATCTTCAGCCAGTCTGTCTCTCAGACTGACCTACTGCACAGGGTTGTTGTATGGATTAAAAAAAGAGAACCATGTATGCCACTTAGGCTCCTTGGAAGAAAGGTGGAACACAAATGTAATAAAAAAATTAATAAATATGTAATACGCAATTGCTTCAAAACTGTGATACTCTTAAGACTGTTTACATTTCACCATATAATTTTGTAGATGTATAATTTGATTCAATTGGAGTCAAGCACTGCTACTTACACTTTTAATGCTTTTTTATTGTCTAGAATATGAAGGCTTACCAGAGACCCTGAAGCATTATGCAAGACTTCAGTGTCCTAAGACACAGCTTTGAAGTCTATTCTGTTTTACAATTAAGCAGAATATAAATCACCCAAATCATTCACCATAATTTTAAAAAGTCACAATAGCAAACTTAGTTTGCAACAAGTTGCCCCCTTTTGTGTACCTGTCACTGACATGGTTCACAATCCCGGGTTCAGTCCTCAATTCCAGGTGGGGCAGGGAGTGACCCCAGTCTGAAATCTGGAAAAGCTTCTGCTAGTCAATGTAGACAATAGCAAGCTTGAAGGCTCAGTGGCCTGACTCAGTATAAGGCAGTTTCCTACATTCCTAATATGAAAAAGCAGTGTTCTCAAAAGTGTGTTTGATACATGGGATGCCTGGGATAGCTAAATTGGTAGAGCACGAGACTCTTAATCTCAGGGTTGTGGGTTTGAGCCCCCGTTGGGCAAAAGATTCCTTCACTGCAGAGAGTTGGACTACATGACCCTCATGGTCCCTTCCAACTCTACAATTCTCTGGTGCAAAGAAACCATAAGCCTGGTGATGACAAGCCAGATCATGCCTTGTTTCCTGTCAGTGTGGCAGCAGCAGGAGCAGGGAAGGAACAAAGCTCTTGCTACTTCAGTAGCATGTGCTATCATACTGCTCCTCCACATTCAACAACAGCAGTTAAACTATGGTTCAGTCTGATGTGCAAAGAAGGCCAGTTCTCATCCATTTAAGTCTTCCAATCCAGAACTAAACCACATGATAGCTATTTAGCCTTGTGGCTTAACATGACTTGCACACTTGACATTAGATTACAAAGTTAGTTTGGTTAGGTGAGCTTTGAGCTTGTTGGGAATTTTCCACAAGGATATGTATATATTGAAGACACCTATTTCAAAAACAACTTATCTGCATTGCATATCTAGCTCCCCCCCCCCGCCCCCAGTGCAGTTCACCTTCCAAATTTTATTTCATTTTAAAGTTTTACCTCTGCACATTACATACCAGGGAAAAATTATAGGCAGAAGTTTGTAAAATACTATCCATGTTTACTGCAGCATTGCAGTAACTGACATTCAAGAATTACTTCATTTATCTATGAACATCTGGTTCTGTGGAATTTTGAAAATTGAAGTGTATCTATCATAGTTACACCATTTTCTCAAAAGACTGAAACAGTGGGGTGGGGTGGGGTGGTGGAACAAAAGCCTTAGTACTTTATCTGAGCTGTGGTTTTAGTTTAACTTTATACTGCCACAATAAACAAGAGACGCTTTCAATGGATTTAACTGAATTATCTCCCACGAAGGTTTCATGTTTTCCATACTTTGAACTCTCCTTTCCATACATCTAACCCACATCAATTCAATAATGTATCCATGTGCCCTGAAAGTACATTTCTTAATATGAGCAATTAAAATGTTAAAGAGTAAAAGTCGTATTTTCAAAGTCTCCTTCACAAATGCAAAGTAAGCAGAAAGACTGAGCAAACCTCTGAGAACAATACAGTACTCTCAAGATAACTACAGTGATGAGCAATGTTAGAAGCACACCTAACTAGGTATGTGTGGGTTAAAAAAAAAATCAAAGCAAGATGTTGATCAGCAAAATCCATCCAAAAGAAATGTGTCACAACAGTACATATAAGCAAACATACGAATGAAAGATTATATCACTTTTCAGAAAGTTTCAGCAAGTACAGACAACTCTGGAGTTCTAAGAAGGTACTGTACTGTACTGCTGAATGTGAAGGTTTGCCAGCTCACAAACAATAGCAGTAGACAGTACATAGGACAAGGGTTTAAGCACAGCCTTCTCTCGTAAGGATAAATTTGAAAGAGCACCAAGCATCGGTGCTGCCTTTCCTCCTCCCATCATCACACCCATGCAAAGAACGCCATTCTTACCAACTGTTGAGGAAATGCAGCTGTAAAGCAGGGAGATGCTAACGAGAAGAAAAAACAGCACAAGTGCACGCAAGCACGAGCACGTTCACACACCCCTCCTCCTCCAGCAGCAGCAACAGCAGCAATCAGCAGCAGCTCTCTCTGGGAGCAGAAGAGATCTGGCAGCTGACAGGGCACACCATTGTCAACAACGCTGACCCTGCTCAGTCCCCGGGAGGAGGGGCCTGTCCTTCAACCGCTTCAAACACAGGGGAGATAACTAGGATTTCACGCCACGCATGGGGGGGGGCGCTCCTACGGACCGCCAATAGCCAACCTACATTTTTATAACTATTTAAAAGAGGGGGGTGGGGAGAGGGCTGGCACTGCATTCCCTGACCACCTTATTAAAAACTCGAGAGCGACGGGAAAACATGGGGAGAAACAACCCAAACCACAAACACAACACGCAACACTCCCCCCACCTCAGCCGGTCCCCCCTTTCCTTGACGGGAGGAGGGGGAATTAGTTTGCCCTTCAAAAGAGAAACCGCCCGAAGGCGCAAGTGCCGGGAAAAGTCCCGCCTTTCACGCACGTGAACCGAGGATAAGGGACGCGGGTGAGGAGACGAGAGGCCATGAGGGAAACACCAACCTCAAGTAGGGGGTGGGGTGGGGAGCCTATGAAGAAGACGACTCTACACGGGACGAGGGTGGGGTGGGCAGAAACCACCACAACATTTGCGGTGAATATTTTGTGTGTGTTTTAAAGGAGAAGCCAGGCGGCGGTAGGGAAGGGGTGGAAGAAGTGACCGCCTCCCCACCCACCTCATAAGGGGCTGCCGCCAACCGCCCGGAGCGCGCGCCCAAAGCAGGTCGCCCAACCGCCCATACGGTGACCTCGCGCGCGAGGAGACTGAGGCGCTCGGCTCTTTCCCCCTCCGCCCCGCCCCTCCGGAGTGTGTTTTTGTTTTGCTTACCCGAGTCTCACGAGGACGGCGGGGAAGAGCGCTGGGTCAAAGCCAAGAGGAATATGTCCGTGCCGCGGGGCCGCGTTAGGATATATACATGCACGCGCTTGGATGAAGGTTTATATATGTATATATGCGTGTTTGTGCATATGTAGGTATATGCGTGCGTGTGTGCGCGCGCGCGCGCAACGCTTTTCCAGTCAGCCCTTAAATGAAAGCCTCCATCGCCGCCATGATAGAGGAGGGCAAAAAAAAAAAAAAAAAAAAAAAGCAGCGGCTGTCGGAGGCCCGCCTCAGACGCTGCGGGCGTCGTGACGCCATCGCGACGGAACGGCGCCTGGGCGTGCTCGTTCGCTCCCAGCTCGGCCGCGTGTGCGGTCGCCGCGGCCTTTGAGATAGGCAAAAGGGTAGAGCGGTACACAGCCTGGACTTCCGGTCACAAAGCGAACTGTAGCAAACTCAATACAGTATACGATTTTCACTGGCAGAAACGAGCTGATTTCATGCTTATAGGAGCTACTTCAGTAGAAACCGCCCACCCCTCAAGTCCACCTGCTGGAGCCAGGTGCAAATAGTGGCTGAGGCGGTGGCGCTGTGGGTTAAACCACAGAGCCTAGGGCTTGCCGATCAGGTCGGCAGTTTGAATCCCCGTGACGGGGTGGTCCCTGCTCCTGCCAACCTAGCAGTTCAAAAGCACACCAGTGCCAGTACATAAATAGGTACCACTCCGGCGGGAAGGTAAACGGCATTTCCGTGCACTGCTCCGGTTCACCAGAAGCGGCTTAGTCATGCTGGCCACATGACCTGGAAGCTCTATGCCGGCTCCCTCGGCCAGTAAAGAGAGATGAGCGCCGCAACCTCAGAGTCATCCGCAACTGGACCTAATGGTCAGGGGTCCCTTTACCTTTACCTAAGCTTTAGCATAATTTGGCGCAGCCTGTTTTCTTTGTGTTTAATTCCCTTCGGGCCTCATTGTTTACTTGTCTTTGTGCCTACACTGTTGATGGTTGCTAACCGAATATTGAACTAATTACTTTTTAATTAATAATAGGTCCACACATTCTGAAATTTACAGAGAGGCCTTGCACTTATCTCTCAGTATTAGTTTCTAATCAGTAACAGAATAATAAGTAGTTATTTCAACAAGTATACTGATCCATAAGAAAACAGCCAAGATCCATGGTCAGACATTACTTTTGTTAGGACCACTCAAAACGTCACAAAACAGCAAGCAAGCTTCTGAATTTTGCATAAGTCTTCATTTGGATGGAGGCTGAGCAATAGGGTTTGGGAGAGCTACCTTGTTGCTGAAGCTACAAAGTCTACATCCACTCAGTCTTAAAATGTAGTGTGTGTAGGCGGAGATAGCAGACTTAATCCGATTAGGCTCGTAGACACTGCCGGTTTCACGTTACAGCTTGAGCTGCTGTGACAAAGAAAAAGACACCTTGACTGACCCAACCCCTATTCCCATTTCTAGCCTAACCTCCAGCCTGTAATAGTGTTTCAGGGAGCAGACATAGAACTTAGGAACTGGATTTGCAAATAATAATAATAATAATAATAATAATAATTTATTTATATCCCGCCCTCCCCAGCTGAAGCCGGGCTCCGAGCGGCTAACAACAGTAAAATAATACAGCATTCTAAAATCAATTCATTATAAAATCAATTTAAAAGCAAATTAATGGCAACCATTGCGCTAGAGTTCTGTGAGGATTACCAAAGGAGGGGGTCAGACTGTGCCTTGGCCAAAGGCCTAGTGGAACAGCTCTGTCTTGCAGGCCCTGCGGAAAGATGTCAAGTCCCGTAAGGCCCTAGTCTCTTGTGACAGAGCGTTCCACCATATCGGAGCCCCAGCTGAAAAAGCCCTGGCTCTGGTTGAGGCCAGCCTAACCTCTCTGTGGCCCAGGACCTCCAAGATGTTTTTGTTTGCAGACCATAAGGTCCTCTGTGGGACATACCAGGAGAGTCGGTCCCGTAGGTACGAGGGTCCTAGGTCGTATAGGGCTTTAAAGGTTAAAATTACATGCTCAACCTAGGAATATGTTTTCCAAACCAGAACTGCAATCTGAATTGCTTCACTTGAAAATCTACTCCTGGTTTTCTTTTAACAGCCTAATTAAAGAGTAAGCTCTTGCTGTTGCTGAAACATTTAGGAATTAGAAACATTAGCTGGTCTACTGCAAATAATTCAGAGACCCATGAACAGAGTTCCACCCTACTTGTAAGCACTGTCAGACTCATCCCTGCCCTCAACTGCTGCCCTGGGCTTCTTTGGGAGGACTGACTGCTTTTAATTAAAGAGCTGATGTTGTAATGTTTTTATTGTAATTACTTGTATAGTTTAATTTATTTTTTATTGTTACACTCCACCCCAATTTCCACAGCAGTGCAAGATTCCAGGAGTCCAAGCACTTACCCAGAGTTTGTGTTCCCTCCAGAAATGAGGCACAGCGGAGACAGTGATGTTTTTTTATGATATATGGTTTATTCATATGCACTGCTCAGGCTTGCAACCCAGAGTCACTTCAGTGCTGCAAACAACCTGAGTCTAGACGGAAATAATCACATCCCAAGAGGGTCCTGTTCCTCTCATTGCTGCAGCCTCAGATTCCAAGAGACCCCAGACATTATGTCTGACCCCTCTCTGCAGCATAAAACAGATTAACTTCCTCCTGCTCTACTCCACACCTCACCCCACCCTGCAAAAGTGACTTACCTCTTTGCCCACTACAATTCTGCCCTTCCCTCCTGAACCGCTGGCCTTTTGTCTCTGCTAACAGTCTCCTAATGGGTTAATGGCTAGACCAACATCAGTCTGTTTGGCACAGTTTAGTCAAACCATGATGAATTAAAACTTTACTGAATTTAAGAATTATGGGCGACTTGCACCCACAAACACTGGTACCACAAACCTATAACTATAGCGTTTATTTCTATTGGTGTTTATTGTTTAATGATTATTTTTTTCCTAGCTGTTCTTATTTTTATCCAAAAGCCGCCTTGAGTCCCTTTCAGGGAAAAAGGCAAAGTATTATTATTAACAACAACAACAATATACTGAATAAGTAATAAATATCACAGCTGTTTTAAGTATATAACATGGAACTACACTGCAGGCTTACTGCAATCCGTACTCTGCTACAGATCCTCACCCACTCACCCGAAAAAAACCCTTGCAATAAACGATGAAGTTGGTTACTAGTACTCAGTTTTTAATAGTTGCACGAAAGTTAGAAACCCAATGAGAGCACTATTTGAGAAGTCCAAGCAGAAAACTCATTTGAGATATGGAACATGAAGCTTGCGTTGGCACTACTATTTTAAAATAATAATTTAAAAAAAACACCTCGAAATGAAACATAAAAGTTAGAATGACAAAGAGCTACTCCCTTTCCTGACACCTTTCATTTTGAGGAGGCCTTCCTAACCATAAACGCAGGAACATGTCGGGGTTGCTCTACAAATTTCTCCGGGCGGTTCCTTAGGTGGCGATTTGGGGAACTCTTTGCTCAACGCGAGCCCGGAAGTTCTCTACACTAAGGCTGAGGAGGGGCACTCTATATTCTTTTATTTATCGCTGCGATAGCCGTGCCTTCAGAGCCCGGATGCGAAGCGTCATCACGCAAGCGCGGGCGCACTTGGCGGCGTCGGGACGGACCCTGCCTCCCCATTGGCGCATTGCCAGGGGTAAGGGGCGGGGACACGGTGACGAAGGAAGGGTGGGCGGAGACTTGCGTCAGCTGCTGAGTGACCCGAACCGGATTTGATCCCATTCCCTTACAGCCTTCCAAGGAGCTCGGCCCGAGCGGACGACTTGCCTTGCCTATATTGTCCGCTTTCTCCTCCGCTCACTCTCACAATGGCGCTCAGCGATGACGACGTCAAGAAGCAGGTACTGTGGGTGGGGGGGCCCTGAGGAGAGACCCTCCTTATCAACCCCATCGGCCTCTCCCTTCCCTCGCGGCCCTGAGCCCCCTTGGCCGGGCTGTCATGTGACGCGCGTCCTTTTCTCTAAGCTGTGGAAAAGGGAATTCAGCGGTTGAAATGATTGGGGGGGGGGGGGAGACTTCCAGGGAAATACCTTTTGCATCCTGAAATACACTTTACACCCTGAGAGTCTGAAGAGCTGCTTTGTGGATGGGTTGAGAGAATGTGTTAGGGACCTGGGTTTTGCTTTGCTTTTCTGTTCTCAAATAATTGCATCTTGTTTCCTTATGGTTAAGTGTTCTTTGGATACCGCCCTTCTAAGAGCTGTATCTTAGGCAGTGAAACACTGGTTGGACGCGCTTTCCTTGGAGGTTTTTAAGCAGAGGTCGGATGGCCCTCTGTCATGTATGACCTCGTTGAGATTCCTGCATTGCAGGGGGGTTGGACTCGGTGACCTGCGAGGTCCCTTCCAACTCTACAATTCTGTGATTTTTAAGGGTAACGGGTTGCTTGATTTTTTTTCTTCAAAAAACCCCCAAAGGTTTAATAGCGAGCCAGTGTGGTGTAGTGTGCTTGGCCTGTGACCTGGGTTCAAATCCTCACTCAGGCATGGAGCTGGTCACGGCCTAACCTACCCTCCTGGGGATGTCAAAAGGACAAAATTAGGAGGAGAGAGTCAGGTGTTCCACCTTGAGCTTCTTGGAGGAGAAGGTGGTATAGAACGGTAATCAATAAAACAACTGTATGGCTTCGTCCTATGTATGCTCAGTTTCGGTGTAAACCCTACCCTACTCCTAAATCCCACTGGGCTCAGTCCACCTTGACTTTCTTCTGAATCAACATGCATAGGCTGAAGCTGTAGAAGTGTACATGCATGACACTTTCAACACAATCCTTGTGAGGTTTTTTCAGAAGCAAGCTTCACTGTGTTCAATGAAACATCCTCCTAAACACCTTTCTGAATATCTGCCGTGTTATTTATGTGCACAGGAAAATAGTTAATGCGCTATAAAAAGGGGAAGAGATCCACTTTATAATCCAGTACCCCTGGCAGTAAGTGACCAGAGCAGGAAGTCCTTTTGTACATTTACTTGGTAGTAAATTCCCACTTAGTTCATTGGGGTTTCTTCTCAAGTAAATTTGCATGAGGTTGGGCAGAATACCTGTTGAATTTGGGACTTCCAAGTAAATATGGTTACGACTGTGCTGCAATGGGATTTAACCTTGAAGCTGAAATTCATGTGTGTATTTTTTGTTGAGGGGGGCATGAGGTAAGAAGAAAAGCTTGTTACATTAGAAATGTTCACCACCTCATATGCAAGATTACATGGTTGTGTTCTCAATGAATAAACGTGAAAAGTTATCCCCTCCCCAGTTCTTTGTGCCCAAACAGAAACACACTGTTGCACACATTTTGAGGTTTTTGAGATGTACTGAGAAGGTGCGGAAAGCTACTTTTTATTACCATGGTTATGGTTATCGCAGCACCATGTCCTACGTTGTCCTTGAGTATGTGTCCTTGAACCGAAGTGTTTGCAGTAAAAATGACTAAGTATATCTCAAGCAGTAGATAGATGGAAAATGTTTGCTGTTCACAAACAGCAAACATTTGTACCCAAATGTTTGTACCCATTCCTATCTTCCTTTTTTTCCATATTCACAACTATCAATACATAGTGTTATTACCAGTGTAAGATTAATGGTTTGTTCATGGATAGGTTAGAAATGAGTGAGGATTTGCTGTGTAGTAGAAGATGCTCAATGTGGGGTTGCAAAATCATTTGTAAAGTAAAAATTGGCTGAGTTTGAGGGGAGGGTGACTATAGGGTGGAAAAGTTGGATATAAATGGATTTAGACAGGAAGCTAAAGTGTCTTACTATTGAATTAGACACAATAAAGAAAAGACAAATATTTGTATTTTAGCTATTTTTTAAATGGGCTTTGAGAGAGTCCAGCTAGAACTTGTAGCCAAGGGTTCTTGCGGCATTAATGATAGACCTTGGGTGCTCACAAGCCATAATATGGTGCCACTGCTACTTGTTACTTGCACTTGTATACCAAGGGGCACTAAAAACGGGATTAAAACATTTCTTTAAAAGACAAGCTTGCTTTGAAGTGTGACTGCTCAGCCATTGACCACAAAGACATATAAATTCTCTGCTTATACTGCTTACTTCTGGACTAGATGCCTATCAGTAAGACGTGTTTTATCCCAACATAATGGTTTGATTGTAAACAGAGGATATCTTTTGGAACTCTTTTGTAAGAGGGCAGAGGAATGTTTCATCTTCAGACTATGAAACTAGAAACTGGAAAAGCCCATTATTAAGACTCACATTAACTGATGAAAATAGGAAGTTCTGGTCCCAGCAACTGAACCTTTGGAGCATGTGGAACTTTGGGATTTGTAACATTTAACTCTAATTGGTTCGTTGTAGCTTTTTTAATACCAAATACCACTTTGAGGGCTTCTGCAGAAAATTAATAATATTGATCTTCAGGAGTTATATATATATGAAAAAGTCATTTTCCTGAAGGAACATTTGCACAATGGAATTTTTTGATATACAGTGCATGTGATTTGGCTGTCCTTTAGAGCTTGTCCTGTTGACTGTAAATAGTGTCCTTCCTAGTAGAACTGCCCTGAGCTAGGTTTGGGATGGAATATTGTGCTGAACTCTGCATAGATCCAGCCAGTGCTGGTAAAACATTGTCCCCTCACAGCTGACAGGCAGAGTACATAAGTTTTACTTAGTGTTTAACATCCATGAGCTGAGCCTTTCTTCACATAAGTGACCACTGTATGCTTCTTACTGTTATTGAGAGTTTTACTTTGGGAGCAGGTCAATTTTTTGTTTGAGCCCAGATACCAGTTCTCCAGTATCTCCGGAAAAGAGCTTTCCCATCACCTGATCTTCCAGCCAGAGATGTTGGATATCGGGACTTCTCCAATGCCAGGAAAAGGACCATAGCTCAGTGGTCATTGTATCACCACTGCAGACATACAGAAGTTTACAAACAGTGTTCAAAACTCCCATTGTTCTATGCACATTTTGTGACATGGAAGTTCATTAGCACAAACAGTTTCTGAGCTCTGGGTGCAGTACTGTGCCAAAGATTTCAGATTAAAACTGCAGTATGGAAGGAAAGCAGGACCTTTTTCTGCCTCCCCACTTCCAGCTACTCTCCGAAGACTGGAGAAGGGACTCTCTTATGAATATTAGTGGGGTGGGCAGGGGAAGGACTAGACCATGAGAAAAATGAACACAGTATTTTAGCACGCCTAGAATTTCCATTATTGCACCCATAACCTAGGTTTAAGGTGCCATTTAGCTCCAAGCTTTCATATCTCAGTTTCTAATGCTGTTTACATTATAACACTCCACAACTACTTTATATATATATGCTCTGCCACTGAGCTAAGGTCTCTTGCCTGGCATTGCACACCAAGGATGAAGATTGCATATTATCCTACACATTTGGTAAAACTGCTTAACATCTTGAAGTAGAAATCCTCTGGTCCCTTGGAAGTAGAGTGATATTATGAAGTCTTCATAATACTAGAGCTCTGAGCCAGCCAATGAAGCTGAATGTTGGAAGTTTGAGGGAAGAAAAAATAAAGCACTTCTTTGCTCAGCACATAAACTATGGAACTCAGTCCCACAAGAGGCCGTGATGCCACCAACTTGAATGGCTTTAAAAGAGGATAAACAGATCCATGGAGGATAAAGCTATTAATTGTGGCAATTAATAAGGGACGCGGGTGGCGCTGTGGGATAAACCACTGAGCCTAGGGCTTGCCGACCAGAAGGTCAGCGGTTCGAATGCCCACGATGGGGTGAGCTCCTGTTGCTTGGTCCCTACTCCTGCCAACCTAGCAGTTTAAAAGCACATCAAAGTGCAAGTAAATAAATAGGTAGCGCTCCGGCAGGAAGGTAAACAACGTTTCCGTGCGCTGCTCTGGTTCGCTAGAAGCAGCTTAGTCATGCTGGCCACATGACCCAGAAGCTTTACGCTGGCTCCCTTGGCCAATAAAGCAAGATGAGCACTGCAACCCCAGAGTCGGCCATGACTGAACCTAATGGTCAGGGGTCCCTTTACCTTTACCGTGGCTGTGTTTCGCCTCCATTGTCAGGCAGTGCATAGCCGTTACTGTGAATTGCGAGTGGACAGAGTGCTGTTGCTCTCTGGTCCTAGTTTGTTTGTTACAGGTATGTGCAGCCTTTCATCCATGGAGCTCAAGGTAGCACAGACACAATTATTCTTCTCCCAGTTTTATCCTCACAACAACCCTGTGAGGTAAGTTAGGATTTAGGATGAAAGTCAGTGACTGGTCCAAGGTCACCCAATGAGCCTTATGGCCAAGTGGGTATTTAAACCCCCATTTCTCAAGTTCTTGTCCAGCACGCTAACCACTACACTACACTGGCTCTCAGGCTTTCAGTGAACATCTGGCTTGCGACTGTGAGAACAGGATGCTGGACCAGATGGGCCATTGGGCTGACCCAGATAGGCACTTGTGATCTGCACACATTGACCACAAATCATCCAGCAGAGAGTTGCACTGAGATAAATAGAGATTGAACGCACCTAACCATATACAGCTTTATCATCATAATCATCTTTTATAACATTTGCACAGGGGTACCCGTCCCATGTCCCTACACCATTTGTATTTTGAATGTGTTTAACTTCATAAGGGTTTGAATATTTGTCCATGAGCACAATGTCCCATAATGTACTTACGAAATCCAAGCTTCAAAAAGATTTGCATTTAAAGTTGTCTATTTCTTTGCTATCACTAATCTAGATGCAGTTAATAAATGAAGGATTATATTTTTATTAATTGTATTCTTAATATGAGGAGTAAAATAAGTTAAAGGGCTAGTTTTGGTTTGGGTTGTAGTGGCTGTCCTCTCATCTGATTATTTGAAAGATTTTCCCCCAAAAGGGAATAATTTGTGGGCAAAAACCACCACATGTATATTAGAGAACCAAGGAAATTTCATTGCCGCCAGCAGATTTTGGATGTATTGTGGTTAATTTTATTAAGTCTCAAAAAAGTGGCATCAATCGGGAGGGGGGGAGGACTCACCCCTTCTATACTACATGGTATCCTTTTATTGACTATGTTAGGACAGTTGAACGTGGTATTCACCCTTCATTGAAACATGAAGTCCTTCATTTGACGGCCTACACTGGAACATTTAAGATCACAACTATCAGCTGATATTTTTCTTTCTTTCCCAAACAACTGTTAAGCTCTGTATTCCGTTTGTGGGTATGTTCTGCTAACTGAAACTAAGAATTGGCAAACAATTTTTTAAAAAATGAGCTTGAACATTTGGAAGCTCATTTTTTAGTCTTGGTAGCAAAAAAAAACCCCACTTGTAACACATAGGTTACAACACATGGGTGTTGAAAAGCAAAAATGTTCCTGCAGGCTTTCCTGGAAAATATAACTCTCCTTTCTGTTACAGATCAAGCACATGATGGCTTTCATTGAACAGGAAGCCAACGAGAAGGCAGAAGAAATAGATGCTAAGGTAAACAAAAAGTATCTGTATCTTTACTGCATGTGGAACTTCCATAAAAGATGTTGGCTTCTTCAGATAACTAAAAGCTCATTTGTGGCAAGCTGAATGTTTGCCTGTCCTCCTGAAATGTCTCAATGAGCCCTATGTGTGGATGCACAAAACTTTTTAACACTGCATCACCAACAAAGAAGGTGAGGGGTTATGGTTGGTGTCTAAAGTGACCATAAAGCATGATCTGTACATCTGTACTTGGATGTAAATCCCACTGAATTCAGTGGTGCTTCCTGCCAGGTAAGTGTGCATAGGATTGCAGCCTAACATTCCTCTCTAGTTTAGTAGTCTTGAATACAGAAATCAGTTTTCATGTATACATACTCTAGCAGTTAGAATTTAGTAAAAGTTTTAAAAGGGAACGGAAGTGTAGGATGCTGGGACCAAATGAAGTTTCAGTTGCTAGTGAAGACATTCATTAGCTATGAGAGCAATAGATTTTTCCAAGACGCCCCCATGTATAAGACACCCTCTATTTTGGGGGACTCTGATTTAAGAAAATAGGGGGAGATTTATCCATGTAAAAGGCACCCCCAAATTTTGGACATTATGTTTTTTTGGGGGGGGGGACCTAGGCTTATGCATGGAAAAATACGGTAATTGGATTTTATAGTGTTTTGCAAAACACCCTATTTTAGTATAAAAAGCAGCATATATACCAGATGGAGTCTTATTCTTCCTAACAGGCTGAAGAAGAATTCAACATTGAGAAAGGTCGTCTTGTTCAGACACAGAGACTGAAAATAATGGAATACTATGAAAAGAAAGAAAAACAAATTGAACAGCAGAAGAAAATGTAAGTAGTCTGCTGTGACTACTGTTAACTTATTCTTGGTTGCAAGTAGCCAACATGGTATGTAGTCCAACCGGAACTAGAAGAGAGGTAATTCCACAGACAACATGTCATTTCCTGAGGGAAGCGATGAGACCCTGAATAAGTTCTCCCCTCCTTAAATAAATAAATAAAATCCTGAAGGAAGAGTATGATGTGTTGATGAAAAGTACCTCTGTTCCAGCCACCTTAACTTCTGCATCCACTTGTGTCCCATCAAAATGAATTGCAGTCATGGTCCTGCTCACTGGTAAATTGTAATAAAAATGCAGTAAGTAGTGGTCTTTAATGTAAGAAACAATGTCACTCCATATAAAGTGATCTCAGATAAATAGCTGCATATTGCTGTTTAAGCAGAGATTTGTGTGTGATCATCTGAGTAAGTCTTGGTGGTGGGTTAAAGAGATTCCAGAAGTGGACTGACTTTATGAGAGTTGGGGAAAGGGTGTTTACAAAGAGCTTTACTTTGGGCCTGTCTGGATCCAATATGGGGTAAGCTGAGGGGGAGTGTGTAATAAATGACTGCTGGTTATACTGTCTGAAGCTTATGGCACTCAGTTCTGTTTTTCCATCTGACTTGCAGTCAGATGTCCAACCTGATGAATCAGGCAAGACTGAAGGTTCTCAAAGCAAGGGATGATCTGATTGCCGTAAGTATATACTTCCCTTTATAAAAGAATATAGATTCTTGCCATTTGTCTGACTCACAACTGGTGTTTTTAAAAAAGCAAAACTTTCAGGTTTCTCTCTTGGGGCCTATTTGATGTAGAAAATACTTGGGTTTGGAACTTGTATGTTGTTGTAGGTCCATATATACTATAAATGGAAGGTAATACTGATCTTACTTTCTGCTATACTGGAGGATAAATAAGAAGTAAAGGATGCATCCTGCTTATTCTCTGCTTTCAGCCTGCTCATTGCTCCCCTCCCCCCCAGCTAGCATTTAACTCTTGCACAATACAACAGTGTGGGGAAAGAGAAAGTAATTGTACTCAGTGGCATGTTAATGGGGAGGAATTCCTCCTAAAATGGTAGAATGGGTGAGCCTGTTCTAGTTCTTAAGGTTGCACTATTTCAGGTGGGGGCTTATGTGAGTTAATGGTCCTCTGTACAGAGCAACTTCCTGAATACAGAAAATTAGCAAGTCAAGGGAAAGTTTCCATATTTTCTCCTGATGCATTAGTATTGTTTTTGCTGGATTCTGATTTTGTTTGATGTTTAATAAGGAACACTTCCAGCATTGCTTTCTTGCCTAATTCTGTTTTTAACAGGCATGACAGTATAAAACATAGTTACAAAACATTCCCATTCTTTCTGCTGGTTATTTGGGTTAGAAATACATTGGCTTAAATTAAAAATGAGCTGGAGGGCTACAGTTAATGTGTGTGTCACTACAAAATGCCTTTTGCTCACTCCACTGTTAGGTGAGAGTGGTATAATGATACTCCATAAACAGAGCTCACTGCAGTAGAAATTTCATTGCTTAATTCCTGTTTCCCGTAACAATTCAGAATACTGTATCACTTTTTAGAGAGAAAGTTGTCCCTTTTTGCAATTTGACTCTGATATAAGAATTGATTCTGGCAGGATGTGCTAACACTTGCTGTACTTGTTGTAGAGAGGTCTGAAGGAAACAGGCTAAGAAACATGAATTCTTTCACAATCAACTCAAACAGCTCAGTCACATGCTTGTGATGCATGAAACGCTCCAACTTCCTCTTTATATCACAACTTTATATTTGTACTAGATAAGTGACCAGGGTTGGAAGGAAATTTCAGGAATTCAGTCCAAAATGAAAAACTATAATATAGTGTTGAACTGTAGTATGACTGAATAACAGAACCCAGAACGGGTTCTGTAGAATAAAGTAAATTGACTGCAGTCTGGGATATATTACAATGGAAGGGAGCCTTATTCAAAATACTGGTATTGTTAGGTGCAGACCTAGACCCCCCATGGTGTCCTCAAATGTCCCCTTTTGCTTGCTTCTATATATGCGGGTGCTGCTCACTTATAGGGGGGAAATAAATCACTATACTTGGGGACACGATTTTTGTGCGGAATTACTTTTCCTCCACCCACGGCAGTGTGGCCTGGTCTCTGTCAGGTTTCTGCATATGCGTGTTGGACCAATGGTTGCACAGTCCTTTAGTCTTTCTATGAATCATAATGGTCATTTCACTAGTGACTATATAAAATGGCCCTGTAACAAGTTAAATGTTCACAGTGGTAGTAAGACTTAATTTTTCCACCCCAGATTATGTTTAAAGGATTGTCTCTAGAAAGGCTATTTGTTGCTTGTGTTCTTAAAGCTGAGGGGTGCGTCAATTACAATTAAATGCCTTAACTGAGCCTGTGCATTGGGAACTGGGGTTGGGGCAGAGGGAGTCTGCCTGAGGTTTGGTGTTTGACTGAAGGACATGGTGTGATCTTTTCTATCCGCATTTTTCTCTCATCGTAGGATTTGCTGAATGATGCCAAGCAGAGACTGGCTAAAGTAGTAAAGGATACTGGCAGGTACCAGAGTCTGTTGGATGGATTAGTTCTACAGGTAAACATATTCCATGCTACCTACAGACACTTCCCTATAAAATAACTTGCATCTTTATGGTCTCCTTTTAGTTGTGGATATAGACCTCTTAAATCTACACTATCAACTCTCCTTTGTATTTCTTAGGATGTTTCCCAGTTAAATTCGCTACCTCTGGTTTCTCTAAGCTTGAGACAGCACTCCAACACATATATAGTATGTAATCTACTAACTCCAATGCAACATGAAGTGGTCAAGTTCTTATCTTCGCTAAAATTTCTACCTTTGCCACTTGTCTCCCTAAATGTGCTTGTATCCCTTAAGTTCAGCAGACAAAGACCACCTCCATTTCTCCATTCAGAATGTTAAACTTCTAAAGCAGAACTTTTTACATTTTGGGCCGTCAACTCTGGAAGCTGTTACCCTGAGAGGCCTACCCAACCCAAGTTTTGTACTCCTTTTTGGCAAACCTTCCGCATTAGGCTAATTAAGTCCAGTATTGTGTGAATTTAAATTAAATATGTTTTAATTGTCCTGGGGTTTGTAAAGGTGTTCATTAAACTTAAGGGATTTGTCAACTCGGATTGTATAAATTTTGCAAGCCACATTAAGCTCTTGTTCTATTTTTAAAAGGGGTTTTATCAGTTACTTGAGCCTTCAATGACTGTCCGATGCCGGAAACAGGATCTTCAATTGGTTAAGGTAAGTTGTGTTTTTTTACTAAATAGTCATAAAGTAGTGTCTGGTGGCTGATAAGCTCCTTGGTGTAAAACCACACAATAAATGTATAGTTAAAGTAGCAGGGGGGTGGGGACAGAACCCAAATTTGATCAGAGACGTGGCATGAGGTAGATGTGTTATCCCATACAGTTTTCCTGGTCTAAATAACTATTTTCCCTTCCCTACCTCTTTGGCTCTGCCACTGAGCTGTCACCCCTCCCTCTATGCACATCCAGTTTGTGCAGGGCCCTTGTCAACAACGGATGTATGCAATTTATCTGCATTGTTCTGCAAACTGAATGGCACACCCTCAAGGAAGTGCCTGAATTGCACATGGAAAGCTGCCTTTCATGTGCTGAATGAAACCACCTTGGTCCATCTAGCTCAGTTCCAATTCACTAGACTCGCAGTGAAACAACATGAGTTCTTCAATTGAAATCTGAATGTAATCCCATAAGGGACAAATCAGAGCTTGTGTTCTACCAGTGATAGGCTTGCCATATTTCAAAATTCATGACACCCACAAAGTTGTTGAGCTCTTTTCAAAAACCCATCAAAATTGTTGAGCTTTTAATCTTTTGGAGCTGTTTCCACTGCTTTTTCAATCACCTTGCCATACATCCAGGTTTCCCCTGATATTTTACCAATTCAGCAAAATTCCCCCGATGTCATTTTTATACCCGAAAACCAGGACACGACAGGAATTTTCCTGAAGTATGGCAAGCCTAACCAATGACCTGTGAGGGGCACGAATTCTTATGCAACCTGAGAGGCTAATGAAGTGGTGGTATTATTTTGGGACTGTAAATGGAATTGAGCAAATTATTATTTTCCTTTGTGAACATATAACATATATGTCCATATAAATCCTTTTTCAGGCTGCTGTCCAGAAGAGCATCCCAGTCTACAAAGCTACCACTAAAAAAGAAGTTGCTGTTCATATTGACCAAGAATCATTTCTCCCTGATGACATGTAAGAAAGATACATAACTGAAAAGGGGTTATTGGTACTACATAACATGGTAGAGGCAGAGTGTTATACATAGAACTTTCATGTGGAGAGCAGGGGTTAAAAATATAATAACTTTCTAACATCTAACGGTATACAGTGGACCCTCCAGATACAAACTTAATTTGTTCCGGGGGTCCTTATGTACCCCGAAAAGTCCACAACATTCTGTGTGTGGCGCGATAGAGCGCTTCTGCAATGCACGCGCAGCGAAACGCGGAAGTATACACATCCGGGTTTGCCGCGTTCACAACTGAAAGTTACGTTACCCGAAGGTAATGTAACCCAAGAGTCTACTGTATAATGGAAATTAGCACTGTCACATGCTCAATAACATATACAATATATCATAAACCTTTCACATACACCCAGAAAACAGCAGATCATCCAGTTGTAGCTCCAAAAGGGATGGAATTTGATATTTCCTCATTATTGTGTTTTTAAAATGCCATCTTGTTCTATCACACCAGACTAATTGAAGAGCCAGTTCACTCAAAAGCTTCACAGTGCAGCAACAGATTAGGATGGGAGGACTACTTCTAGGTCCAAGGCTGGAATTGTTTAATAGTCCCCTCCCCCTTGGGCACGTTTATGCGGAAGTCCCATTGTACTCTATGGAATTTATTTTCAGGTAAACGTGTTAGTCTTTATCTTATGTACACTGTGGAGTAAGTCCTATATCTTAATCTTGCTTCTCTGTAAGATGATCAGGAACCTAGGCTTTGTTAGAAACAAATATCCAAATGCCCCTAGCTACAACTGTCAAAGATCATTGTAAAACATGCAGATTCATTAAAACTTTTCCTTACAAGTGAAAATTGTGAGGGAAATATTTACCATGCTCTGATTTAACTTTGGTACGGACACCCATGCTCAAGCACAATTAGTGAGCTAGTGACTCATGGGCCACATCCGTCCTCCCAAAGCAATTTTATTTGGCCCACTGGTGTTCCACTAAAATGTAATCAGGGTGCAGTGCACATTTTGCTTCATTTCCTGTTTTAAGTAAAAATAGCAATGAATTTTGTGTGCGTTTCACACAGTAATTGTATTGTGTCATGCATAGCCTGAAAAGGCAATGAACTGCTGTCAGCAGAGGATCTTGCAGAAAGCAATTAGTTTTTTAACCAACCCTGTTGATGACTTGGAACTGCCTGATTACACACAGTCAAACCCATCAAGCATTTACTCTTAGACGATGCTAAAATTTATTAAAGAATCTGATCCTCTTATTCTCCAGATTTGTCTCTGCACAGTGGTTCCAAAAAACCAGAAGTGGCTATTCTTGCCCAAGCATGTACAGAAAAAGATCCTAACATTTTAAAAAGACTATGAAGACACACTGTGTAGGGGCACATGTTGGATTGAATAAATTACAGTTGCAGTGAAATGTAAGGGTTGGGTAGGTGACATTGATTCATCCCTCTGTCACATGACTTAAAACAGTAGTTTTCTTGGTTTTGTTTCATTCAATCAGACATTGTTTATCTTGTTTGTGTCTTCTAGAGCTGGAGGTGTTGAAATCTATAACAGTGACAATAAAATCAAGGTTTCCAATACTCTGGAAAGCCGGCTGGATCTAATCGCCCAGCAAGTAAGCCTGAGAAAAATCTTCCATTTTCTCTCCCGCCCCACCATCCTTGAACCCCCGATTTCTTCCAATCTTAATATCCTTGGCAAATGATTTGTACACCACTAATTATTTTGATGTGTATCCCATCTTTCAATCCAATGATTCTCAAGGCATCTTACAGTAGTCCCAAGCCCCACACAACTCAGCAGCCTGTAAGCTCCTGGCTGATGCATGGGGGGCAGCCCTGGGGCAACTGGTAGTTGAAGATTTCTGGCAGTGAGAGGGGAAGCAAGCTCCCTGCTCTTTCTCTCTGGCCATTCATTGATGCCACATCTTTGCCATCAGGTTCTACCTGGAAGGCAGGGACTACAGTGTCCCAGTGGCCCCCTGGCCAATAACGAAGGTCAGAATGTTTCCTTTCAGCTTTTCAGTCCCAGTGCAGCCCATTGTGGCTACAGGTGCTTGCTCTGAGGTCATAGACTCAGTTTGATGGTGCCAGTCCTCATTACCAGCATTTTGTTGAAGGAGAGGATCATGCATCATGGGGAAGGGACTGCTTCCATTGGTATTGTGCAGTCTTGCACAGTTTGTGTGATGTGTCCCTCCAGCCCTTTATCTTGCCAGTTCAGGGCTGATGCCTGCGCCTGCAATATCGAACAAGGTGCTTGGTGCATGTTGCATTCCTGTTCTTCTGTGCCATCACCAGACACATTGTAACTGCTTCTCTTTTTTTCCTTCAACAGATGATGCCAGACATTCGAACGGCACTTTTTGGTGCCAACAGCAATAGGAAGTTCATGGACTAAATTTCTTCAAGTAACAGTGGAAATTATTCCACTGCCATAGTGAAGGGAATGCTGGAGCATCCCTAATAAACCAACACCCCTCTTAAAATGTAATACTCAGTGCTATATTGTGTTGCCCTGTGTATGTTCTTTGGTTAAGTTATACTTCTTCTTTTTTTGCATACCTGCTATGCTTAGCCTGACTTGAAGAGAGGCTGGAAGACCTCTGTCCACAGAACAGTGGTATGTAAAACAGAAACTGAGACGTTAAGGTCCCTTGAGACAGATTCCTTGGGGGTCGGTCTCCGCTTTGACTACTTCCCTCAAAGCATGTCGCCAACCTGTGTTGTTTATCCATGGTTTCCTTATTTAAAAGCTGTTTGATATTACGTTAAATAGGGGGCATATGTTTCTTTTGAGGGCCACTGTAACTTATGCTAATTTGGTCAACCCCAGATTCTTGTTCTGTATATGTGGTTTCAAAAATTATATATATATATATGTATACACACACTTGTCTTGTACACATGCACAGCCTATACATCATTAAAATAAAAAGGTGTGTGAAACTTGTTGTTTTTCCTTTGCTTCTGCCCCCAGAGGAATAAATCTGTATGAGGTCATCAAGCAACCATGTTACTGAGCTTTACAGCAACACCTTCCCTCCATGTAGTTTCAGTTAGGGAGTGTAAAAAAAAGAACTGAGAATCAATGGTACCATTTATCAGAAGGGAGTTTTAGACTAAAATTTAGTTCACTATAAAGTTGGAAGCTTCAAGATTAGTATTGGGGAATTAAACTATGCAAACTGTAAGCAATCTGATTTATTAAGAGACAAGCTGCTTTTTAAGGTCAGAAGCAGCCATTTTACCACGCTGCCAAGATTAACATAGAACATTTTTTAATACTATCCTTTAACAGAGTTCCCTGAGTAGGTTGCAAAAAGTTATGTGGTCATGTTGTAGAAGGTAAGGCAGAACAGGGGTGTCAGCAGGTAGTAGCATGAGAGTTGATAATTGCAACTGGTTCCAAGCATAACAAAGCATAAATTCTACATTTTTTTAAAGCTATATCAGTCTAATGAAGCAAAACTACTTTATCTAAAATTTTATTTCTCCATGCATCAAGGAACAGGTTTACAGTAAGATTATTTTGTTTGAGGTTGGATGGGTACTACTTTTCTGCTAGTTTCTCCATGGAAAGGGGGTAGAAACTAGTCTTGCTGGCCAATCAAAGCACCATTGCACACACCAACTAGGGTAATCCTTGGCCCCTTTTTGCTATTGCCACTTTTAGGATTTTCTGTGCAGTGGTGAAAGCTACACATTCTAACCAAAAAATGAAGTCTCATATTATCAAGAACTGAGTGGAAGAGAGACATGGTGGTTGCTATTAACTACAGTAGTGCTAAAGAACATATCAGACCTACCTAATCCAGCACCCTGTTCACACAGTGGCCAACCAAATGCTTGTGGGGAAAATGCAAGCAAGACCTGAGCACAAAAGCAGTCTCCTCTCCTGTGGTTTCCAGCCCTTGGTATTCAGAAATAATATGCCTCTGGACCTTGTGGTTATGAGTAAACAAGGGGGAGGGAAGCTTTTGTCAGCCCAAGAGCTGCATTCCTCTGGTAGTCACCTGAGAATCACATGGCAGAACTGGGTGAGGCTAGAGGCAACAGTAGGCAGAGCAATGGATGCAGTTCTCACCTTTGCACAGTAGGCTACATCTCAGCCATCAAAAAGACGTTTCCACATGCAATCCAGGCAAGCAGCATTATCAAAGCTCAAAGACAATTTGCAGGCAGTAAGAGAACTCAAGGAGGGCACAGAACACGGCCAGTGAGAGGTGTTGTCTAGGAAAAGTCATATGGGCCAGAGACACGAGGCGTGGAAACTTCATTTGCTTTCTGTCTTCCATTTAAAGTAGGTGAGGAAGATGGTTCCTGACCATCAATTTGCATTGCTGAACAGTCACTAAGGTACAGCATGCTTTAGGGTTAGGCAAACACAAATATTTCCTTTGTGTATGTATCTGTGTTGTCTAAACACAGCTCTGGGTTATGCACAAACAGCAAATGGGAAAGTTCGTACCTCCCCCACCCACCCCAAGCTGAACAGCAGTTGGCAGACTGTCATCAGATGCTGTAACTAACACTATCCATTACAGATGCAGAAGTGGCTTAATAGAAACCTGCTGAGCTCAGATGGTCACATTAGAAACATAATACACAATTAAGAACGGCCATTAATTTATGTGTACAAATGCATGCACTGGAAGAGAAGAGGGTGGCAATGATGAGACTGCTTCTAAAATGAAAGATCAGAAAGGGTTCTGTAGTGAAATGTATACAGCAGTGCAGGATCACCAAATAAAATGTACAGGAAAATATTTCCAGCATGAGATCAGGGCAGCAAGGGTGAAATTAATCTCCACTAAACTGCTATCCTTGATCCAACTTTGAAGCATTGAAGAAATGACACAAAAATATGAAGTGATATTTATAAATGCACTTGTAATGGAGAAGAACAAGCATCAGGCAGCGCTGCGAAGGACCCCATAGATCCCTAGTAAAGTGTAAGCTTTGTAAGTAGATGGATCCAGATTCAATCTCTGGCCATACATACTGGAGAAAGAGCACCACTCCTCGTCTGCAGTGGTGTGTGATAGTCCTACTGTTAGATCAGCTTGAAAAGTGTTGGCCAACGTTTGGTGCAAGTAAGAAATGACACTTGCAACCCATTCCTTTTCATAGCACAACCTTTGGCATGTTAACTTTTAGGTCCCAGAAATCTGCCCAGTGCAGAGGATTGTTTTAGAAAATGAAGCAATGGCAAACCTGGAAGTGGTGTTTTTTAGGCCTTCTTCCTGGATAGTGGTAGACTGGGTAGTTGTTCACAGCCATTCAAGTATTTACAGGGTGCTTCCATTTCTCTTCAAGTAGCTAGTGTCACAGAACTCTTGCAATCTTAATTCATGATCCAGTGTGTTTTAGAATGGGTACTACTTGAAATATTCCATGATATGTTCTCCAATGCCAATGAAATACATTCCTTGGGCTATGCCAAAGAGAGGAGCTATAACCAGTGCACGGCATCCTGCCCCTTTCATGAAGGCAGCAGGGCCCTCATGAATCCAGACCTTCCTGGAGAGGAGAGAAACAGAGTGGGTTGGTAAAGTTATTGTTACTATGAATTAGAGGGCGTTTTTTTCTATTTAGGGTTCTCTGAGTACAAGGCAAGGTGGCAGAGATGAGTCTCCTGATTACTTACATAGCTTCCTCTCAAGGCAGGAAGTAAGAGCTGCCTTCCCAAATCAAGTAACAGCTGGGGAGGTGGAGGCAAAGGTGGTCAGGACCACAGCATGAGAGGAAAAAGAAACCAAGACTTCCATCCTGAAGTCATTGAACCCCAACTCACCTCACCTCCAACCACCACAGCCAAAGGTCAGGGATCTTGTGGGTTGCAGTCTAACAACATAAAGAACCAGAGAGTTCCTCATCTCTGACAGCCCACTGCTTTTTAAAGTTAAAAGCACCCAAGAGTAAGGTGTGTTTAACTTAATACGTCAGCAACAGCCACATCAAGAATTGGGAACCGTCATATTTGTGTTCCGCTGCCCCTTGTGGTCAGTTACTCAAAGCTGCCGCCTTTGAATATTTATTTCCTTTGCTGGCTGCTCATTTTCAATGTCTTATTTAAATGCTGTTGCAAGGGGGAAAGCTAGCTTATACTCAGAAATACTATGTTTTTCCAGTATACAATTGGAAATCATGCATCAGCTTGCTCAGTTACCAGCTTTTTCCTCCTAAGAAAAATGAATGAAGCAGAAACTGGAAAACCACAAAGTAGTGTAGAGTGCTGCTGTTAAGGGTGCCAGCAACACTACTCCATTCCATCCTCTGTGGGGTTCCTCCAAGCCTGCTGCCATCTTTCTCTTGTGAGTGGATGGTGCCATTTCAGAAGGACCTGACAACTTACATCACAAAATGTACACTGCAGAACATTGTTAACATAGAGCAATGACCTGAGTACCAGTAAAACAAGAGTTTAGTTCTGCTTACCTGGCACAGTCAACGATCCCATTGTAGGTGTCCTCTCCCAGTCCTTTCTTGAGAGTTTGAATTCGGGTCTTTAGAACTAAAACAAGCAGTAACTGATTTAAACTTTGCAAAGTTGCATGCTTTACAGACTTTTTAATGCAAGGATACTTAACTGCAAGATTAGGGTTTTTATTTATTTGTTCATTTCATTCCTGGCATGAATACATGCTCCTGGTACTGGTCAGAAATGCAGTGTTGTTATCCCACATCAGTTCTTCATCAATCATCATTCATCACCATAATATTAAACACACGGTGCCTCACTAAAGCATTTCACATACATAAGTTCTTAGGCTATTCAGTGGTGTGAATTGAGGGTTTCTAGCATATAAGCTTATCATTAATTTTTCAGTTTTTATGTTTGTATTTTCATGGCAATCTTATCATAAATAGATATATCAAAATAAATCTATCCTTTCTCCAATGAGTTCATGGCTCTCCACTAGCTGTTGGTTATATGAAGGGGCTGTGCCTGGTCCCAGTATCACCACTGAGCTTTCTATCCAAGCAGCAATTTAAACCCAGGTTCAACACTCCTATCGGATGTAGTCTGTTCACTGCATTAATATTGTTTCTCTAGTAAGGTTCACTTAATCATTATGCTGCTCCAGCTAATCTGTTGGTCGGCACTGTTCCAGACAAGGCTCGCTCATCAATGATTATAAGAAATAGCTCCCTCAATTTTCCTGGAATAAATAGTCTGCCTGATACAGTAAGTACTCTTAGTTGCTAACAGCCAGTTCACGTGGTTGGGTAAGAAAAAGCTTCTATATACTCATGTGCGAAGTGCAGGTTATTTTGCAGAGCATGTAAAACATTATGGACAATGCAACTTAGAAAGCAGCCTTATAAGGAGCTTAATTAATCTTGGGTCTGCGTTGGCAAGGTCTTAATAGTTCATTTGAAGCACTACTGCGGCCTCTTGGGAGGGAATAAAATTCATAAACACACACACACACACACACACACGTAAGCAAAAGTCACTGCCTTTTGATAGTCGCACCATCTAATACCTACCATCCAATGGGGTCACGGCCACTGCAGCCACAGATCCTGCAATACAGCCAGAGATGAATGAATGGAAGAAAGAGGCTTTTTCATCAAGATTCGCCTGCCCCAGCTTGTTGATGTTGGCAAAAAGTGGGAAATATATAATAGAAAAGGGTACATCCCTGTTGAGAGTAGAAGTGAGACATTTTAGGTAAACAATACAATCAGCTAATCTCTTGTTGAAGCTGTTTTTCTTAGCCAATTTTCACCTTCCCCTTCCACAGCTCAACTGTTCCCCCCATTTGGACTGCCATACTTTCTACCCTTGCAGTTGTTACAGGCTTTTATGTTTTCACACAAGTGTACTTTCCCCACAGTTGCAATGTATCATGGAATTTTAAAACTTTAGGTTTGTGCTTACGTTTAGCTTTGATCCCAGCACCACCCTGAAGAAACCCACCCTTGTGCAACTGAGAGCAAAGTCCCTACGTCCAGAGAACAGTCTGAAGATGTGACACATTCCAGCAGCTAAAACTATTTTATTTATTATCCCTACTTTTATAAAAAAATATATATCAAGGCAGCTTACAACATAAAATGCAGTATTATTTATCTCTAAATATCTGTAAAACATAATTAAAAGCATTGATAAAACATTAGTTGATACTGTTCGGTTAATATGAGAAAATCATATTTTGAATGCCTGTCCATAAGGTATTTTGAGCACAAGTTGATGAGGACTTTGTGAATTAACACAAGATGTTGAACCTGGCCCACTAGCAAATTGGCAACCAGTGTCTCTCAGCAGTAGAGTAACATGTTGCTAGTAATCTGCCTCTGTGAGCAGTCTGGCTGCTGCATCCTGCACTAGATGAAGCTTCCAAAGCGGAAGCATCCTGACCTTTTATAGGCTGCTTGAGTGGGAGACCACCTGTGAATATAAAGTACTTTGAGGTCTTTGGTTAGTATATGGGTTAGCAACCCTTAGTTTCTTATACCCCACAATGAGGAAAAGAGGGCTGTAGACTCAATATAGATAATAACAATTGCTTTGGATCCAGATTTCCATGCACAATATGAAGCTCCCACTAATTCTCTCCTACCCCTGGTTAGCTTTAAATGCTCAGGCAGCCATGCAAACAACCAATAGGGACTTACGTGTGGAGCTCAGGAGTATGGAGCTCATGAGTATGGAGTTCCTGGATCCAAGTGATGGTTTAAAAGCAAAAGACCCTCCTTTAGAATGGGAAGTCAAGCCTTCTAGGACATGAAGGGCATTTATAGAAATTGAAGCATTCTTCTCTGCCTCTCCAGGTACAGACCAACACTGAGAAGATATCTCCTTGTTCTGGGACCAGCACATCTCAGCCTGCCTTAGGTAGCCTGAATGCTAAATTCCCTTTCTCAAGACCTCTAGACTAAAGCAGCTTGCCATCCTATAATGAACAGGACGGAACAGTTCACTCTCTTCTAACCTGAGCAAGGTGGCTCCCAGCCCTTTATACAGGCCTGCAACTCCCTGGGTGCACAGGAGATCTCTGGCAATCATGAAAGCAGAGGGGCGTTTAGAGGCTGCTGTGGACCCGGCTGTGTAAGGCTGTCCTGGTGGTGAATGGGAGGTGGTGGCAGCTGGTCCATCCTGCCCCAAGGCCTTCTGCTGATGAGCAGCTAAAAGAAAACAAGCAATAAAACTCCTAACTTTCCATTGTCACTCCATGGGTTCCTTTCATTGCAGTCTCAGGAACATCATAGCACCCCATCTCCAGCAACAATTACCCCAATCCCAATATATTCTGGTAGTACTACAGTGGGGGAGGACACCTCCTCCAGTTTGGGGGCAATCTTGGCCCACCATGAGGTTCAAGTTGGTCCGTGAAGCCATTTTCCACAAACCATGGCTACCTGTCCATTAGCTGACATAACTGGCCAATGTCAGCAGATGAGTGGGATTCAATTCTGCCGGGGAATGCAGGGAATGTGCTGATGAAACAGACCCTTGCATCCAGCAGGATTGAACCCTTTGATCACCAGCTGGTGAGTGGAGGGTTCAATCCTGGTCAGTCTGGCTGTGTATGTCTGTTCCCCTAGTAGGAACAGGTGTTTGCAGCAAGAGTGTGGTGTGGAGCTGTTTGCAAGCTCTTTTACAAACAGTTCCACAATGCTCTTTAAATGTATGAAAACCATAGGTTTAAAGAGTCATGTAGAGCTATCTGCAAAAGGGCATTTAAACTGCCCCACTCTGCACTTTGAAGTGCCAACAATTAGAGTTTCAAGCATAGCAGCAACAGGAGATAAGGGGAGATTAGGACCTAGCTCACTGGACAGAAAAGGTTCTCCACACCTATACTCTAAGTAACTCAGATATTAATTTGCTTATTTGCCCAGTAAAAGCACATTTTGGCAAGTAATCACTATTAGGCAACAGCAAAATATGGACAGAAGTATAACAGAGATAAGTAATGGGATTTAGGGGCTGTGTCTGAGAAATTGAGATAGTTGGAGTTCATTTAATTCAAGACTTTGCTTTCACCATCATTCCACACACGCCCCCCTAAAAAGGGGGGTGGAATGGGAACTTACCTAGCCGCCCAGCATCCTGGAGCTGGATTTTCAACATTTCCATTGGAGATGTGACCACTACCTGGCAAGTCCCAGCTCCACAGCCAGCAAGCATCTCTCTCACCAATGACAATTCTTTTCTGTCAAAAGAAGCATAGATGCAAAATAAATGCACTTCCACAACTATAGGCTTGCCAAACTATCATGAGAGTGGCTATTTCTGTGCCTTCCATAGAGTGAAGCTTTTCACAGCCTGGAGATCAACAGGGATCCACACTCCCACTCCCATGGTTAGCCCCAGCTTTCCTGTCTAGCTTGGAGATGGAGAGAGAGAAAAAGACTCAGCTGTGCAATGTGCAAAAAGGGGACAAAAAGGGGAAAGATACCCATTTATGCTCCAGCTCCTGTCAAGAGATAAAGGTTGAGCTGGTCCTTTTGATGGTGGGTGGCTGAAGTGCCTTGGCTTCCTGCCATCAGAATGGTGAGTCCTTGGGTGGAATTTAGTGTTGCACTGTGATAATCATTCCCACAGCACAAGCATTTTTGCTTGCCAGACAGAACAATCTTCTCCCACACTGTTCTAAGGGTTTCCCCAATCCTCCAGAGCAGATTTGGGTGACGCTTGAGTGGGTGAACTCCCATTGTGCTAGCAGAACTCTTTATGATAGTTTCTACTAGCACACCAGGTTAGTTGAATCCAGCCCCTGCAGGCCATTTTACAGAGGAACTCGGAGCACCTTGGGTGATTCATACTAAGACAAGACTCTGCTCCCCTCCCACAAGTCAGGGACAAAGGTTGCATTCTTATATATGTTCGGATGGGAGTAAGCCCTATTGAATACAGTGAAGCTCTCCTCTGTGTAAACATGCATAGGGTTGTACTGGAGAGGAATGACAAGGACCTAGTGGTTAAAAGTTTTGGCCTGGCTACCAAGGCTAGATGAAATTAGTGGACCTGTGGAGATGAGCATTGTCTGCCAAAAGAAGTCACTGTTAAAGGTGCAAGAGGAGAAGCTCTATGAGACACACACACAAAATTATAACATCTTCCTCAAAGATCTTAGGATTCATGTGTAAATGTCTCCTCTTCTCTGTAGAGGTACATAAGCCTCTTGGCTCACCTGAGATATGAGCTGCCTATAGTTCGTAGCCTGCAAGTACAGACTACACTAAGGAACACTGGCAGGAGTCAGGTAGCGGCTCTCCACTTTGAACAGTGAAAGTGGCTATTTTAGCTCAAGCCTGCTGTGCCTCTGTTAGTAGGAATTTCAGGAGTGAATACTGTCAGAGGAACACCGAGGGAGGACTACAGATTCATCACACACACACACACACACACACACACACACACACACACACACGTTCCTCTACACTGCCACTGTGACCTAAAGCCAGGACATTGGTAGGAGGCTTACAAATTGACTGTGGTGTGATATACTAGAGGGTGGGGGAATGGGGCCACTATCAGGATTTGATTATGTTAGGCTGACTGTTATTATTCTCATACTATTTATTTTCACATGCTGCTCGGATGGTGTTTAGCTTTAAAAAAAATTCTATAATTTATTCATGATGAGATTCTGGTGTTTCATTGTATCCTTTGAACTGTTTTATAGGAGGACTTTTTGGTTTTGAAGAGCATCCCACAAATGGCAAAATGACAATAAAGAAAGATAGATGAATAGATCAATAAATAATAAAAACAATTAAACTGGAATTATTGAATGCTTTTTACCCCATACCCATCTTGGGAGAGTAACTGTCGGAAGAAATCATTGGCTGCCAACTTGATTGCTTTTTCAGGAGTGACAAGAGTCAGGTTTACAGCAGCCCCTGTGAGAAGATGGGAGAGGCAATAAGGCACCCAGTTTTATGGTACATTAATACATTACTCCTCCGGTAATATGTACTAAACACACTCCTGGAAGTTTCTGGAAGGTAGCAAATTACAATATTAATGATATCCCAATCAAAATATTAAACTGGATGAAACACTAGCACTAGAAATATTTCCCCAATTTAACATGGAGTGCCAAATGTCAGAAAAAGTTGCTTATAAAGTCTTGCAGTTTCCAGAAGACGCTCCTTGCTCTCTGGACTTGGTGCATTAAAAATGAACTCCAGAGGGCACTGTTGGTCAATTTTAAAGATTGTGATGGGACAACAGGAAAATGGTAGTCTCTTAGCTAGTTAAACAAAAGTAACTGTGAAATACGAATTAATTTGTTACAGGATGCTCAGACAGCCATTTTAGTGCCCTAATAGCCTCCTGTGAGGCATAGCAGGAAATCTGGGTTTCTCAAAAAAGCACCCCCGAACTTTCCAAAAGTTCCTTTTTGATCCGTCACTGGCCACCTGAAATTGTGCAGTCCAAGAAGGACTGTACCACCACAGGCGCCGGGTTGCCCCCCAAGATTGGAGGGGCTGGCACACATGTGACATCATGCACGTGTCAGACATCACGTGACCTCACACACATCTTCCAATGCCGTGCAGGCTGGACCGGCGTGGCCTAGCGGAAGGCTGAACCGGTCCCCACAGTGTTGGGAGGCGCTGTGGGGACCAGCATGGCCTGGTGCAAGGCCTAGCAGAAGGCTGCACTGGCCTATGTGGTGTTGGGAGACACTGAGGGGACCGCCCTGGTCTGCACAGCATCTCTCAATACTGTGGGGACTGGTGCGGCCTGGCAGAAGGCTATCCATTTTTACACACAGAGAGACATTTGCAGTTCCTTGAAGTACAAAAAATATGCATTATGAAAATCCTCCCACATTTTATTAAAATATGCTCTCTCTTTTATTAGGTTTTATAAACAAGAATACATACAAGTATACCAAGTTTTCTCATGTCATTTGTATATCACAAAAATAGCATAAACGTGGAAAAATATCTACAACATAAGTTTCATTATTAGTGGTCAACGTACAGGTTCTTGGTTCATTAATTGGTTTAAACTTAAAAAGAAAGAAAGAAAGAAAGAAAGAAAGAAAGAAAGAAAGGGAGGGAGGAATGGTGAGTGGGTTGCGGTCAGGTGGTTATGCTTCTATTCTTCTACTTGGGGGGGTGTCAGCGTTACTTGTATGGGTTCTCTTACTATTCATATTAAGTAGTGGGTTGACAAAGCAGACGACACAGAGATTTCTCCAAGTGGTTCTTTATAGTAAGCTGGAACTGAACTGAACTGAACAGCAAACAGCTCAGCCAGCCTGCTTTTATAGGCAGCCGGCTGTCAACATTGTAACAACAACAACCCAGAGTTTCCTGCCTAAAGTAACTGACGTGGACCTGAGTGAAAACTACTGTATTTTTCGCTCCATAGGGCGCACCTAGTTTTCAGAGGGGGAAATCAAGGAAAAAAATATGATCCCCCCCCCAGCTCTGGGAGCAGCAGACAGGCTGCATGCAGCCTGTGCACTTCTCCCAGACCTTCTCCCTGCTTTTGCGGGAGAATTCCCCCATCTCCAGCAAAAGCCCACAGGAGCCGCACACCCTTTAAGGAGCGCACAGCTCCTGCGGGCTTTTCTATGAGGAGGGAGAAGGGACTGACGCGGCCAGTCAGTCCCTTGTCCCCATTCGGGGAAAAGCCCCCAAGAGCGGTGCGCTCTTTAAAGGATGCGCGGCTCCTGCGGGCTTTTCTACGAGGTGGGGGAATTCCCCACCCCGCTGCCCTGCAGAGGCTTTGCGCAGCTAACCCCAAGCTAGAACAGCGAGACGGAGCGCTCTGCAGAGCTCCATCTCCCTGTTCTGGCTTTAGGCTTAGCCGCGCAGCCTGCATTCGCTCTATAGGACGCACACACATTTCCCCTTAATTTTTGGTGGGGGAAAAGTGCGTCCTATAGAGCGAAAAATACGGTATATACACGATACTCCTGGTGGCCAGGGTGAGTACTTCAATACATAACAATTCACTTGTCATGTTTCCTTGGTGGTGAGAGAGGTTGAGGGTGGCTTAGAGTGTGGTTGGGTCATCTTTGGTTGGTTGTAGTGAGTGTTGTTTTTGTGCTTGAGTGGGGTATGAGTGTGTATTTTTTTATCAGGTTAGCCAGATTGATTCATATGCTGTTGGTGGATTCTTGTTGTCTTGTTGGGCTGTGTATGTGATAAAGGGGAACCAAAGAGGGGGGAAGGTGTCTTCCTCTATATGTCCCCATGTCAGTTTCAGTTTATTGGTTAGTTTTTCTAATAAGGCTGTTTCCCATACTATTTGATACCATTGGTCCATGCTTACTCCTGACAGGTCTCTCCAGTGTCTGGCTATGTTGTTAAATATGCTCTTTTGATACCAATATTTAAAATTTTATTTCAAACATCCCCCCCGATTATCTCTATTGTTCAACTGAGATAATCTAAACAACAGCAAAAGCATTTTGCCCATTGCACTTTGCTATTGCAGTTCAGACAAAAAGGATGACCTTTCCATTTTTGTAAGCATTACCTCGATACATGCCAAAGAACCCCTCTGATTTAATTGTCTTCACCAAACAATCCCTCCTAGAATAAGAGAGGAATAGAGAGAAAAAAGAGTTAGCAACATGTATTTCAAGATTGCGACTGACTTTTGTGACTCTGACCAGTTCCCGCAACTGTTCAGTAGGTGCTTACTTGAGGCACAGCGTTCTCAGCTATAGCACCAAAACTATGGAACTCCCAAATACATTTGCTCTCCCCAATCTCTGCTGGTCTTTGGGCAACAAGAAAAGGTGGTGGTGTTTTTCAGGACACTTTCTGAATTTAATTTGTGGTTGATATATCCCTGCTGCTTGGTTGGTTGTGACTTTTGCATTTTATATTTGCAAGAATTTTTTAGCTACTTTTCAGAATGTAAATTAAAAAAAACCAGAATACATATGTTTGAGTGAGTTCCAGCACCTCTTTTTCTAGAAAAATAGTACTTGTCATAGCCATCTGGGCTGCATCAATAGGAGTATAGCATCTAGATCAAGGGAAGTAATAGTGCCACTGTATTCTGCTCTGGTCAGACCTCACCTGGAGTACTGTGTCCAGTTCTGGGCACCACAGTTCAAGAAGGACACTGACAAACTGGAACGTGTCCAGAGGAGGGCAACCAAAATGGTCAAAGGCCTGGAAACGATGCCTTATGAGGAACGGCTAAGGGAGCTGGGCATGTTTAGCCTGGAGAAGAGGAGGTTAAGGGGTGATAGGATAGCCATGTTCAAATATATAAAAGGATATCACATAGAGGAGGGAGAAAGGTTGTTTTTGCTGCTCCAGAGAAGCGGACACGGAGCAATGGATCCAAACTACAAGAAAGAAGATTCCACCTAAACATTAGGAAGAACTTCCTGACATTAAGAGCTGTTCGACAGTGGAATTTGCTGCCAAGGAGTGTGGTGGAGTCTCCTTCTTTGGAGGTCTTTAAGCAGAGGCTTGACAACCATATGTCAGGAGTGCTCTGATGGTGTTTCCTGCTTGGCAGGGGGTTGGACTCGATGGCCCTTGTGGTCTCTTCCAACTCTATGATTCTATCCATTGCAATGGGTCTACTCTGAGAATTAGGAGTATGGGTAGAATAATGAGTAGAAAAGAGAGAACTTGGAAGGAGTTCAACCCTTCCCAACTTCTTTGTTTGTTTGTTTGTTTGTTTGTTAGACTTATATCCCACCGTTTTCTTCTAAGAGCTGAAGGTGGCATACACGATTATCCCCCTTCTCATTTAATCCCCACAAGAACCCTGTGAGGTAGATTAGACTGAGAGGCAGTGAGGTTTGAAAGAAACATAATTCAAACCAGATTGGACTCTAATACCCAGCTTAGAGCCTAATACCCCATGCCACACCACACATATCACACTAAACAAAGCCTTACAACACATACATTCCGGTGTAGATGGCTTGTCCTTGCTGGTTCTGGAGACGGGTTTTGGCCAAATCAATGGGGAAAACACAAGTCACCCCCACAAGTCCTGCTATACCTCCATTGATTAACTTAGCTGGAAGGCTGTAAAGTATAAGATAAGTTACAATGGTATTCCTTGGTACAGGGATTCTAGCAGATTATTATTATTATTATTATTATTATTAGTCACCACCACACTTATACCCACCCTTTTCTCCAAGGAGCTCAAGGCAGCAGACATACGGTACATGCATGCCCTGATAGCTTTCCACCACAGTTATACAGCCCTTGGGTCCAAAAAGTTTCCCACCCCTGCTTTAAAGCAATTCCATGAGCTGTGATAGGAGCCTCCATGACCTTCACCTTTGTTATCTTCTCTTGCGCTCATCCTGGCACTCACATTCAGTTGCAATGCACATAGGGGCTTGCTTTTTTTTTAAAGAACTTTGCTGGATCTAGTTCATCTACTGCAGGATGAACAGCAGCTGAGTTGATGTGTGCAGGAAGCCAACAAAGAAGGCATGAAGACAACAGTCTATCCATTCAGCTTCTCTCTCTCTCTCACCCACCCTCTAGTCATTAGTTTTTAGAAGCAAACTTCTTCTGAACACGAAGGCTCCATTTAGCTACAAGCCATTCATAGACATAGCATTAATTTTTCTAAGCTTCTTTGAAAAGCCCCTAAACTAACACATATCACTGCATCTTATGGCAGCAGATTCTGTAAGCAAATTATGCCTTATGCCTTGTGTGAAGAAGTTTTTTCCTATCTTTCTTGAATCAGCTTCCCTTCAACTTTCACTTTAAGTACAGTAGTACAGACGCTTCAGGTTACAGACTCCGCTAACCCAGAAACAGTACCTCGGGTTAAGAACTTTGCTTCAGGATGAAAACAGAAATTGTGCAGCTGCGGTGCAGCGGCAGGCCCCATTATCTAAAGTGGTGATTCAGGTTAAGAACAGTTTCAGGTTAACATCAGACCTCCAGAACAAATTAAGTTCTTAACCTTAGGTACCACTGTACTAGTAATGTGGACTAGTAGAGTCACTGTTTCTGCACCATGATTTCTGTTCATGCCCATAATCACAAGGAAACATTTTTCTCAGGACCAGAAGCATCAGGGCATCAAAATCATGCATAATGTAGAGAAAGTTTTCTTTCTTTCTTTCTTTCTTTCTTTCTTTCTTTCTTTCTTTCTTTCTTTCATCTCCTTATCTCATAATACACTAGAACCCATGATCATCCAATGAAGCTGAACGGTAGACTATTCAGGGAAGACAAGAGGAAGGGCTTCCTCACACAGCAGCATAATTAAACTCTGGAATTCACTACCACAATATAAGGTGATGGGCACCAACTCAGACAACTTTATAGGAGGATTAGACAATTGCAGGGAGGACAAGGTCACCAATGGCTACTATTCACAATGACTGTATACAGCCTCCAGGATCTACCAGTCACGGGGAAACAACAGCAGGGGAGGGCTATTGTCCTGATGTACTGCCTATGGGCTTCCCATTGGCATCTAGCTGACTAGTGTAAGCTAGATTGGTCTTTGATCTGATTCAGCAAGGCTCTTCTTATGTTCCTAGTCAACACTGAAAGCACCAGGCTCACAGGGTAGATGACATCCACAAGCAGCAAGCTTAGAGATGGCTCTGAGCTATTTTACAACTTGAACAACACTGAGCCAGGTTATTCAGCCTTTCAGGCAGAATTAAAACTGGCAAAAAATGTCTGAAAAATAGAGGACATTAACTATCCTCTGCTTCATCCTGTTGCCTGTCTACCAGTTCCCACAGATAAGCTAAGCATCATTTATATCACTGGAGCATAGAATTCCCCACTTTCAAAAGGCAAGGAGCAAAAAGGACAGGGCTGACCTAATCTTCTTCTTGTCCCTCATTGTTCCTTGGGGATGTTGTTTCTTGGTGACGGCAGCAGCTGCTTGTGCTGCTGACACAGGAAAATTCTTTCAAATATGGAGGCGCATTCCTCTTTGTCTTTGTTCTGCTGGGGAAGAGAACACCATTAGTGCTTCTTGACATGCTGCTTGCCAGGGGTATATTACAGGTAACAAATGACAGTGTCAGTTCTAAAACATAGAGGCAATTTATCACTTAATCAGCTCCTGGAGAATAGTGAAGTCAGATGAATAGCTTCCCAGAGGCCACCAAACACAAAAACATGGTTTTTTGTCTCAAATGCAACCCAACCTGGGCACTTTTAAGCCACTATTTTGTAAAAGAAGTGCCAAGGAAATGCTTACCATTTTGGACCCAGAGAGGCCAAAGAATCTCCAGAGGAGGAGAGAAGGGGATGTGGGCACATGCCTCACCAAGGGGGATGAGACAAGGGTTAGAGAACATTAACCAGACATTGCCCCCTGAAGTCTATAATACTGATCACGGAATTTGGTGTAGAAATGATGACTAAAATCACTAGGAGATGCATAGAACTGTGACATAATTCTATTAATCTCTGAAGTGGGAAATTAGTGGGTACTGAAGGTACCAAAAAGTGAGGTTCTGGAGTTCCATGAAAGATTGCCCAGAAGTGTGCTGTGAGTGGGGAGTTGGCTTGGATGGACAAATAGGAACTACTGCTGATCTCATTCTTTGAGATCAGCAATAAAGAGATCAATGTTGCATCTCTGTGAAATTTAGAAGACTAGCTGCTGAATCTGGGTCTTTTTCTGGCAGTGAGATGGCAGTCTTGTTGGTTTTACTTCACCTGAAGGCGGCAGCAAAAGACTTCTGAAATCCTGGAGGATGACAACAACAGGGAAGCATGAAAGGCATGGCATGTTCAAACAATATCCATGGTTTTGAAGGGGTTGGGAGTGTCTTGATGTTGCCTTAGCGCCCATCATTGAACAAAAGACTGTGTGTATTCATGGTCATCATTATGCTGTTTGTGTGTTATATAATTTACTTGCCCAGCCATGCCAAAAGAAGTCAAGCAACAATTTTGCAAGGCCAATGAGTCACACATAAACAATTAGTCATGTATAACCAGCTAGAATTATTTAATAATATTGTTGCTACAAAATATCTTTCTGGTTCGGTTTATTATCAAAATACTACTAGTGACTTTTGCAGTTAGTCATCATTCACATGCATGCACTAAATTTATTTTCTCACATTTATATCCCTTACTGTATTTCTTCCAAGGTGGTGCACATTTGGTTTTCAGGCTGACACCCATCCACTTACTTACTCTCAGCAAGGTAGTGACCTCATGTGCCTTCAGACCTAACCCTGGGGCATATTTGCATGAGTTATACCACAAGTGCCAAAAGCAGCATCTGAAATGTGGTAGCAGTTTGCACAGATAGTGTCATTCCAGCATTCCACTCTAGAACAGGGGCTAACAACTCTCATATAAGCTAGCTAGGGTAAAGGTAAAGGGACCCCTGACCGTTAGGTCCAGTCACAGACGACTCTGGGGTTGCGGTGCTCATCTCGCTTTACTGGCCAAGGGAGCCGGCGTACAGCTTCCGGGTCATGTGGCCAGTATGGCTAAGCCACTTCTGGCGAACCAGAGCAGCACATGGAAATGCTGTTTACCTTCCCGCTGGAGCGGTACCTATTTATCTACTTGCACTTTGTGTTTTCGAACTGCTAGGTTGGCAGGAGCAGGGTAGAATATCATTTTTAAAAGAAAAGAAAAAGAAGAAACATATAGACCTTCCTTCTTGCTGCTCTGATGTGCATTTAATGAAAGGAACAGTTGTACCCACAGGAACAATGGAAGCTGTGGCATAGTATAATCTTAGAATCATAGAATTGTAAAGTTGGAAGCGACCCTAAGCATTATCTAGTATCCAATCCCCTGCAATGCAGGAACATGTAGCTGTCCCATTTGAACCTGCAGCCTTGGTGTTATCAGCGCTGTGCTCTAACCAACTGAGCTATCAGGAAGCTCACAAACAACATTACACATTTGAACCTTTGTCTCTAAATTACTGTGTGTGAGGCATGTAGGTCCCTGACAGTATAAGAACATCTTTGTAAGAAATAGCTAAAGAGAACAAAATAATTTCTGTCCTTCATCTATAACTATTAGGAATCTGAAAGAAGTTCCTCCTCAGGACTTCCTAAAGAAAAGCATGCATTGTAGACTGTCTCTGAAATATGAAGTTTTAGAATATATCCCTGTGAGTGAAACACATGCAAATTCAGAAGTCAGGAAAAATGGGAAGCTAGCTTACCTTCCTTATTTGCAAGCACCCGGTTCCCTCCCTTCCTTCTCTCTTTCAGTTTTTAGCCTCTGACTCACATCTGGATTCCTCCAACAAGCAAACCCTATCCAATGTTTAAGGGGTGGTTCACAAATTCCCAGTGATTTTGTGTAAATACACTGTAAGTGGGAGACGAAAAAACACACACATCTCTGTGCCAGTTACTCATCAAGCCTCTCCTTTTTTGGGCCTGGCAAAGGAAGTGCCCCAAGCCCTACCCAGGAGAACAAGCACACCTTTAAAATGTGCTTTTAACCTTAAAACCGGTTTTTAGACAAACACTGTTTGCATTTCAGCCTGCTTAGGCAAGTGCTGTTTCCACAAGTGCCCATGTAATTTCACTGGTTGTTAACAGCAACACTTTCTTTGCTGTTAACTGGGGAAGTGAGGTATAATGGCAATGCAGTGTTGCTGTTGACCCCTGACATCAGTCAATTAAAGTGTAACCTCAACTATGAACTCACTACATGGCCATAGGGCAAGACAGTGTTTCCCAAAGCTCTGTTCTCTATTTTCATTGTAAGAATGACAACCCTGTGTCCTACGCTTCAGGAGGATTACTAAAACAACGTGCAAAAAGTTTAATTCCTGCCAGGGACAGCATTGCCCGCTGCTGTGGTGGCAGCGATGGCTGCAGCACACTCCTTGGAGGCCGGATTGGCTGCCTTCCTGGCAGCCCCCCATGCCACCTCCACAATGGCCTCTTGGGAAAGAAGAGGCACTGCTGGTCTCCTCACACCCGTAGGGAAGAAATGGCAGCAGCTGCCCTCTGGGGTCTACTGGGCTCTGCACCCCCCACCCCACCCCATGGTGTCTGATTCCTACTTAAACCATCAGGCAAGGTTAATTTGATTCCCACCCACCCCTTGTTCTCAGTGTAGATCCTCACTCACCCCTTCTTCCCCAACCAAGAGTGGTGGTGCCATTTTGTGGTTCGCCTCAGGTGCCAAAATGTCTTCAGCCGGCCCAAATTCCTGCAGCAAGTTTTTCTTTGTGTGGAATAGCTAGGCCAAAATGCATTGAGCTTCAGGGATCCCGCTTATCCAAGGGTGTATTCTTAACAACCAAAAAATATACACAAGTTCTATAAGGATAACCATGTTTGTTTCTACAGACTAAATACTAGCAAATCTACTGTCATGAAAGCTCGTGTGGTAAAACATTTAGTCACAGGATTCTTTGTGGTTTAGATGTCCTATTAATACTTAAGGGCCTATATATTTTAACTATTTCCTTCCAGCTTTTATGCAGATTCAGGGCCAAACTAGGCCAGAAATTAAATACTTTGAATCAGTATCTACATTGGGAGGAAATTCCCTATTGCTGCCAGTAGGGGATTTCCTACAAACCCAGATACTGGTTAAATCCCCCTCCACACCTGTTGTGTAGAAATTTTGTTTTCGTTTTTCCCCATGTAAATTTTTAACAATATGTGAGTCTCTAGTGTCAAATGTCAACATGCCACATTGGGATTTAAGTGGAAAACAATAATTAAAGCAAGCATCATGTCCCTTAAAATCCAGGACATTTCAGTCAAATTCCTAGGCAAACACGGGAGATTTGCTCCCTTTTCTTTCGCTGACACCCCACCACCCCACCCCCACTTCTGAAACACACTTTTCAGACACATTTCACTTCAGTTCATTCCTTCAGGAAACTCTAGGCCATCAATCCTGATGTTACCACAGGGAAATGTGTTTCTTGTGCAGTTTATGTCTCTGAGACATTTGCTCGAGGGCCATTGGTGTGTAGAGAAACAAGATATGCATTAATTTCCTCAATAATTTTACCTGGGGCAAAATGGACACTAATATGTTGCCTTCTGCTGTTCTAAGTTTTGTTCTTCCTTCTGCACTGGTAGAGAAACAAAAAAAGGAAGCAATACCTACCTCAGCAAACTGGTGCTTTATGTTCAGCCATGTCCCAGTACATTCTGTTAGCCATCAGCCTTGCAAGACTCCAGATTATTTCTGGAATCCATTAATGTCTGTTGTTGCCAAACTTCTTAGATATCAGCAAACTAGGGGCCCTTCAGGCATAAATGACCTTTAGGCAACATCATCTGTTCCCTGCCTCAATAGTAACCATGGCAACTGAGATATGTAGAGGACAGGCAGCAGCCATGGCTATGAGGCTCTCCAGCAGTCTGTAGACTGGGGGTGGGGCCTGTTGGTCGGTGCAGATCCCTCCCTTTACCAAATGGTCAAATAGGAATGTTCCACTTATGTCTATCTGCACAGTGCTCTGACCCCAGTGCCACCCCTTGCTTTCAATAGTGGGCCTGAAATTGCAGGGTCAAAGAGGCTGTAATTGTGGAACAGCCTAGCTTGTACGTTACATTCTTTACCATGTAATTGTAGAGTTGGAAGGTAGACTGGGGGTCAACTAGTCCAAGCCCTGGCAATGCAGCAGTATGCTATGGTTAGGTTGGTAGGAAAAGAGTGTGTAAAACCAAGACTCTTCTCTGCTGTCACTGAATTACTTTTTATTATATATGGGAAATATGTGACTAGGCCTTGAGCAATGTAGGTACAGCTCAGCTAAGTTCTCTTAATGTGATCCTGCAAAGGATTGAGTGTGAAGTTTGAAATGCTCCAAGCAAAAACTTCCTTCCTGATATTTTGCCTTTTCTGACCTTGTAAATTGTGTTGTCAGTGCTTAATCCCACTGGTACACCCCCATGGATATTGAAGGAGGAATTAATATGTTTCAGTTAACATGTGAAATGTTCCCATCTCAGTTTTAGCATTAGGCACAGAAAGCTAAACCCTGATATTTAAATTAATTTAGGTCAATGAACAACTATTATTTTCTCCACAAATTGTTAAGATTTCAAGTGCATAGGGCAAGGGAATCCCCAGGCTTCCACTTGTGAATCCACCAAAGTTCCTAGTCTCTCAAGTACACATACATCTTCTCACCAATGGTTGGTCTGAGGTCTGTTCAGGGGCTGATGATGCTGAATCAGAGATGAGTGATGCTTGTTGGTGTGACCTGAAAGCATGCAGCTGCCTTAATCACTCCTTTAACAGGTCTGAAAGAGTGACCCCTTTGTAGAGGAGGGGCAGAGATGACAGCTCATTTTAGGCTACCTGGCTGTCAGAACCAGTGCCTGATTTAAGCACATGACAAAACCTTCTGTTATCACACAACCTGGAAAGCAGATTTTGTATAAAAAACTTTAAAGGCGTTCTTTATTGGATGCACAGATACAGGGAAAGGCCAGATGTTGTCACGAGATCAATTTCCAGGCAGGGAGCAATTGGAACAGCAAAGTCTGAGTGAGGATGTCTATGAAATCTCTGGAAGCTCTTACTGCCCACATATGGAGAAATTCCAAAAGGGAGCCTGTATTAATATGTTCAAGTGGGACTGCTGCACTGGAGACACAGCGGGTCATTTGGAAAGGCTTCAGTTGCAAAATCTCACTTCTGGAAAATGACCCTGCTTGTTTCCCATGCCTTGAAGCCTGACATCAACTAAATAAAAGCGATTGATCTGATCTTCCAGCACTCCAGGCACAGAAGTACTGGCACACTGACAAAAAGAGTTATGAACTTTTTACAATCCCTAAGCACCCATAACTTGTTATGGAAAACAAAATGTTGGCAGAGAACATGTGGTTGCTGGCTAGGCTGGTGAAGGGGGAGCAGAGGTTACTCCACCCAACAGGAAAGGAGGCACTTCTGCAGGCAACTATGTGCAAAACCAGAAAACCACCCTCTACATTGGTTTATGTATTCTTAAAGAATGGTGCTGGGACTCCCCTGACCTTGAAGTCTCTCCCCCCGCCCCAATAATTTTAGACATAGGGATGTTAGTTACGCTTTTTTCAGTGGTGAGAAAAGTGTGCTCTACTCATTTTCAACGGCTTTTATATATCCATTGCATACTTTCAGTATGCCGTATGCTTACTGATTCGTACATTAAATGACATTATTGACCTCAGCCATGCCTATTTTTTATTGAAAAACCCATTTTGCTTTCTCTTACCCCTGCAAACTAGAATTAATCTAAAAACCTAAAAACTGTCATTATTTATTTCATGGCGGAGGGGGGAGCTGAGACTAGTGACATGTCTGCATTGCATCACAGCTGAAATGTGAGATCCTATGTGCTGAAGCATAGATCTTGATGCAGCGCTTGCTTGAAGGACACCAAATCTGACAAAAGAACATATACACACTCATACTACATTTTATTGTTCTGAATTCCCCCGCGTAGCTCAGTTGGCTCAGTTCCTTGGCCCAGTTGCTTTAGTCACCTGGAGCTATTTGTCTTGCACATTCCTCGTTCATAGTTCCTTTCTGGTTGCGGCAAACTATGATACATATTATGTGGATCCATCTGCAACATGACTGATAAGTGGCAAGTCATGGAGTTGGCACTTTGGTCTCTTCTAGCTTAATGACTCATCGGTCTTTTTCAACAGCATTTGTACAGGAAATTTGCTTCAGGTGGCAATATAGGGATTTTTTTTTTACCCAATGTAGAGAACAATCGTAGTTGCTAACTTAAATTCTTGTGTTGAATTAAGGATCCTACACAGGAGACCAGAAGTGTAGTTCTACTCCACTCCATAATTATTATCACTAGACCTTCTAAATATCACAGAACAGAGAGTGGTAATCTATCTATGAGTGTTTCAACAGGACTTTATCACTGAACTACCACCACTGATCAAATATGAATCCTTCAGGATGAAAGACCTATAGCTCAGTGGTAGAGATTACAGCTTTGTATGTAAAAGAATATTAGGGAGCAGGTGAAGTAAAAATCCCCGTCTGAGACCTTGGACAGCTGTTGCCAGTCATATCAGCAGCACTGGGATATGTGGATGAATGGTCTAACTCAGTATGAAGCAGCTTCATTGAGCAATTAGAGGTGAAGAAATACACACAGACCAAGACCAGCTACTATTTTAAGAACATACTTTATACAAAATAACAAATTCTTATGGAAATAAAATCTACAGATCTCCAAGGATCAAGCTTATTTTTTAAAAAAAGGATCCTTAAAAAAATTACCCAAACACAGAAAATTAAACTAACTATTGAGGTAACTGTCGCTCTCAGGGAATCAGTAGACCAAGACGAAATATACACAATATAAAAATAAATAGCATTCCCCTTTCCAGTATTGACCAGGAGAGTTCAAACCCAGCTCTTTGCAGCAGCAAAAGAGTAGAGGAAAGGATCCCTGATGCTGTGCTCCATGGGCAAGGAAAGTGATCAGGGTTTTTTCAGGAGCAGTGGAAAAGGCAGCCAAGTGAGGTACCTGAGTCCCAGTTGGGGAAAATAGAAGAGCACACGAGGAAGAATTCACAGTCAGTCAGTCAGTCTTATATCAGGTGTTACCTCTCCAATTAACGGGCTCTCTTGACAGTAGCTTCCTGCCACACTAACAAGTTCAGTCTGCTATGGCGTGGAAGACTCATGCCGGCTCCCTTTCAAAACTAGTTGAGAAATTCATTTATCCAGCCAGACACTGCCATGTGCAGTCCAAACCATGTCAGATTCCTCCCAGAGTTTGTCAATAATATATTTTCACAGCTTGATGGTGAGAGGACACTTGCAGCCACAGCTCGTAGTCCTGTTGACCAGAAGATATTCCAGCTGTTTGACAGAGACCAGGATCCAGCTTGCAAGTCAAACATCAGACTTCATCCAGAGGAACGTTCTCTCTTCTCCTTTTGCCCCCAAATAGGCAAATTACATTCTTTACAATCTTAATTACAATAATACAGTCCCTCCCATCCCACCCACCAAATGACCCAGAAAACATTTCAGGAATGATGGAGATTGGCAAAAAATTGTCAAAGCTCAACCACTTCAAATTAAAAACCAAAAGTATTGTTAGAAAGTCTCAGATCACTAAGAAATATATTCTCTAGCAACCAAGCCTGTTCTTTTGTGTCTCTAGTCAGAAAACTTCTTTCTTGCTGTCCTTCCTAACCATGGGGAAAATATATCATTCTACTTAGACAAAATGCAGTAGTGCAGGAAAAAGCTGAGCAGTAGAAAAAAGTACTCAAACATTGAGCAAGATACGATTTTTGTATGTGTAAAATCAGGAACCAGACTAAAAAACTAACTTCCTAACCTCAACAGTAATTCAAGTTCCAGTCACTAGTCCCAATTTTTAAGCACCAGTGAGCTCTGGATTTTTTTATTTCCCTGATGTGGACTCCTATGATATACTTAACTTTTGTAATGAGGGAACCTGGAGAAAGCACAATAACTGCTCTACTTTTATTGCTAAATAGTCAAGCTGTAGTGTGCACTGAACTATTATGGAAGAACAAAGCATTAGTAGATGCCAGGGTGCATAAAATATGAACTATAACTTGCATTTATATCCAAAGGAGAATTCAGCACCATGACACTTGGAAGCTCCTGTTTAACGTCAGTGAAGTCAGTTGCAGAGGGAATTAAATTCATTGTATAACAGTGACACCTTGTGGTCAGTAGAGAATGTGGCTAAACCCAAAGAATCACTGACATTAGTGGTAGCACTGATCACCTAGAGCTAAGAGGAATTCCCCACCAGGATTCATTGGATCTTTCAATGCTCTGACTACAGAAAGTATGCAGCAATTTGGTAGCTGTTAATATTGCAATAAGCACCTGGTATACTGCCAATGCTAAACAAGTACTTAGTAGAAATAGTTACAGTTTGAAAAATTTCACAGAAATCCTGTAGATTCTTGCCAGAAGACATAGGAATTAAGACATAGGGCCTGCCAACTACATTTAGCTCCCCATCGATAACAGTCAATATTCCTACTGTCTTGTTGCTCTTATCAAAGGAACATTCACATTATAGTAAAGCAAATTTCTGATACGTGCTAATCAGCAAGAACCTCTTTTGTTACTCTGTTGTCAGCCAAGTTATATTTTTGATTCCTCCAACCCAAACATTCATCAACAGCATCCAAAATTTTGTCTGGTCTTTGTAGTTAGTGAAATTCTGGAGCTGTCTGCCACTCACTCTGACTCTCCAATCTGGAGAGGGGCAAGATCATATTTCAGATGTGCCATGTTGTGGCGGTATTCTAACTTTGTGAAAAATATTGCCACTTCAGAATGCCTCTGAAACTCACATGGCTGCAAAGGTAACCCCTAGAGAAAATGGAAGGACT